TATTTATGTTATATGTTGATACTTATCACCCTCTTATCTGCATCCCTTGAATTAGGGATAGAGGGACCCACATTCCTTTAAGCTGATTGTGGCCCATCCCATCTCATTCCCTTTTAGCGCTCCCTATCTTTGTGTTTAGCCTCAGCTCAATCATTTAAGTCCTATATATGTGAAAACACGTTATTTAAGTTGCAATACTTGAGAAAGGCCATTTTGGGCCAAAACATTATATGGTTTATAGTGGATTCAGATTGTATGTTTGTGTAGTGGATAGAGAGTGTGTGTATTGTGGATGAATCGTGTGTATAGTGAATGATGCAGAGTGTGTGTTTGTGTAGTGGATGTAGTGTGTAGTGAATGCTGTGTTTGTGCAGTGGATGATGTGTGTAGTGGATGCTGTGTGTGTGTTTGTGTAGTGGTTGATGTGTGTTTGTATAGTGAGTGCTGTGTGTGTCTTTGTGTACTGGATGAAGTGTGTGTTTGTGTAGTGACTGCTGTGTGTGTGTTTGTGTAGTGGATGATGTGTGTTTGTGTAGTGGATGCAGTTTGTGTGTTTATGTGGTGGATGATGTGTGTGGTTGTGTAGTGAATGCATATTGTCTGTTTGATAATGGAAAGTGTGAAATATGCTGCAGGGGATATTTTTTTGCTGTTTTATATATATATATATATATTTAAATGTATTCCCCCCACCCTGCCCCTCACCTGTAGCCAGGGGGGAGGGGGGGACACTGGATTCCCTGACTCAGCTTGTTGGGCCAGTATTGAGGGGCCCAGCAGACTCCATCTTCCCCCTCCTGCAGCCAGTGCTCTATTTCTGTAACGAGCCCAGTGTGCATGGTGTGCCGCTGAGCATTCTCACGGCAACCCACGGCAACGCTTTACAGCCGTGGCTTGTGAGAGTGCCGGAGGGGAAGGTCAGTGTGTCCTAAGCCCCGCTTGGAATATATATAGCGGTATTTGCTATATATATCCACATTGAAGGGCAAGGGGCCCGAGCACGCATTAGATTACCTGTGCAGTCCGGGTCCCCAAGGACCGCCGGGCCCGTGACACGCGTCATGGTTGTCACCCCCTGATGGCGGCCCTGCATTGCAACAAAAACAGAGAATATGAGAACGTGTATAAGCTTACTGAGACTCAGTAGCCTACCCTTCATTTAGTCACTGCTCTGGTCTCAAATATGTTTTTGCTCAATTGTGCCATTATCTTTGGAATTAGGGCACCGGGTATATACCAGTACATAAATTGCCTACATTTGTATTCAGGTACAGCCCCTATCTGCAAAACCTCCCATTTATACATTCTGTCAAATTTTTGTAAAATTCAGGGTCAAATTAGTAACCTCTCCATTCCAATGATCAAACTTGGAATATTGTCAGATAATTTGCTACTTACTTGTCTCAATTTTCTGCACAGCAGAATGCCACAAATTCAAAATATTTAATAAATGCATCACATTTGCAACAGCTGTCCAATTAGAGTATCCTTAATAGTGTATTTTTACATTTATTATAGTGACATTTTTCATCAATTTCTTTCAAAATGCCCTTTTCAGATGCGAATTGCATTTGTGATGTGTGTCACATAAGTCTGATGTCTCCTGCCTTACATAGTCTCCCATGTTCAGTCGTGAAAGAAAGAAAGTATGCCCTCTTTGAATTATATGGTTTTACATATCAGGACACAATAACAATCATGTATTCCTTAGCAGGTCTAAAAGTAGGTAAATGCAATCTCAGATGAACAACCACACATGACATATTACACCATGTCATGATTTATACACCATTTATACCTTTGCTATGTTCATATACAGTTACAAGGCCACATTAGAGAACTATTTGTTTTTCCAAACTTAGAATTTTGAAGTTGGGTATATGATGCAATTTTGAAAATTTGTTTAGTTGCTGCATTGCTTTTTCACTTTTTGAGTGAATATTACATCGCGTGTATCAGAAATACAAACTACACAAACAATGCTTCCCTATTTATTTATTTTTTGCTCCTATTTTTAGTTCCCAAAGTCAAACTACTCCATTAATCATGTCCCCTCTGCCATCAGTAATCATTCGAAGAGCTTGCACTGTACCCTCTCTGCATGGTCTGCCCTGAGCGGGGGCAGCCCGAGAAGCTGTCAGTCATTTCAAACTGACTTGCCTCTTTTCTGACTTGCCTCAGGCACGACTGGCCATTTTGTTTGTCAACAGTGACACAGGTGGTGTCACTGACAAATCTATTTAGGCCCCTTCACCCACTGTCCCTATTTCATACCTCCCAAAGTTGGAAGGTATGCATAAAAGCTTAAAGGACCACCATAGTGCCAGGAAAACATACTCGTTTTCCTGGCACTACAGTGCCCTGAGGGTGCTCCCACCCTCAGGGTCCCACTCCCGCCTGGCTCTGGGGAGAGAAAAGGGGTAAAACTTACCTTTTCTCCAGCGCCGGGCGGGGAGCTCTCCTCTTCCGATCCGCCTCCCTCTTCCCATTCGGCTGAATGCGCACGCGCGGCAAGAGCTGCGCGCGCATTCAGCCGGTCTCATGGGAAAGCACTCATAATGCTTTCCTATGGACGCTTGCGTGTTCTCACTGTGATTTTCACAGTGAGAATCACGCAAGCGCCTCTAGCGGCTGTCAGTGAGGATTTGAGGCCTGGATTAACCCATTTATAAACATAGCAGTTTCTGTGAAACTACTATGTTTATAAAAAAAAAGGGTTAATCCTAGAGGGACCTGGCACCCAGACCACTTCATTAAGCTGAAGTGGTCTGGGTGCCTAGAGTGGTCCTTTAACATCGCCAAAGTACACATCACAAGGTATCTTCCATTGTGCATTTTTGCCTATCGTAGTAGTACCTAGTTTTGACACTGTTGTTGTCCCAGGTCCGTGAGATTAGGTGCTGAGAGTTAAGCAATGTTTTATGGTTAGGGGGCTTAGAGTAGGGTTATACAACAATGAGTAATGTGGATGGAGAGACACAAGTCATGGGGAATAAGGAGAAACCCAAGGCATGGTTGATAAGGAGAGACACAAAGGAAAAGGGTGATAGGAAAAGGGAAGAAGATGATTGTAAAGAGGTTGGGGAAGGACATGTGGGAGGTGAAGCAGAGTCAAAATTTGGGAGGAAGAGAGAAGATAATAATCTTCAAGGAATCTTACAGATTTCATCCAGTAGTTTAATGTCAGGATACAAGAAGATTCTCAGGAAGATATAGGTAAACAGTTATACCAAAGGAGTATTAGCAGACCTTGAAGTGCCTGAGTTTAACACTTAGGTTGGAAATTTGAAGTAACAGAACTAAATCTATCCTAATTCAGACCAGGAGAAGTTGCAGGTTGACATCTACTTATACATTTTAAAATTTAGAGTTAGCCTTCTATGTTGACCTGCCAGGCGATACCTTGCAGTGGCAAAAATCAATGCAACATTTCAACACTCTACTCCGGGCATGTGTTATCCGGTACCGATGGCGCTTCTCTCGGACCCTACTGGTCCTCCACGCTGATACCTCCCACTCTGATCAAGACCTGCAGAGTGTGGCAGCTCTGTTGGGGACACTGGTCCTTCCATAGGACTCAGTGCAAAAATATGGGCCAGCAAAGGTTACCCCATTCGTCTCTCAGCGGGCCTGAACACCACTGATCAGAAATTTACATAGTTTTATGTTTATTTTTCTTTTATCTTTTTTTTGGAAGCTATACAAGTTTTTTAAATTCTATTGATAGGGCCCACTTGTCTTAGAGGATTTGGCAGAGCAGTTGGCTCTCTCACCCCCCGCCTCTATACTTGTGTACACTTTGACATACTACGACCCAGGAACATTAATATATTTCTTATGTCAGTATGTATTTCAACATGTATTGTTTCTCACACTAGTGAGCTAAGTATAAATACAGAATTTACATTTAAAAAAAAAAAAAAGAGTACATAAAACGGTACTGGTCCAGTCATCACACAAGTTTCAATAGGACCATGTCCTCACGTCAGTTTTAATTGGCGAATGTGCAGTGCGTCAGTCACAGTGCCAAAAACTAAAATATGTAAAAACTAGAACAACGCCCTTTGACTGCTGCTGAACTGACGCAGATGAGTCAAAGTTAGTTCATTTCCCAACACCAGTAAACATATATCAGTCCAGCTTCCTCTAAATAAGTCAATGCTTTCATTTGGGGAAGGCCTAAAGCGCATGCGCATGCGCATTAGGCCCCGCCATCAGATGATGTCAGTGCTGTGCAACCCAGTACCTTGGAAACTCGGCGCGAGAATCAGATAAATGATTGAAGGCTTTTTTTTTAACCCTTTCATGGATGGTTCGAGGGACACTTTAGTGTTAGGAATACATCTTTGCATTTCTAACATTAGTGTTCCTTCAAGGCCAAAATAGATGAGCTGGTTAAAAAAAAAAAGGCTCCTCGTCCGCAGCGCTTACATTTTACTTCAACTTTTTGAATTTAAAATTCACTTTGAATTCGGCACAGCTGATACTTGTGTGTCTAGTCCTGTATGTCACCATCTTATATATATATATATATATATATATAGATATATATTTTTTAATATAATTTAGTTTTATTGTCATGAGAATTGCACATTGTAGGCCAAAATACCAGTTTAAAAAAAAAAAAACTCCAACTAATTAAATTTTAAAGGATGATTTTTTTACATCTTTTTACAAAATTATTTTATTGTTTTAGGTTTTTTTTTTTTCATTATTTTTTCCCCACAAAATTGTATTTTCATTATATTGTTGGTAACTTTGTAAACTCAATAAAAAATTATTTGAAATCTCTGCCCTTCCCATATCAGTAAGTCACCCACCAAGGGTTAAATGACTTTATAAAACGAGCGGGCAGGCTGAGGAGGGGCGGGGCCTGTACCTGCCGCACGGTTGGCGGCGGCTGTGGGAAGTGAACGAGGAAAAGGAGAGAGGGTGGGTGGAGTGAGCGCGAGAGATACAGAAAGGGCGGGGACATGAACACGCGTGCGCGGAGTGGGCGTGGCCGGCCTCGCGGGAGCACAGGCGCCGATTGGCCCCGCAGCGCGCAGCCTGATCACGTGGGGCAGCGTCGACCGGCGCGGGGGATGCTGGAGGCCAAGATGGCGGCCGAACTGGTGGAAGCGAAGGTGAGAATGCGAAAGGGTGCGCGGCGGCTGCGGGATACCGGTGTCCACGCGGGCCGGCCAACGGCACGGGGACCCAGCACCTTCCCCGTGTGTTACCTGGGGGCGGGGAGCGGCCTCGCGGCTCACACCATGGCCGTGCCCACTCACTGCCGTTATATGGATAGCAGCACCTCCCAGGGATCAGTGCTGGCCGGGGGGAGAGAGAGGGGGGGGAGAGAGTGTGACCCGGATACATTTATAGAGAGAGAGAGAGAGCTCCCTTTACAGAGCTCCCTCTACAGATAGAGAGAGCTCCATTTACAGATATAGAGAGAGCTCCCTTTACAGAGCTCCCTCTACAGATATAGAGAGAGCTCCATTTACAGAGCTCCATTTACAGAAATAGAGAGAGCTCCATTTACAGATAGAGAGCTCCCTTTACAGATAGAGAGCTCCCTTTACAGATAGAGAGCTCCCTTTACAGATAGAGAGCTCCCTTTACAGATAGAGAGCTCCCTTTACAGATAGAGAGCTCCCTTTACAGATAGAGAGAGCTCCCTTTACAGATAGAGAGAGCTCCCTTTACAGATAGAGAGAGCTCCCTTTACAGATAGAGAGAGCTCCCTTTACAGAGCTCCCTTTACAGATAGAGAGAGCTCCCTTTACAGAGCTCCCTTTACAGGTAGAGAGAGCTCCCTTTACAGAGCTCCCTTTACAGGTAGAGAGAGCTCCCTTTACAGAGCTCCCTTTACAGGTAGAGAGAGCCCCCTTTACAGAGCTCCCTTTACAGGTAGAGAGAGCCCCCTTTACAGAGCTCCCTTTACAGGTAGAGAGAGCCCCCTTTACAGAGCTCCCTTTACAGGTAGAGAGAGCCCCCTTTACAGAGCTCCCTTTACAGGTAGAGAGAGCCCCCTTTACAGAGCTCCCTTTACAGGTAGAGAGAGCCCCCTTTACAGAGCTCCCTTTACAGGTAGAGAGAGCCCCCTTTACCTCCCTTTACATGTAGAGAGAGCTCCCTTTACAAAACTCCCTTTACATGTAGAGAGAGCCCCCTTTACAAAACTCCCTTTACATGTAGAGAGAGCCCCCTTTACAAAACTCCCTTTACATGTAGAGAGAGCCCCCTTTACAAAACTCCCTTTACATGTAGAGAGAGCCCCCTTTACAAAACTCCCTTTACATGTAGAGAGAGCCCCCTTTATATATAGAGCTCTATATCTCTCCTGTATATCTGGATGTGATGGCAGGGACACTAATGATATAATAAGCTTTACACTGGGTGCCATAGAGCTAGTTCCAGGTGCCATCACTGTATATTCAGTGTTGGGATGTTCATTTAATGAACTGATAATTAACTAGTCCCACAGGTTAGTTATAGCTACACTGACTAGTCCCTCCCATTTTAGTTATAGCTACACTGACTAGTCCCTCCCATTTTAGTTATAGCTACACTGACTAGTCCCTCCCATTTTAGTTATAGCTATACTGACTAGTCCCTCCCAGGTTAGTTATAGCTACATTGACTAGTCCCTCCCATTTTAGTTATAGCTACATTGACTAGTCCCTCCCAGGTTAGTTATAGCTACACTGACTGGCCTCCCTCCCAGGTTAGTTATAGCTACACTGACTGGCCTCCCTCCCAGGTTAGTTATAGCTACACTGACTGGCCTCCCTCCCAGGTTAGTTATAGCTACACTGACTGGCCTCCCTCCCAGGTTAGTTATAGCTACACTGACTGGCCTCCCTCCCAGGTTAGTTATAGCTACACTGACTGGCCTCCCTCCCAGGTTAGTTTTAGCTACACTGACTAGTCCCCCCCCCCCCCAGGTTAGTTATATCCAGCATTTAGAATCCGTGTCGATATAACTTACCTGGGGGACTATCTGCCCTGGGTCACCAAGGTCTACTAGTCCAAGCCATAGCCTCCCCTCCTTTTTTTTTTTCCTTTCAATTTATCTGCTCTTTTTCATAAGTGGTTTAACTGGCTTTCCTTTATTTCTTTTGTCATATTTGACTAAAATCATCTTAGGTACTTTGGCTATCGTTCTTTTACAAAACCGCATGCTCTTGTAGTAAATTGAACTATTTTAAACATTTTTGAATTGTTTCTCTGGGAATGTTTCATTATTATTTTCAATGTAAAAAAAAAACAATTCTAGAGTTAAAGTAACTGTTAATGCTATGTTTAAACTATATAGTTTGTGTAAATTATAGTATTACCGTAACATGTTTCTGCTATAGATGGCTCAGGTGAAGGCAAACAAATTCTCTAGTGGTTTAATTCTTGCTGCTGAATCTCTTCCACCTGTGTGTTGTTGCTCTTTTAAGTGTATCTGTCACTTGCTTTCATTAGCCTTTGCGTATTTTGCAAGACACCCCCTCCCTTCCCACAGGTGACATGCCTGCTTGTATAGCGGAAGGTGGGAAGTTACAGGAGGATTTACTTACAATGTAGTCTCCATTTGCTTTGTCTTTTGAATGTATTGGACATTCATTTCTTTAAAATTTAAGGGGTGCTTGTAAAGCTTTTTATTTTATTTTTTTGCAAATCAAAAGTAAACTTACCAGAAAAGGATTTAAATCATGCATAAACAAGGTGATGGCACCATAATCTTGGTACTGAGCCCCAAGTGCTTATGGTGTTTTGGAGTTTCCCTGGATCAAAAACTCTTATCTTGTGTTAATCATCCATGTGATCATCAAAAGAAACATTTTAAAGTACGTAACTTTTTTACATTAAAGATATACTAAGCACCATAACACCAGCTTTTTCAAATGGTTATGGTGCAGTGACTCTCTCGTTAATTGTAGCATTTTTCTTTTAGCTATGCCAATACAGAGATTACTTTGGATGTAACTCCATGTCTGGCAGTTGGAATCAGTCACCACGGAACCATAGTTCAAAGTTAGCTATACAGTATTTGTGCAATACTGCAACGATCAGTTTGTCTATTTCCACCATTTATAATTTGTACATCCGTCGGTATCTTCCTATGATTTTTGTTAAATTTTTTTATTGTGCTAATCTATTTCAAGAGGAGTGTACCACTCTCAAGTCACACAACTGCTACAGATTTGAGCTAATCTTTCATAGGCTCTGTTATGCGTGTGTGCCAATTTTAGTATTTATGTTCATGAATTGAGAAATTACACACGAAAAAGAATCTATACAATGCAATATACTTTGAGTACATTCCATTAGTTTAATTTCTGTGTATAGGGTATGTGGGTTTATCTCGCATCCAATACACTGTATGTATACACTTCCAATTTCTTAGCACTCCACTTACATACCAGTGTCTGGCTGTGTCATCTTGTCACTCAGTATATTGACTATAGATCTTGTCTTTTTAGTCTGGCATAAGAGAAGGACCCGCACAAGTGTTGAAGCAGAATTATTTGGTTATATTCAATGTAGGGTGCTTACTGGGGCTTCGGGAGTTTGTCTGTAGTTGAGGTGCTGTGAATGCCAAAACCCCTGAAAAAGAACATTTCAGTCCTATAACCACGTAATCTCAATGACATTGTAGAACCTGGAGTCTCTGGTGTCATCTTATCTTAGTGTTAAAAACCATGTTCTAACGGTTTAACACTAAAGTTCTGAACTACGGCGTCAATCATGCTACCTTCTTTCTTCATCTGATGCTCTCAGCCGATCACTGACTGCCAAGCAAAGCTTTCTTAGTAAGGTGGTCAAGGGGAAGACCGATGGGATGACGTGAAAGGTGTCCAGGATATCCACTTGCTACTTAAAAGTGGCTTAACGGTCCTAAAGACTCCAGACCCCATAACAACTTCATGAGATTAAGTTATGGGGTCTGAGTGGCCCTTTATTACAAACAAGAAAAGTGAAAAGGTCTTTAAAGGTTGCCTCCTGTTCCTATTACATATGCTCTTTTTACAGAACATCACATTTTGCCCATATATTTCGCTAGCAAATGTGTAGCTTGGGAGAAAATCCTATTTAAAAATAAATCTTTCTCCCACTTGGCAGTTATATTTTCGGCATAGACTCTGCAGAATAGTTGACATGGGAGAGCAGAAAAAAGAATCTCTATTCTGCTCTCGGTACAGAACAACCACAACTTCCTGACCGTCACTAGAGGCATTCTGACTGGCTACTTTAACTTTAAATGTTAAATTCACTTTTAATTTCTGACAGTTCTCACTTTGCATAGCCCTGGCAGATTTCACATATTTTTGGTGCTATTGGTCAGGATCCTGGATATGCAAAGCTTTAAATCAGTCTCTGCAACCCTAAAAAAAAAATCAGAAAAAAATGCTTTTACATCCAGATCTCTGCTCCTTTTTTAGTAGCAGTTGGAGAATTATTACACTAGCAAGTATGTTTGCATGATGAATGTGTGAGTGTGGATAATGTGGGCTTGCAAGAAGTAATTGGATATATTTAAATGTATGGCTAACTATGCTTGTGTGTGCTGTCGGCAATATAAACTTTGCCTTCCAAATTCTATGAAAACTTGACAGGATATGAAAGTTGCTATTCACCATTGGTATGTGAAGGAGTTTAAGCGTCATCACTGACACATACCAACACTGGCCACCTAGTGAAAGGGAAGTTTTCTGGGGCCCCCTCCCCCCCCCCCAACACACACACACTCAATGGCAAAAGTAAGCACACTGGTGGGGTCTTTAATAAACAAATGGGATGGGTTTAAGGCAACGGTCATACATGCAGCCATATGCATATATCTCAGTGGTCTTGGGTGCTCCCAATTTGCGCCGCTACAGTCCATAATGAATGCGACGGCGAGGCTCATCTTCCTGTCCGCCTGCACCTCCCACGCCTCCCTCTTTTGTCAGTTCCTACATTGGCTTCCTGTAAGATATAGGGCTCAGTTTAAAATTCTGGTTCTTGCTTTCAAATCTCTTCATAAGGCTGCTCCCACCTATCTGTCCTCCCTAGTACGTATGTATGTCCTGTCTAGGCCCATACGCTCTGCTGAAGACTTACGTCTATCTTCTGTCCGTACTCCCACCTCTGATGCTCACCTTCAAGACTTCTCGAGGGCTGCACTGTTCCTGTGGAACTCGTTTTCCTCCGTTAGATGCTCACCCAGTCTCCACTCTTTCAAAAAATCATTAAAAACCCACTTCTTCATAAAAGCGTATCAATTAAACTGTTAATGTCTCCCGACTGATTCCTCTCTTGCAACTGTCACTAGTCTAATACTATCCTTACCTTTTTGTGTCACTTTACCCCACTCCCACTAGCATGGGCCCTCAACCCCTTTGTTCCTGTGTCCATCTTGTCTGGTTACAACTACATGTCGGTTCGTCCACCCATTGTAAAGCGCTGCTGAATTTTATGGCGCTATATAAATTACATAATATGCAGACTGAATTTGATGTCCTATCTCTTTCTTGCAGTGTGTTCGTTTAGATTACAGTATTTAAGTGAAAGAGGAAAAGCTCTCTGCTATTGCATTAAATGGAGATGACGCTTTAGGTTTAAAAGCATTGGGAGACTATTGCACATGCATGTCAAAATGCATCTCCTCATAGAGATGTATTTGAATGGAGACGCAGCACACTGTGCAGTACTGGACTAGGAAGCACGTCTTAGTGACTGTCACTAGAGATTTCTAGACAGCAATGTAAAAAGGCAGTGTTTACATTGAAAAACTTGCAGAAACAGGCTATGAACATCTGTAGTGTCCCTTAAGAATTGTATTTTTGTTGCTGAAAATAAAACTGGTTTCTAGTTTGTTTTTTTATAAATTTATTTTTTTGTGGCTAACTCCTAGATTCCAAGTAAATTTGTCACGCCCTGCCTTTGGGGTTCTTGCAAATTATGCAAAGACCCCAGATGGTGACAGTGCCACTTTAAGATTGTGAACTGGGTTAGTTGATGGAGTAAAATAAATGTATCACATTTGAGATACCATGAAGCCTATGATTCAGGGGTGGCTTTAATATATATATATATATATATTTTTTTTTTATTATTATATATATATTTTTTTTTTACACAGTGGTTTCTCACAACAAACTGTTACTCTCTTTCAGAACATGGTAATGAGTTTCCGGGTATCAGACCTGCAAATGCTTTTGGGATATGTTGGTCGTAGTAAAAGTGGTTTGAAACATGAGCTTGTGACACGGGCCTTGCAGCTTGTGCAGTTTGATTGCAGCCCAGAAGTCTTTAAGAAAATAAAAGAGCTCTACGAGACACGCTACTCTAAGAAAGGCCCCGAGACAGTCTCTGCTGCTCCTGCACAGCATCCTGTACAGAGTCGGTCTCCTGAATCCCTGCAAATGCATGCCTCCTATGACCATGGATCTTCAGGCACAAGGACTTCACTCTCTCCTCCTAACATGGACTACCCATCTCTGTATGGAAAACACGTTAATGGCCTGTCTAGGATACCACCCAAAGTCTTGACTAAACCTGAGGTGCGCCTAGCCAAGCTGCCTTTTTACGATGTGGTGGATGAACTTTTAAAACCAACAGAATTAGGTAAGTAATCATATTTTGGCTGTTACCAACATTTTAATTTGGATTAAATATATAACATAAAAAGGACTGTTTCTTTAAAGGGATATTCTAAGCATCAAAACAATTTGTTTAATGAAGCAGGTTTGGTGTATGATCATACCCCTGCAATCTCACTGCTCAATTCTCTATTTAGTGGTTATCACTATTTTTCCTGTTCATGCAGCCCTAGCCCCTGGCTGTGACTCACTGTCAACCTAGGAAAAATCAGATGTATGCTTGCTTTAGAAGTTTATTCCCTGCTCTGTAATTTGAACATTTTCAAACACAGGAGGCTCCTGCAGGGTCTACAAGGCTATTAACACAGCAGGACATAATTTCTAAATTAAACAGAATGTGCAATAAAGGAACTGTAAATATTCGATTTATCTTTACAGGAAGTATTTAGAAAGAATGAATGTCAGAATAGAGCAGTGAGACTGCCGCTGCGTAATTTATACACCAAAACTACTTCATTAAGCTTAGGTTTTTCTGGTGCCTATAGTGTCCCTTTCATACAGGGCAGCTAATGCCTTGATTTATGCCTGATAGTAACTAGCAAGTTACGTACAGAGCCAGGAAGTTGTGTGCTCAGTGTTTCCTGTTTCAGTACCCACTGTTGTCCAAACCAAAACTTGGGGCAGGCAAAGGTGATCAGCTGGAAATCTACACCAGATGGCTAGAAACTCTCTGATAATTAAACCTAGGGGAGATTATTTTATTGTTTTAGTAAATGTATGTGGTTATCACAAATATAGGTGGCAGATAGTGCCACCCAGTAATGCCATCAAGAGAGGCTAGGCAGTGAATAATCTCTTAAAACAGTTTTATCAGATTTATGATGAGTGATATGTGGGGCATTTAAGTCTTTGAGTACCAAGGCCACCAGAGGCCTGGCCGGTATTAAGAATTTTGCAATCCCTAGCATGATCATATGATTCCAAACAGGGCAAGTTATAAATCGTACTTTCTTATACCTATATGAAAGGGGAATAAAATGCAAGGATTCATCCCCTCCCGATTATCCTAAAACAAATTGTGTGCGACAAATATGATTAAACACACTGCAAACATGATTTAAAAAAAAAAAAAAATTGTGTGTTTTTTTTTTTTTCAGATTTAGAAAATGTTCTATGCATTCAATTTTAATTCAGGCAGGTACTTTCCAAAATTGGGTGCGCTGAGGGGTATAAGTGCAATGGCAGTTGATGAGCTCATTTAGAGAAAGGAAAAAAAACCCAAACGTATATTTTATATGTATGCTGTTGTGCACTAGTCTTTGACAGGTGTGAGAAAATGATTTCAAGTAAAAATACATTTAAAAAAATATATTAAAGGGACACTATAGGCACCCAGACCACATTGCGGGGTTAGCTCCAACTCTAGTGGCTGTCTATCACCATAATTTGATTTGAAACGGTCATGGTGCCTGGAGTCTGTATGTGCAGTGTCTTGCTATGAAATAATGCATATAAAGAGTGTAACCCCTCTTCAGCTGGAGGTCTAACTGCACTACCAGCAGCATCATTGGAGCATAATCAGCCAGCCCAGAACAAGAGTTCCAGGTGACTGTTAATTCTGTGCATATTAGATGTGTGACATTAGCATGCTCACGACAGGTGTCTTATGGTGGCCTAGCCCTCACTGCAATCAATCTCCTGCTGGGGGGTGACATCCATCCCCCTCCCGGAGCAGTGGCCCAACTTCATTTGTGGAAATGCAGGCCTCTTTGTTCTGCTCTTCAGTCCAAGCAGACTTATTCACTAAAGTGATAATTATTGGGGACTCGCAATGAATTCAATGTGAATTTACCATTGTAGGCCAAAATATCTAAACTGGAAGCATAGGTGACCCGGAGAATTTTCTTAGTTGAACACGACTTCTGACCAGACCCTGAGCACTCTGGTCCAAATAATGTTTGCCAATTTTGAGATGATGGCACTGCTGGATGTCATCTGAGGGCAACTGGAAGAATTGTATCCACAATCTTTGACCTTTTCTTTGTTCTTCTTCACCCCCTTCCCCCAAAGCAGCCTCACCTTGTTACATAGAATGTGACGGCAGATAAGAACCATTCGGCCCATCTAGTCTGCCCAATTTTCTAAATACTTTCATTAGTCCCTGGCCTTATCTTATAGTTAGGATAGCCTTATGCCTATCCCAGGCATGCTTAAACTCCTTTACTGTGTTAACCTCTACCACGTCAGCTGGAAGGCTATTCCATGCATCCACTACCCTCTCCGTAAAGTAATACTTCCTGATATTATTTTTATACCTTTGTCCCTCTAATTTACGACTGTCCTCTTGTTGTGGTAGTTTTTCTTCTTTTAAATATAGTCTCCTCCTTTACTGTGTTGATTCCCTTTATATATTTAAATGTTTCTATCATATCCCCCCGTCTCGTCTTTCCTCCAAGCTATACATGTTAAGATCCTTTAACCTTTCCTGGTAAGTTTTATCCCGCAATCCATGAACCAGTTTAGTAGCCCTTCTCTGAACCCTCTCTAAGTTATCAATATACTTCTGAAGATACGGTCTCCAGTACTGTGTACAATACTCCATGTGAGGTCTCAGCAGTGTTCTGTACAATGGCATGAGCACTTCCCTCTTTCTACTGCTAATACCTCTCCCTATACAACCAAGCATTCTGCTAGCATTTCCTGCTGCTCATTACATTGTCTGCCTACCTTTAAGTCATCAGAAATAATCACCCCTAAATCACTTTCCTCATATGTTGAGGTTAGGACTCTATCAAATATGCTGTACTCTACCCTTGGGTTTTTACGTCCAAGATGCATTATCTTGCACTTATCCACATTAAATTTCAGTTGCCACAATTCTGACCATTTTTCTAGTTTACCTAAATCATTTGCCATTTGGCTTATCCATCCTGGAACATCAACCCTGTTACATATCTTAGTATCATCAGCAAAAAGACATACCTTACAATCAAGACCTTCTGCAATATCACTAATAAAAATATTAAAAAGAATTATATTGTTAGCAGAGTTCAGCTATCCCTCATCCAGTGTTATTCATCCTACACAGTTCTTTCTGTTTCACTTAATGATTGTGTTTCAACCTACATATTACATTTGTACCAGATTACAAAATCGCTGAATTTGTGCAAGTGTACCTAGAAGAACTTCAGACGCTGCGTGAAATATTGCAAGATAAGTGACATTGTTTACTACATAAAGCTGTAAATTGCTGTTGCAATATGGTTATGTGCAAGCTATGCATCCTTTGCTTCAAAAGGTTTGGGAGAGGGAACTTTGGTTTGGACGTTACTTTGTCAGTTACTAGTTTGACAGGCTGCAGCAGATACGTCTGTGTGCAAATGCCGTGTAACAAATGGATTCCTCATGGCAAGAGCAGCCCGTTTGTGACTCTCGCCAATACAGTGGGATTTGGACCTTACTGCAAGCTAGCAGCTAGTCATCATCAACGCTACGGAATTTGCTGGCGCTATATATAAGTACAATAAGTTACAGAACGCACTGCTATTCTCTCCCGTCAGCAGTTTTTCATGACAACCAGTAAAGCTCGCAGTGTGACCTGAGCTGCTATTGGTGTAAAGAGATCAGCTTTAACCCCTTAAGGACCAAACTTCTGGAATAAAAGGGAATCATGACATGTCACACATGTCATGTGTCCTTAAGGGGTTAAATGGTCACCAAGTACATAAACTTAAAGGGACACTGTGGTCACCACAACTTCAGCTTAATGAAGCAGTTTTAATGTATATATCGTGCCCCTGCAATATCACTGCTCAATTTTCAGCCCTTTATGAGTTAAATCCTTTGTATATGGTGCCCTAGGCACATCTCCCTGCAAGTAACACACACAACCTTCCTGTAAAGTGAAATCTAATGTTTACACTTTATTGCACTGTCTGTTTAATTTAGAAATTATCTCCTTCTCTGTTAATAGCCATTTAGATGGTTTTTGTGTGAGAAATTTACAGAGCAGGAGATAATTTTATAAGTTTAGAACATCTGATTGAAAATGAAACCATTTTGTTTTTATGTAGGCGGTGAGACTGCAGGGTTATGATCTATATACTAAAACTGCTTCATTATGTTAGTTATTTTGATCCTTATAGTGTTCCTTTAATGAAGTAGTTTTGGTGGATAGGTCATGTGACTGCAGTGTTACTGCTCAATTAGGAGTTAAATCACTTTTGTTTCCATCTATGCTGCCCTTGCCACACCTCCCCTGACTCTGTCTTACACAGCCTTCAAGGAAAAACAATGTTTACAGCGCAATGTGTTTAACAGACCAGGAGATATGGATTTTTAAAAGTAAAGAACCACTATAGGCACCCAGACAATCTCAATTACTTGGTCTGGGTTAAGTGGCCCTGTTGTTGTGGTCCGGCAGTGTAAACTATTGCTGTTTTGTAGATATATCAATGTTTACGTTGCAGGCCTAACACAAACCTCTTGTGGATGTCTTCCTGACAGCCACTAGAGGGTGCTTACTTTGATCACGTCAGACTGTTGTGATGTTTGATATCCTCAAACGCCTAGGGAAGCCGCTTAATATAATGGTTCTGGTGTCTATTCCTAATCCTTGCTAAAAAGCAAGGAGACGATTGAGCGCACTGCAAAGCACTCAACATAAAACTCCTATCAGGTCCACTTTGGACTCCAAATGAGTATTACGATGATGGCATTTAAGGGGTAAATGTGGTGCAATGTTCTGATACTGCAGCACCAGTGTCTTGGGAACCAGCTTCCTCCTGCAGTAGGGAGATAGTTATGGCTGAAACCCATCAGTGTGCCAGGATTTGACAATGCTAATTCTGATATTGGGTTGCCATCTAGCTCTGCTCACAGCTGATTGGTTCCCACTGCTGCTTATCACAGCAAGGATATAACTGAATCCCCAGCATCTTAATGAGCCTGCTTTTACAATGTTGTCGACTTGATCCCTAATGATTCTTAGACAGGCACAGGCATAATTTGTAAGCTGCAATGTCTGAGACCTAAACATACATTTGGAAAACTTGCATTAATCAATTACTGCTAGTTCCATAAAATTAACTTCATTTTCCGCATGGAAAATGGATTAGAATCGTCACGTGGACATACAGTAACAGGCTCAGAGCTAGTAGTTCAACAGCAGTCTGCATTTCGTACAACAAAAACTTTGATCAGGCTAAACAAAAGCTACCTCATCTCTAGGATAGTGGTGGAAACTAGCTCGTAATTCTAGAAAGAGGAATTAAATCTCCCATCAAGTATACTGAAAACCCCAGACGCCAGGACTAGTACACTGCATATCGCAGTATGGGGTGCTTCGGCTTAACTGCAAAGTACAAAATCCCAATCCCCAAATTTTCTAATTCAGAGTCAGTCACTATACACAATGCAGCAAGGTTAAAGGAACACTATAGTCACCTAAATTACTTTAGCTAAATAAAGCAGTTTTAGTGTATAGATCATTCCCCTGCAATTTCACTGCTCAATTCACTGTCATTTAGGAGTTAAATCACTTTGTTTCTGTTTATGCAGCCTAGCCACACCTCCCCTGGCTATGATTGACAGAGCCTGCATGAAAGAAAAAAACTGGTTTCACTTTCAAACAGATGTAATTTACCTTAAATAATTGTATCTCAATCTCTAAATTGAACTCTAATCACATACAGGAGGCTCTTGCATGGTCTAGCAAGCTATTAACATAGCAGGGGATAAGAAAATCTTAATTAAACAGAACTTGCAATAAAGAAAGCCTAAATAGGGCTCTCTTTACAGGAAGTGTTTATGGAAGGCTGTGCAAGTCACATGCAGGGAGGTGTGACTAGGGTTCATAAACAAAGGGATTTAACTCCAAAATGGCAGAGGATTGAGCAGTGAGGCTGCAGGGGCATGTTCTATACACCAAAACTGCTTCATTAAGCTAAAGTTATTCAGGTGACTATAGTGTTCCTTTAAGAAACATTCATAATTTGGTCACTATAAATATACAAGGTTATCAAACCTGCATAATCACCTCTAAATCTTGTCACTCCAAAATGTATTAAAGGACCACTATAGTGCCAGGAAAACATACTCGTTTTCCTGGCACTATAGTGCCCTGAGGGTGCTCCCACCCTCAGGGACCCCCTCCCTCCCGGCTCCGGAAGGGGGAAAGGGGTAAAAACTTACCTTTTTCCAGCACTGGGCGGGGAGCTCTCCTCTTTCTCTCCTCCTCCGTTCCTCCTCCTGGGCTGAATGCGCACGCGCGGCAAGAGCTGCGCGCATTCAGCAATCACTGAGAAGCATTTACAATGCTTTCCTGTGGACTTGCGTGCTCTCACTGTGAAATCACGGTGAGAAGCGCATAAGCGCCTCAATGGCTGTCAATGGGAACCAGCCACTAGAGACCAGGGAAGGCTTAACCCATTCATAAACATAGCAGTTTCTCTGAAACTGCTATGTTTATAAAAAAAAATGGGTTAACCCTAGAAGGACTTGGCACCCAGACCACTTCATTAAGCTGAAGTGGTCTGGGTGCCTAGAGTGGTCCTTTAATTTAATGCATCACTATCACCAAAATTGCATTTTATGTATTATAATTCTCATTTGCATCCTGTCAGAATGTTTTGGTTTTATTTTCAAAAAAAATTTCCTCTGAGCTTTTTTATTTTTTTAAAATACCCTCTTGCTGACGTATACGTGTAAAATTAACAAACCTTAACATAAGTGGCCCTGGACTAAGCTCCTCCTATTGTCAAGTTCTTTCTACCACCATTCTTCCATATCCTCCTGAATCTGTCTTCTTCCGTGTTTTTTGTTTAATACAATCTTTTTGTTATGCTCAACCAGTCCATTGTCAGCAAAGCCCTCTACTTCTGGCGGGTCCTCTTTAGCTCTGGCGCTTCAGCATGCGCAAGTACAGCATTGAGTTCTATGGGATCCTCCATAGATGGTTGCAATGAGCTAACTTCATCACTGGTGGGGTTGACACTTCAGGTGACGATAGCTCCCCAGTGTCTAGAAGTGTCAGGCGTATTAAAAATACAGAGACAAAGTTGTTTTCCTGGCACTTTAGTTTCCTTTGAAGATGCAAAAAAAACTGCTGCTTTAAACCTCTGGATATACAGAGAAATTAATACATTATCAATAAGTTATGAGACCAGAATAAAAATAGTGGAAAAACAAAGTAATGTCTACGTTCTTATAAATTTTATTTTTATATATCTCTTAAACTGTGACTCCTAGCAACTGAAAATGACTGTAGATTCTTATTGTGAATCCTTTTTTTTTTTTTTTTTTAAATATATATTTTTTGATTCAGAGGCACCTAATTCACTATTTCATGAAGAGAAACTCACACCAACATTTTGAACCCATTAAGTGTTTTCGAACAGTAGTCAGTAGATTATGAGTGTCAGTGTTCTATAAATGTTCCCTAATAAATCTTTCAACATGTGCTCCAGTTCCTCCACATATTGCACATTGTAAACACTTCTCGAAAAGCAATTAATGTGTACAAATTAGGAAACTTGGCTTTTAAGTCCGAAAACTCCCTTCTTAAAGCAGAATAACATGATTTATAAAGATGAGATTGTGCAAACGACGTGCTCCTACTGTCCAGTGCCCCTGTATCAGCCATCTTGTTGGCCAGTGGCAGGGCTAAGAAACAGAAGAAGCTCCTGGCCAGCGCCCAGAACTGCTTGTCCTGGGCATCGGGCAATAGATATGATGGCTTGAAAGATATTGGGTGGGGGGAACTCCCCTGTTCGTGTTAATGCTGTTAATGCAAATTAACTGATTTTTGTCATTACTTTTTATGCACTTCTTTACAGTTGCTCAGAACAGTGAAAAAATTCAAGACAGCCCTTGTGTGTTTGTCCTATCTCCTAGGCAAGTGGACCTGATTAAGAACTCAAGGTATGTTATTTAATTTACCCATAAAAGGTTTGTTTATAAGAACTGCAGCCTTTGCATACTCTTAAGATCTACCCCAATGAAAACATGCATGAAAAAATGTATGTATTCGTTAGAGGTATATCTACTAAGCAGGGATTTTACCCATGTGGGCAGTAGTGTTCCTTTAAGTGTTGCTGGGTGATGTGTAACCTCTAGTTCCTGTCCTTCTTGCCAAGTGCAGAAACACATTATTGGCTCTTCTGGTTGCATTGCTATAGATTTACAGTTTTCTAGTTTTTATTCATATTGAAGTAGATCATACACACTGAATAACCTGAAACATTACAAAGGTGAGCAGTAAAGTGCCAGTGGTTACCAAAACCTAAAAAATAATGTACAATCTGTATTGCAATAACAATGTGAGAAAATGGGGTTGACAAGACAGGTAATTATACCCTAAAAATGCAGTTCTCCACTTTCATGGAAAGGCATAGAATGCAATATTGTTGGTGTGTGTGTATAGTTTTACTATCAGAAGGCACTGGGGAAACTGGAAGAACTTCTGACAGGATGAAATCTTGAAGTTTCAATGAGGATGGTTCCTCATAACTTTTTTTATTTTTATTTTTTTATAAAAGAAATCCATTGTATAATAGAAACACAGAATGTGATTAAATTGACATGCCCCCTTCCCACTGAGAGCATCTTGGCCACAAAGACTACTGCATTAATCTGTAGTGTTCCTTAACAGAAAAAAGTTACATCACTGATACCTAAAAACCTAATTTCCCCAGTTTTCGGAACGAAAGCTAGCCTGTAGACCACGAGTGCCCAAAAGGTAACTCCCCAGATGTTTTAGTACTACAGCTTCCATAATACTTTGTCATTTAAAGGCATGCAGGGCTTCATGGAGGTTGTAGTTCTAAAACATCTGGGGATCTACCTTTTTGGGCACCCCTGCTCTAGACATTTAACTGAAGAGGAACCCATATCCATGCACTTGCTTAAAGAAATTCTCAAAATGTCACTTCAGATACTGGAAAAGAAACAAAATCCACTTAAAAAGTTTTTAAACGGGCGGGGCCTGACTAGCATGATGGCCGGACGTGTTTTTACATAGCTCCAGCACTAGACCACATAAACACAGGCTAAACTGCCTTTAAACGAATAGGTAACCCTCCTGTTGTAGCTGTGGATGGACACTACACCTACCTGCACCTACTGAGACCTTAACAGGAGCTGGCTCTACGGACATCTGTGCCCGGCGTTTGGGAGAGGCGGCCAATCTCCTGACCCGGCAAGCGCACGGCTTGGAGCCACTCCGCCGCCCCAAATTCCCCAGTGTGTATTTAGCTGTGTGTGTATTTAGCTGTGTGTGTATTTAGCGCCGTGTGTGTATTTAGCGCCGTGTGTGTATTTAGCGCCGTGTGTGTATTTAGCGCCGTGTGTGTATTTAGCGCCGTGTGTATTTAGCGCTGTGTGTGTATTTAGCGCCGTGTGTGTATTTAGCGCCGTGTGTGTATTTAGCGCCGTGTGTGTATTTAGCGCCGTGTGTGTATTTAGCGCCGTGTGTGTGTATTTAGCGCCGTGTGTGTATTTAGCGCCGTGTGTGTGTATTTAGCGCCGTGTGTGTGTATTTAGCGCCGTGTGTGTGTGTGTATTTAGCGCCGTGTGTGTGTGTATTTAGCGCCGTGTGTGTGTGTATTTAGCGCCGTGTGTGTGTGTATTTAGCGCCGTGTGTATTTAGAGCGCCGTGTGTATTTAGAGCCGTGTATATTTAGAGCCGTGTATATTTAGAGCCGTGTATGTGTATTTAGAGCCGTGTGTGTATTTAGAGCCGTGTGTGTGTGTGTATTGCATTAGTTGGAGATACTAATAAATATAAGCTTAATTTTATCTATTTATATCCTTATTTAAAATTTGTATCATTGAACTCTGTGTTCTTCTTTTAAAACAAAAGTTGTTAATTAGTTCGGACAACTTTACGAGTTTTTTTTTTTCTTCTAAACTTAAACATCAGTATTCAGGTTTAATTGCCGTGTTGGCACTTTGAGGAAAAAAAAAGTTGGCATGTATTGCGGTTTGGGCACTCAGGCTCAAAAAGGTTCGCCATCACTGATCTAGCGTATATAGCCCACTGTCTGACCACCCAAATAGAATTCTGTTCATGATGTCTATTTTCTAAACAAAAGCGGTGTTCCTTAGGTGTTATGCTACCACTGACAACCAACCTCACCGCACATGCTAATGCTTAACTGTTTTCTCAAGCCATATTTTTCAAAAAGTGCAATTTCCTTCATTTGCCATGTTATTGTTTCAAACTGTATGATGATATAAGACTTGTTCAAGCTGTTGTGGCAATACAAGCTGGTTGTAACCATCTGCACAATATAAATAAAGAATAAAAAAAAATTTTTTTTTATTTATTTTTTTTTTTTTTACGGCAGAATCCAAAATGCAGCTGAGTGGAACCATTTAACCCCTTAAGGTCACATGTCATGTGACATGTCATGATTCCCTTTTATTCCAGAAGCTTGGTCCTTAAGGGGTTAAGGCAATGATACATTTTGAGCCCTAACCTAGAATTCTGCAAAAACTTCCCTTACTCTACGAAGGGTATGCTGTCTTGTAGAGATTTGAAAGGAAATATCAATTTGGTGAGGAGCAGTTAGAGAACTTTTCCAGTTTGGCTTTTTTTGGCCGAGCGTTTGTAATTGTCTTAACATGTCTATACAGTTTCCAGTATAGTGATTAAACCTCATGGTTTGTATGTATGGTTTTATCTTGGTGGGAAAGCTGCATATCATGACATAATCATCATAGTGTTTGTGCATTTGTAAAATTGTGCTTCTTTGGTAAAATTTGTGACTCTTTGCTCTTTTACCATTATAATCTTGCAGTTCAGTCTCAATCACATGATTTCTACTTTTTCATTTCTAGAGATTTGCACCCTGGCATCAAATCTGTTCAAGTTGTCCTGAGGTAAGACTCCTACAGACCACCACAACACAAACTTCTTTGTGCTAGGAAGAGTATTTGCCTGACACCACAACATTTTCATGTGGTTATCTAATGAAACTGAATGTGATATTTACAATATTAAAATGTTTTATGCTTTTTTCCCCCTCTCCTACTCCCCCTTTTTGGTAAACGTGCACTCCGATTGTAGTACCTATGTTTTGTGTGATAGACCAGAGGGGCTACCCAACCTGTCAAACAGCAATGTAAAATGCTCTTTTCTGGCTTTGTGCACCTGTTGTGTCTGGTGTCCACACACACATCATGCTAAAGCCATAATCCTTGGACAGGTTGCCCATGGCTGGGTGAGCTAATCAAACAAGATGTCTTATTGTCCTAGTGTGATTCTTATTGAGCTTGGTCTTAGTTAAAATAGACATGTAATGTAACTTGCCAATTGGTTCATATGAAATATTACTCCATTCAATGCTTATTTAACCTCCAATAGCTTTTTAAAGCTGGTCACATACAAAAAATACTTTGTAAATGCAAATTCCTAAATTTGTTTAAATTACCCATCTCTATGAGAAACATTGGACTTGAGATTACTTCTTAAAGGAACATTACAGATAAAACGGCTTGCCTCCATACAACGGGGGAGTGGTTATAGTGCTTGAGATCTGCCAGGCACAGTTTATACAGTCCTGCTTCCTGGGTTCATCACATTACAGCATACACATGTGTGCTGTAAGTGATCCTCACATTTTTATGCATAATATATGCTCTTTAAAAAAAAAAAAAAAAAAAACATGCAAGGGGTTTCCTGAGTCCCCTCCCAGGGGCATTCCTTGAGGGGACTACATGGGGGACTTATTGTACAGGACATTTCTCCCATCAGGCACTGCTGCACGAGAGGGATCCTCCCACAGGAATGTACCGTTAAGTGGATTATCCCTCCGTGCAGCAGAATTTACAATTCGCATTAAATTCCATAACTTCATGAATATCTGGTCCATTTAAACGAATGGACGTTCGGTAGATAGCTGGGGTCTGAACGCATCATTCGTGAGATTACCGCTCAGATCCCAGCTAAAACAACCGAACGCTGCACAAAAAACACGTTCATTAAAACATAGCTTCAAAATACCGATTGCATATAAGGGAACAGAATACCGAACGTCCCGGACCTCCCGAACGGCCTGGAAGCTCAGCGGTGTTCGTGCCGTCGAGTAGCTGTTTTTAGTACCATGCGCTCAACGGCCAAACACCGCTGAGGGAACAAAGGATCCAAGATGGCCGACCGCCGCATGGTCGGTATCGAACGGCCACCTTGGAGAGCCTCTAATTACCGATTGCAACATTGTTGCAATCGGTTAATAGGCGCCACACGCCTCTAAGTGTGTGGGCTATTAACTGATGTTTTGTTCGGTTCCCGAACGGCCCGCAAAGGTGCCGTTTGTGAAACGAAAGGGAATCGGCTATCTGCTTTTGGCAGATAGCCCAGGCAGGAAATACAGCATTACTATTACATTATATTTCACGCTGGAACACATAACATGAAACCCATACCGGCAACCCTTAAAGAGACAGTACAGAAATAATGTCCAAGTGGCTAGGTTTGCCACAGAATGTTACCAGCGCCATCTTCTAAACAAGCTCAAAAAAGATTGGTATAACTTAACCATAGGGGAAGGAATTGTGATGTACGCCATATTGGGTCGCAAGTAAGGTGTGTGTGACCTATGTATTGAATGGAAAATAATAACAAATTCGTAGATGCAATTATTTCTGTGGCAGGTACATAAGAGAAGATAGAACCAAATATTTCCATTTGATTGATTTCGGTCTGGAACACAAGGGTGTGGTCACTCTCTCTCTCTATAGATACACCTTAGCTCCACCTCTAGACCAGGCTATTAATCCACAGGGTGTATATCCAATGATACTGAAATGTCTGTGTACTTGCTTGGGGACAAAATCAAATTTTGAGTAAATCACGATCTTTCTTTCCGAAGACCCCCCGGGCAGAAGTTTTACTTTTAAAACATGAGTAAGTGTTTAGGACTTATTTTATCCCTTTTGTTTTTCTGTTGGTGTAAAAAATTTGTTTTTGATCTAATTTTTTTGTGTGTGTGTGCACTCTGTGACTTTTTTATAATATTCCTTTTTATAAAGTTCCGCCTTTGTCTGGTTAAGGATCATGTTGCCTGGAGAGACTAGTATTTTAGCATTCCTTAAATATTGTGCTAAGTTGTATTTGGTGTGTTTTTATTATTAATTTACCCGGGGGACCAAGACACCCCATTTATGAATTGTCTTGGTGGCGGCAGCGTTAAGAGTAATAGTTATATTATGTTTAAGGGTGGGGGGTGTTAATGGGGTTTTTGTCATTATTTTTGGTCTAGTGCAGACAAATAGTGAACTTTAACCCTTTCACCACCACAACTACGTCACACACACCCTCTTGACGTAGGGTGCATTTGTGACACTGGGTACTTTAGAAAAAAAGTCTTTAAGTCCCAGTAATGCATTTATAGGTCTTCTGTTTATTTAAAATTGTTTTCTCTACCTTATCTTGACATTTTCCACTTAAGCTGTTTCTTCAGTAATCGTAGACTTGCTGAAAACACTAGTTTCAGATTATTTGAAATCTTTCTTTAGTCTTTGCTCCTCTTTTCGGTTATTGATATGTTTATCTTTCTTTTAAAGAATGGCTTTTTTTTGTTTTTTCTCCTCTTGTTAATCCCTCTTCCTTATTGCCTACCTAGGCTGTTTGTGTTCTTGTAATACATTTTTAAATGGCTTTAAGTTGTATTTTAAAATTTTAACTTTTTTTTAAATCTAATTGAAATTGCGTGAATAACACCAATGTATCCAGGAAAAAAGTTGTTGTTTTTTTTTGTTTTTTGTTTTTTCTGGGTGCCAACACATTTTGTTTGTCTGATTATTTTGACTTTCTTCTTTAGGATCTGTTACTCTGACGTAAGCTGCCCACAAGAGGATCAGTACCCTCCCAACATTGCAGTGAAGGTCAACCACAACTACTGCTCAGTGCCAGTGAGTGAAGACCACTTTACCCATATCTTTTTATTGTTCTAACATTTTCAGTTAATGGTTTAGTTATTTCAAGTTTTCATCTAGTATAGAATATCAAAAGCAAAGTACAAAACAAGCTACAAAGTTTAAAATAAACCCCTTATTGATAGACTTCGCACCCTGAACATCACTATGGCGAAAAGTGACTGCCAACATGCAGCTCATGATGGCCCCTTAAATGCCAACCAAATGTCAAGTTTCTGCTGCCCAAGGCATCATGTTGCTAATCTATGTATCACTTCCTTCTTATTTTCATTTTATCACCACTAAATCTTTAAACCTACCTATTTTGACATAAATAACATCCTAAACTAAGATTAGAATCAGAATTTTGCTTATAAATAGTTTTTTGCCTTAATTTCAACCCTAACAGTGATTCTAGCTGAGTGCTAAGTGTGATCACTGCAAGCCAGTCATTGTGATTGGATACCATAGGTGTCTGTTAAAGGGTCTCTCCAGTGCCAGGAAAACAAACAGTTTTCCTGGCACTGCAGGTTTCCTCTCCCCTTCAGTGACTTGCCTGTATCCAGCGCCGATGTCCCTCGGCGCTGGTTCAGGATCCGCCCACGCTCCTCCCCGCCGTCATCCGGCGGGGGAGACTTAAGGCGCATGCGCGGCATTGCCGCGTACGTGCATTAGACCTCCCCATAGGAAAGCATTTCAGCGACGCTGGAGGTCCTCACGTAGCATGAGAACGTCCAGCGATGTTATAACACACTTTTCATGTGCTATAATCACGTAAGTGCCCTCTAATGGCTGTCTACTAGACAGCTACTAGAGGAGGAGTTAACCCTGCAAGGTAAATTTTGCAGTTAATGAAAACTGCAATAACTACACTTGCAGGCTTAAGGGGAGTGGGAGTTGGCACCCAGACCACTCCAATGGGTGCCTGGAGTAGGTCTGGGTGCCTGGGGTGTCCCTTTAAGGTGATGCAGAGCAGTCACTGGGATTGGCTCCCACAGCGACTTAAAGCGCCAGCACGCAAATCAAAGTTGCTGGACTGCCTCACTTGTGAGACTTCCACCAATAGTCCAATACATGCCAGGGTAGGCTTGTATTGGAGAAAGACATGAATCCACATCTGCCTTATGCCAGTGGTTATTGGCCATCTGTGCCATGGTACCACGATCTGGGCTTTCCAATGGAGGGGATGATGCTGAAAGGCCCCACTTATGAGTCATGCAGCCTACTACAGGAGCCTTTTAAATAGCTGATGTTCAGGGTACTTGAACGGTCCTTAAGGGTATTCTCTGTATGGATGTGCCGATCACTAATGGATTGAACATCAAGACCATAAGGACTTGATACAATCTTAGCAGTAGATTCTGCACACTGTTGAATGTTTTTACTTCACTGTGTCTGCATGCTGAGAAGTGTAAAACGTATTCATTTGTTTTTCTTCCATCTCTCACAGGGCTACTATCCCTCGAATAAACCTGGTGTGGAACCCAAGAGACCTTGTCGTCCAATTAATCTCACTAACCTTATGTACCTGTCGTCGGCCAGTAATAGAGTTACCGTGACTTGGGGTAATTATGGCAAGGTGAGTGTTTACCAGCTACCTGTGAAATAGAGGTTTTGCAGATTAATGTTTTTAAGAAGATTAATGCAATTAGAAAACTTCTAACTGGGTAACTTTCAATTGATTCACCTTTTTGCATGCCATTTAAACTTTTTCTGCTGTAATCATTAAGGCGAAAATGTCATGAAACGTTAAAAGGTGCTTTTGCATTTTCCACGCACTTAAGTCTAAGATTAACATCTTATTGAAATAGATGGAAGTATAAAAATTTATCGAATCAAGTGTTAGTTGATTGGGAGAAAATAGCAAAGCTAAATATATATAAACACTACTTGGTATAGAAACCTTTTCCCTCCACTTTCAAATGAGACTTTGATGCATTTTGATGGCTCTAGATACACAAGTACATTTCGGTGAATTCAACATTCCCCTTGTAGCTTAGACAGCAGGGTTTTACTGCAGTTCCACCTGGAATTAAAAACGGTTTATTTCACCACTCTTTTAGACTACACTTATGAATGTCAAAATACTCACAAGCTTCCGACTATAATGCAATTTTTTTTTTTTTTATCTTTTGACAAATTGGTAAGTTACTCACAATTCTATGCGATCATTTTTATGCAGCTCAGTAGAGCTAAACTCAAGAGCCTTGCAAAGACTTCTCATTGAAGTCACTGTATTGATAAGTCTGTGATGGACAGCCACAAAGTCTGGGCGGGTTTAGGAGAGGTCTTGCAAAGGCAGCAGCCAAGAGAACTCCTGCTTTTGCAAATTGTTTTTAGATTTACCCGATTGAAAAATACATAATTAAATGCATGTTTTCATTGGAGTTATATCTACTAAACAGTGTTTATTTTTGGGCAGTTTAGTGTTCCTTTGATACTAAATAGTTTTCAGTATTTTGTTTTTATTTGGTTTATTGTATTCCAGTTTCAGCATAAACTTGAACTGAAATATATCATTAGGACACGTCAGCTAACTGAAATTATGGCAGAATTTAACACTGTAAATAATCGACCATATCCTATCAAGCTGTAAAAAAAAAGAGGAAAATGTTGATGAATCTTAAAATCAAAGGTGACTTTTTGATAAGAGAGAATGGAGCTTGCGAAAATATGAAATGTGTATATATCCCTTCTTATGCTTGGATTGCAAATTTGAATGGTGGATAAAGTTTCACACTAATAGCATTGTTTAAATGGTTTCCTTATTTCCGTGTGTGTGCTTGTTTTTACAAGTACATCTTGGCCAACATTACAGATCTTTGATATCTGTTATTAGTGTGACTGTTTTGGATTAGCATAAAATTCAATGTTTCATATTTTAGCTGGTAGTGTTTGCTCTTGAAATACATATTACCACAAGCAGACTAACCTTTTGCACATTACAGTTCACGATCAGGTTTAATGAGCACAAAATATGTTTGTAGACAATAGTACAAGGGGTTGGACACTGTAGGACTATTGTAGTTTTGATGCCCAAAGGCCACTTGCTGTGGTCTGGCTTCGATGCACCTTTGCTTTAGAGAGTCCAAATCCCAGAGCACAATGTACGAACACCTGACTAACAAATGATCTATAACACAAACTGCAAGAACATATATTAATATCTAGTGGCTAATACTAGAGTAAAATATGGTTAAAGTGATTAATCGTATCTAAATATAGGATGCATTTTGCTGCCATCAACAATAGAATGCAGAGTAAGTTCTTTAGTTCAGGGAGAACAACAGACAGGAGTGCCAGTGTCGTCCTGTACAATCTGAATGTCTGGCTGGTAACCAATCCACTTTATGAATTGGTGTACTCCGCAATGTGGTTCGTTCCAAACAGTGGATTTGACTTTTATTCTTGTCTAGCTGATGAAATTCTCCTTCGTCCTGGTCGAGTTTTCCCTTCAGAGATATTCTGCAGCATACAGTCAGTAGTGATGGAACATGTGCATTGAATGTGAGCAGGAGGTTAGTGATGCTTTATACTCTACCACATCATATGAACATTGCACTAGGCTTGTCTCAGTAGGACATAGCGGTCACTAGATCATGATCACCATAGGGTCTCTGGTTCTCGACTAGACCAAGATTACTTTTTCTTGTGCTCTTTTCGAGCATGCTTTGCTACTCTAGGCAATGATGAGGTCTGTGCCTCTGATTAGGTGCATTGTTGCTTTTGAATAACCCCAGCCTGTCTCTTTTGGGCATATGCAGTCCAGATTATGTTATGTAAACATATGTGGCTTGTCTCCTAAAAGATTGAAGGGTAAATGTTTTGGTTTTTAAGAAACTAAATTAAAACCAATCCCCAAATTCCTGTTAACAAAAGTTTAAACGGACTACTTTACTTGGATGGTTAACATCAGTACTACTTGTACAATTTATCTTTCAAAACTTCTTTGGTGTTTGCTTGCCAGAACTTGTGGAAGATACCAAAACTGTCAAGATCTTCCAAAAAAATGTGAATCTGCATAAATACCAAAGGTATCTGGTGACTGTAAAGATACCTATGACAGTAGACTTAAATGACTTATGGATTAGGACAATGGGGTCAGCCACTAGATGCATTTCCTAGTGAAAGCTTTAAAAAAAAAAAAAGTCTCTTTACAACAACGTTGGGGGGGTGGGTGGAATAATACAAGATCCCCTAGCTTTTTAGAGCAGTTCCTGGACCTTGAATTGGTGACTTTGTCTGACATGGGCTTGTCGGGATCATCAGTATCCTTGCAGGCTAGGACTGTTGGTGTTCATATGTATAATTCGGTTTGGAAGGTGTATCTTTTGTGGTTTTCATACGGTTCTTTTACAAGTTCTGTTTTCCTAGGAGTTTTTTTTTATTTTTTTTTAACTTTTTGTAGATGCTCTTGAAGAAAGTTTTCTGACCATAAAATATTTCTGCACCCCTGTGCTTTCATAAATGTTTGACACAAAGTATTTGGCGTTTGTTTATCCTGTTACTCATTCTTGGAGTCTGCATTCTGATTTTTTTTTTAAATTTTTTTTATTTTTTTGGGGGGGGGGTGGTTATCATGACACCCAAAGCCCATCCCCATCTGTGCCACATACACAATCCTACCACTGCAATTCAAAGTGTAAATATTGCTTGTCATTTCAAGTTTCATGTCTTAGGAACTGAGCTTGATGAGATCAGATTTAATTCAAGTTGATTTAAATCAATAGTCCATAATGCCCTATCTAAATCATGCAACCCCAGACTCGCTCCATAGAATTGGACTCTGCCCTTTAACTCTGTAGCTACCATTGTATGACCTGTGGCATCTGTCCACTCAACTCCTAATGATAGACCCCATTCAATAGAGGGTTACCCATAAAATACACAAAGCCAGATACAATACAGACACCCATTTTCTACAAAGAACCCAGTACAAAAAACAGATTAAAATGCACAGCTCTGAGCGTAATATGGATACTCCTACAATTAACACAGCTGGCCACAACCTGGATACATAGAGCTTGGGTAGACTACATAAATACCCATACAACAGGCATAGCTGACACCATACAATGGCTCTGTATAATGCGTAAACCTGCTGACACAGGAGATTTTGTGAGATCTGTCCCATGTGTTGGGTTTTGTTTTTTTACATGCCTAGTAGCTCTCAAACAGCCACCAATGGGGGGAGGGACTCGGCAAAATTGACACCTATTACAGAATTAGACTTGGGTTTTACTCATTTTTGGGGGGGGGACACACAGGCAATGTGTAATTTTATTCTATTCTATTTTTTTATTTCATTTTTATCTTTATTTTTGTTGTGCACAGATTAACAAACTGCCTCAGTACGCCACAACAGCGGTGTTGAGGTATATAGAAATTCAAAATGCAATACCTATACAAGGTGTGAAATTTGCTATTTAGGCACAATGTTTGTTTTAAGGTAAGATAGAGTAATGTCAGGCTAGTGAGATCAAGAATAGTAGGCTGAGTAAGTTTGAGCTGACCACCCATTGGACCTGAGTTCGCAGGATGTGCTTCACAGGTAAGCATGCTGGGGGGGTTTGTGGAGCACTTGTAGGAAGCCTGTGGTGCAACTTATCCCTGAAGCATTAGAAGAGGATGTCCAGCCTGGACAGGACGTCGTTCACCGTGAAGGCCGCACCTGTATACGCCTGTGGAACCTGCGTGCCTGCCACCATCTTGAGGTCGGCCCCTCTGCACACTGCAGCCTGGGGTAAAGTGAGTCTGAGTGCGGGTAGGCGTTGGCTGCTGTGGAGGTGGAGACCGGGATAACCCCCGCCGGTCCAAAAGGGGGGTGGGGGGGATGCAGAGCTCAACCGCCGTTCTTCTAGTTCTTCACCATTTGAGATTGTGCCTTCCTTCTCTTTTTAACCCCTTAAGGACCAAACTTCTGGAAGAAAAGGGAATCATGACATTCACACGTCATGTGTCCTTAAGGGGTTAAGCCGCCTGCTTGGAATATATACCATAAACAAGTGGTTTTCAACCACTGGTTCGCGGACCGGCAATAAATTGCCGCAAAATATTTGCCCGGTGCTATGATTATAGCACCGGGAACCGTGCCTCCCTCTTCCTTGCCGGCTCTGCAGGACCGGAAGGGAGATCAGAGACCGCTCGCAGTGGGATGCTGGCAGGGGAGGGAGAGAGGACCCGGGGGAGCTCTAACTTGCAGCTCAGCTGGTTCTCTTCGAGCTCGGATCTTTGCAGTTACCACAGCAACTCTCCGAATCCTGCAAGAGTGAACTCTAGTAGCTCCTAAGGTTGCTAGAGTTCACTCTCACCACTTGGACCGCAAGGGCCGTTCCCCCGGAACACCAGGGATCGCATGAAATGTTCCCCCCCTCCCAGGCAGGGAGGGGGGGATATATATAAAAAAAAAAAAAAATTATATATAGTAATATGCCCTCCATCCATACACACACACTGCATCCCATTGGTTTTTATTTCTGGCTGATGCTGGTCCACAAAATATTTCTCCTTTTTTCGCTGGGCCGCGGGTGCTAAAAGGTTGCTCAACACTGGCATAAACTATTTACTAATTGCAACTTGTCTTGAATCTGCAGTTTGTTTTCCTTTTATCGTTTATTTGGTAATGACTTAATTTATTTTGTTCATACAGTCCTTTTGTTTTGTTTTTTTTGTTTTTTTTCTAATTACAGAAAATTGCCAGTTGACAAAAGATTCTATTCAGATTGGAAAGATAGTTTAAAATATAGTTTATGTATCAGGCATTCCAGAACTGAAAATTATGATGTATCTAAATGTTTGTTCTTAAACATTGTGTATTTATGTGTATGTATAATCTTTTATGTTAAATCGCAATTGTCTTTTTAATTCTTGTTTTTCATTCCCAGAGTTACTCAGTGGGTCTGTACCTGGTAAGACAAAGAACTTCATCTGAACTCTTGCAGAGGTTGAAAACTATTGGTGTCAAACACCCTGAGATATGCAAAACCCAAGGTAAGAAAAAAGGCAATACTGTATTATGCAGAGTTGACACTTTTTATGTTTATGCTTTGAAGCAGTAGTGTTCATTTTCCTCCCGTATCTTTTCAGTCCGAGAGAAGTTGCGTCTGGACCCGGACAGTGAGATAGCCACCACAGGAGTCAGAGTATCCCTGATATGTCCGGTAAGATTTACAAGGAGAAACCATGCGAAAATTCAGCAATAAGAGTTCAGAGAAGTCGGTCAAAACACCGCCATAACGATATCCTCTGAACAGCTAGCTGCTCCTAGACTGCAAAATAATAGAACTTGTTAGTACTTTGACAAGACTTCACTGAGAACGTGACAACGTCATCTAATCTAATAAATGAAGGCTAATGAACAATTTAACAAATTAGGGGAAGTTACTAAAAGTGGTAAGCACATAATCCAATCAAGGGAGATGATGAGGAGGGTTTGTCCTAGAGACCTAACTAAACAAGTCATTCAGTTACTTCATTGTTTATCAAATGCACTGGGTTTGTCTAAGCGTTCCAGGTTCTTTATTGTATGGCTCTGTAAAACCATATACTACTTAAATGAAGATTAGGTTCAATGGTTAGGTTGCAGTTTATTATGGAAGATGTTTTTATTTTTTTTTATTTTTTCTAGTCTGTTTTGTTTGCTGCAGGGTTGTGTGCTTCAACTCTATTTGTAAAACAAACACCTCTGACTCCTTAATTTTTGGCACCTCCAGCTATTCATATACACTAATGGCTAAAATTGTGGAATCCATTTGGATAAATGGTATTTCTAAGGTTTGGCTCAATAACAAGTAGTTTTTTATTTTATTTTTTATTTCCTATTAGAAAGGTAATGTCATGCAGTATGTAGTGTTGAATTAGCTATATTCCATCAAAGTTATAGATAAATAACGGAAAAAAGAACACATCTGCTTTTTGTAACATGAAGGGGATTTGCTTGACTCAAAACGGACACTCAGAGAAATCCAATCTTATTTGTCAATCAGGTCTTACGACACCGATAGGGTTCGTATGTCTGCTCTCCGAGCTAATAGAACTCCTACTCTGTTACGAGTGGTTTTTGTTTACTGGTTTGTTGGCCATGGAATTTTCTATTCCGTAATAACTTCATCTTAACAAGATACAGTTTACCGAGTGAAAAGAGCTGACTGGTAACCTATAAAGTGATGTAAAATAACTTTTTCATAAGAAAAGTAGCTGTAAGTCTAAAGAAAGGCGTTATTTCTAAATTCTGAGTTTTAAATTAAGTCTGCAAATACCTCTGGTAGGAAAAGATGCACAGCAGCATGTAGTGATAGAACAATTAAAACCTGTGTTTAAGTGACAGAATAAAATGATCTGAGCCAATCAATGGAAATGTAATTGTCTGTGTGGTTTGAAGATGGTTGCTAGCACTGTTAGCTGCCGAGTCAGACTTTGGTTTAAATTCTAGAATTCCAATGAAAAAGCCATTTCTATCTTCCAAACAAGGAAGAGATCAGAATGGTCTAAAACACCGTTAATTATTTGGAGGAACAATGGGATGCTCACCTGGAGTGATGAGACAAGAATATCAATATTTGCTAGTGATAGCATAAAGTACGTGAGCAAATGAATAGGTCCTAAATACATTGCAGGTACCAGGAAGCATTCAGTTAGCATCATGATCTCCAGTTGTATGACAACAAAAGGTGTGGGCAGATTATATGGATCGTAATGTAAATGACAAAAAATAAATCTGCAATATACTTGAGCGGCAACTGAAGCCTTCGACATGTGATCCTTTCAAGCATAATGAAGCCTATACATTGCAGCAGAATTCAGTTGTCATTTTGCTGTTCTGTGGAATGAGTGATTTCAGGAAAATTATAATACAGTGCTAAAAGGGCCAGTATTGGTCCTGACCTGATTATAAAACCTATTTTAAAATGTAATTTTTAAATTTATTTATTTTTTAATAGTGTTGCATTGTATTTTGCCTTAAATTAGCTTTATAATCTATAATGTATTATTCTAAAGGACTGTTATGAACAATTGAACCTTCAGAAATACACATTCCACAATTTTGGCCACTGGTGTATAATTATATTCTGATTACCAGATTACAGTTAAGTACAAGTCAGACACCATAGAACCATGCACACTCAGGTACTTGAGAAAAGAATTGTTTGAGTGTGTTTATACTACACAAACTCCACAGCACCGTTTCGGTTACTAAAGCATTAGAAAGAATTTAATTAGCTTCCAACACTTTTGTTAAGCGTTCAGTATTTCAGTTTTCCTACACACTGTATTTGAATCATACATTTCAAGTCCCCATCTGCCTTAATTTTTCCATAAGCGCGCTTCATATCTGTTTTTTATTTTGTAGTTGGTGAAGATGCGCTTGACTGTACCCTGCCGTGCAGAGACCTGTGCTCACCTCCAATGCTTTGATGCAGTCTTCTACCTGCAAATGAATGAAAAGAAACCAACATGGATGTGTCCAGTGTGCGACAAACCTGCCCAATATGACCAGCTTATTATAGATGGGTGAGCATTGTATCTTGGTTTATTTAGGGACTGTGACGGTAACGTTTAAGTGAGATTGGTAAGAACTCAATTGTCTTGTTTTAGGCTCTTATCAAAGATACTCAGCGAATGCCGAGATGCAGATGAGATAGAGTTCATGGTGGATGGATCCTGGTGTCCTATAAAAGCAGAAAAAGAGAGGAGCTGTAGCCCTGTCTGCCCTATTCTGGATTTGGGTAAGTTGATTGTCTTTTACCTTTCATTTAGCACGTCTTGTCTTGCCACAAATGTGTTTTCTCTCATTTTGTCTTAATCTCCAATGCTAGTTTATATTAACGTTGTTTTCTTAAGTGGCCTAGTGTTTAATGGTGTTGTGTGTGTTTTTGTTTCTTTTCTCCCTTGTGGCAGGTTCTCCTGAAATTACAGCAAAACTTCCCCCTCCAAGCAACCCAATATCCAATGAGAATGGAAAGCCTGGGCCAGATGTAGTGGACCTAACACTTGATAGCACTTCATCTTCATCATCCTCTTCTGAAGAAGAGGAGGAAGAGGAAAGTCCTCCACAGAAGAGGCGATGCTTTGAAAAAGGACTTCTGTCAGCCTGCTGATGTCCTTCACCACCAATCAGACTAAAAACCACACATTGCAGGCATAGACACAGGGTGGGGGTTGTGTCCCCAGTCCTATGAAACCCTTTATGAATCACTACTTTCTCAAAGTCCCTTTCACCTATTAAACCCAATAAGAGGCATAGAAAATCACGTTCAGCTGGAAATGGGTTAAATATTAATCCAATTAATGTCCACTCTTTGAACTTTTCCCCCTTTTCTTTAATTGCTATTCTAAACTGATTCTCGGGAGAGGGCTCGGAATACAGACTCAAAAGGGAGATGACCATTCCATGCATCCTTTGCGACCATCTCCTATTCCTCCCTTCCGCCAGCTTGTACTATTAGACAGCATATTCTCTTGTCTGCTCTGTGATGTACTCTGGAGGGGTTGTAATGATAAACAAGATAGTGTTTGCTCATTATTAGAGCTATCGAATGGTGTGAATATTTTGGTGGAGAAGATGGACTTCAGAAGAGTATTGAGCTATAAATCCTTAGATCTAGGATTGTGTCTGCAATTGAGGAAGTAGAGAAGCAGTTTGTGTTTAGTTCTCCTGTTACAGAAATGTAAGGGGAAACACGCTTTTATTCATTGTCCTTAGTGATATGCAAAAAGCGGGTGTGTTTATATTTTCTTGGGCAATACCTGGGTGGAAGGGTCTACGCAATGCTTTCAATTCAACTACCTCTCTGCTATTCAGGTTTTATTTCTGTGTTAAGGGGAGAGGTTATTGCTGCTCTACACACGTTCTCTTCCCTTTTTACATCTTCCACTCAAAACGCCACCCTGCTGTCTATAATACAAAATTTTGAACACACCCACTATTGTCTCTTTGTTCTCAAAATCTTTCACTCAAACTTTTTGTTCAACATTTTGGGTGGAAAACTAGTTCTGGATGGGCAGACACTCCTACGACCCACAGTTTAGGGTAAATGTTCTAAAATGCCGTGCAGAGATCTTACTGGTCATTCCCATTATAGAGAAGCAGGGGGTGCACAGTAAAAAAATATCCTGTTCTCATGCTACTGTTCTGACTTTTTTTTTTTTTAATGTGCTACAAGGAATCATACATAACCACCACACCTGGAAAAAAAAACGGTTTTGTTTTGGGTTTTTTTTTTTTTTTTAATTAATATAATTGAAATACCTTTTATCTGGGCTACCACTTTAGAATTGGGTATTTAAAAAACAAAGAAAAAAGGTCTCTCTTTATAGAACCTGTAACTTGATGGTTTTCATTCCTTTGTTCCCAGATTTTGTTTTTTCCTTTTTGTATGTCTTGTTTATTGTGGTAATATATTGCAGGATATGATGCAGCTGGTTCAGGATCCGCCTCCGCATGATATCATTGTCTTTCCTTTTACTTGTTTAACAGAATTGCTTTTAAAACTTTCTGAGCAGTCTCTGGATTCTGGAGCAGTTTTATTTTCTTTTGTGTTTTTTTTTTTTGTTTTTTTTTTTTTAATACATGGTAATTTGTTTGCAAAATCTTTTGAAATTTTTTATTTTATTCTATTATCTCTGTACATTCCCCCTGAAGATAAGATTAAAAAAAACACTCATGAAGATAGTGTTTGTTACAATAAAATGATTTACAATTACACAAGCTGTGTAAGTATGTTCCCCAAATATGTTTATCCATGCAGATAGATAATCCACACTAAACATCGTTTGAAATATAACTTTTTAGATTTGTACCTTAGTTTGGCAAGCTCCATCTAATGGGTATATAACTCATCTTCCACCTCTATCTTCTACAAATCCTGCACTGTGTATAAAATTGGTTTTGTTGAATGAAAGTAGAGCCTAAATATATAGTTGGGTTCTATCATTTAAAACCTAGATTGTTATCCAAATACTTTGCATAGACCCCATGGCACTTGACTACTGAAAAATCTAACCACAACCTCAACATATAGCGCCCTACACTTCTAGAATGCTTGCATTGTCCTGCAAAGTTTAACCCCTCATGTTTATTTTATAGTCCTGAAGTGGGCTAACTTTCATCCTTTGTAATTTGAAAGCAATGCATTGCCTTGCCAAGTCAAACTGTATGGACTGCCGAGTTGCGTGGATGTGACCTATTGAATAATTGCATCTGTTCAGCAGTTGTGAAAAGGTACATATATTTTGCTGTTAAAATGGAGTGCGAAGTATTAAAATAGAACATTTAATGTTTAAAAAAAAAAAAAAAAATTATGTATAAAGAGCATTTCTGGGAAAAGTTCTAAAATGGAGCAGTTGGGTAGAAAATGCTGTTTTGTTTTTTTTTTTTGTTTTTTTTTATGGTGATTGCTCCACATTTCAATTTAGAAAAATGTTTTGTCTTAATTTTTCTATTTTTCCATAAAATACTTTGTCTTAATCAAGGATGTAGGTGACCAGACCATTGTCTCTGCTTATCTCGTGTTTATCATTGGATTAAATTACATTCTATCCCGTATAACATTAGCTCATGGATGTAAGGCTTTTCACAACCTTCCTATTACATCGATGAAAAAGACTTCCATTCTTTGATGTTTTCTACCATTTCATTGACCATGCCTTTCTGACTCACATTAAAGCTTTTGTGGCTCTTGCCTAGAGAGAAACATGTTGCATTTCTTCCTTATAACTGTTAATTCCTGGACAATTCATGCCCATCTGTGCTTAGTCATCATCCCTCTTTGTCTAGTATCCTAGCAAAAGGAGTTTTTTTTGTTTGTTTTTTTCGGTTGAAGCTCACCTGGTTTTACACTGATCTTGAAGGATGACTTCTTGGTATTCATCCAGCATGTACGATAAACTGCTCCCCTAAGATAACCTTGCATTGACCTTTAATATGCTTGTACATAGTTGTTGCCTATTCGGTGCCTCTTTTCTAGTGTAAATAAACCCAGTTTGGCTAGACTCTTCCATTCATTTTATACAATTTGTAGTCTCTTTTTACTCTTCCCTCCTACATATCTTTCTAAATGTTGCCCAGAAAACTCTGCTCTCCCTAACCGTAAAATTTCACACACTACTCTTACATCAGTATATTTTTCATAACGGAAGATAATATGTGTGGCTTTTATGATACATGGTGGTTTTTCCTCACGTAGATCACATCTTGTTGGCATGAGATGTGCAAATCTGAATGCTGTTAGCAGTCTAGTTTTTTTTCATACTGCTTAAGACTTGGTGAGAACTTAACGATGTAGGAGATCTAATTAAGATTGTAGTTTAAAAAAATAAATCTTGTGCAGCAGTTTTATTTTTAAATTTTATTTTATAGCTCCTTTTACTCGGATTGCTTTAAAGATTGGCGAAAATGGGTTACTTGGTGCAAAAATAGTAAGATGACTCATGACCTGAAGCAAATTATATACCTTCAGTTTAATTGTGTCAAACAAATTATACACTCATAAAATAGTAATATGTATTTTATTTTTTTTAAGGACTTTTCGTCTTGAAAAGGCTTTACTGGACATAAATTGACGTTGGAGGCATTTAGCGGTCAGACATTCCTAGAACTAGTTATAGGAGCAGCTAAAACAGTTTGAAAAACTGGTAAATACAATACAGTTAAAATAAAGTAACTATAACTAAAGAGATATAGATATATATAATTTTTTTGTAATGTTAAACACCAATACACACCCCAGTCAAGCCATAAGACTTGCTTTTACCAATGAAATCTCACTTTAACAGTGCTCTCATTACTGCAAGGGATTCTGGGTAGGTGTATGCAAATGAGCTCAATAAAGAACCAAATTTTTGCCTCTTAATTCCACTTTATACATGGATTCCTTGGAATAATATATATACACATTCTTATTTTTTATTTTTATTTTTATTTTAGTGCATCTGGTGGAAAAGTGAATATTGTTAATTTGTTACTTTGGAAGGATTGACGACATACCTTTTAATCGGGTCTGCCTCAATCTTGTGTCCCAGGGGCATTACAGTGTATTTAAAATAAATATTTAAGAGGGAAGTTAAATAAGAAGTACATTTAAATGATAAAGTAGCACTTTTTTCACTTTTTGTTTGTGTGGAGGGAAAATATGGGGAATCACATGTATGTTTGGCATTTTAGCATAGTTGAAAGTATTGAACTGAAAAAAAAAAAACATTCTAGAATACAACCACTGGCTCCATTAAAGCCATAAATATTAATAGAGGTGTATAGTACTATGAAAATATCCCTTCCACATTATTGGCATGGATTTCTTTTCAAGTCATTTTGTGGCAATAGTGCAAAACACGAACAGAGTTATCCACTAAAGTGAGATATTTTGTGTGTGTATATATGTACTGTATATTTTTTTTTATTTTTTTTTAGGGGCACTGTAGTCATTATAACAAATTCCCAGAAATGAAATGTTAATAGTTCATGGAGTCCTCTGGTGAGGTCTCTCCATTTAGTGTTAAAACATTTTAGAGCAGTTTTTGTTTTAGAACGCTACCTTAGGGTCGTTGGCCTCCCACTGCCCAGCCCCTTCTGGAGGTGTGGCTAAGGCAGAGATCACACACTTCTTTGTAGTCGTACCTACTCATACTTGCAGTGGGCCCTGTGCTTGGCTGAGAAAATTAGCTGCTTTTAGCCTATCACAGCTGCCCATTGCCTCTCAGGCTAATACGTCAGTAGCCCAGGCAGCACAGAGCAGATGGGCTGCTGGGTATTTGTTTAGCATAATAAAAACTGCTCAAAACTGAATGAAAGGCTGGCATCAGGGGACTCCAGGCAGTCCAACCAATTCATGAAAGAGAAGAATCAATGTCCAGCGCACCTGGTAGTTTAAGGGATATCCCCTTTATTTATCACTTATTCATAGCAGTAAAGTTTTGATTGTGTTCTTTTCAAGCTTCAAACAGTGCTCTACTTCTACAGCCTTAATTATTCTTCATTTGATAATGAAGGGGCACGGTAATACCAGAATGAAATGAGCAAATTCCATAGTGATACTATAAAAGCAGTTTTCCTGGCACTAAAGGGTTAATAGGTCACCCCCTTTTCCTCACGTGTCCCCTTCAGCCACTTACCTGAATCAAGCACCGCTATCCCTTGGCACTGGGTCAGGCTCCACTCATGCACCCCTCGTGCCGATGTCAGCAGGAGGGGGAGACCTAATGCGCGGCAATGGCCGCGCGCGCATTAGACCTCCCCATAGGAAAGCATTATTCAATGATTTCCTATGGGAAATCTGATGCTGGAGGTCTGTGAGGACGTCCAGCGTCAGATAATGGACCAAAAGTCAGTTTGGATTACAGAAGCCCTCTATTGGCTGTCTGGTAGACAGCCACAGAGGACAGACTTAGAGCAGCAATTGAAAAATTGCAGTTCTCTGGAACTGCAATGTTTTACATTGCATCACTAAGTGCAAAAGGGTCACAGCACCCAGACTACTTCAATGAGCTGAAGTGGTCTGGGTGCCTACAGTGTCCATTTAAAGTGCTGATTTACATAAAGTGCATTGTTGCATATAAAAGGAACCAAGATAATTGTGAAAACACACTATATAAATTATCTATAACAGATTGAGAAAAAAAAAAGCAATCTTTCAATTACTTACTAAATGTCTGAAGAAACATCATGTTTGTTTTTGACTATTTCTCTGTGAAATACAATGGGGTACCTAAATGGATGCATCTGCTGAGAATGATACTTAATGTAAAAACATGAATAATCCATATATATTTAAAATAAAAATTTCCTCAATATTGTACCGAACCAGCTTCAGGCACTCTAATCAGTTACAAACACAAAAATAAAGCACCGTGCTTACAGCAGCAGTAGCTTAGTATCCAACAGCTTAAAATACATAGTAAAAACAAAGAACGTTACCTGCGCTCTGACCTAACTCCCCATGTACATTTAAACAAAATGGAGGTGATTTGTATGTGTTATAGCCCTATTCAGGGTTAAGTATGTAGGGGTTTATAAAACACCCCTTCATGTCTCATTAGGGATGTTTACACTTTGTCTGATACCAACAAAGTTTATTGTATGTGTAGAAGCCCTATAAAGGGTTAAATGTGAAAGGGTTTATAAAATACCCCATCCTGTCTTACTGGAGATCCTTGGCTGATATCAGCATATCTAATGGCTAGTGTAGGAACTCTCCTATTGAGGCTTGCCTTGACGTGGCAGGTGAGCTTATATATTCAAATGGCCATTGGAATAAAACTAAAGAGCCTCCATTTTGTTTAAATGTACATGGGGATTTAGGCCAGAGCGCAGTTAACGTTCTGTTTTTACTCTAATCCCTTGTATGTAAGCTGAACAAAGATGGAGTTGGGGAAAAAAAATTGCAAAAAAATGCCTAGAGGTTCCAATATACTAAATGCAAGACAATTGGCTCCCTTTCTTTTAATAGTCTGCACCCACTACCCCCTCATCTCAATTTGGGTGCACTATCAATAACGTGGAATCTGAATTGTAAAACTTGAAGTCCTGCCTCCTTCAAATGTGCTGAAACTGGTAAATCTACTTTCTCTGTTCTGATAGTAGATCAATGTTTTGAAAAGATTCTTAGATTTTTTACTTCATTCTGGGCTTACCACAACCTTTATTTATCACATAAGTAAGAATAATTAGGGCTGTATAAATAGATCATTGTTTGAAGCTGTGATTTAGATTAGACACTTTTTGGAAGGTGTTTTGCTATAAATGTATGATAAATAAAAAGGATATAATTTAAACTACCAGGTGTGCGGGACATTGTTTCTTCTCTTTCACAATATTATACCGGATAGGCGGACTTTGAGTCCTCTACACCCTGCTTTGAATAACACGTTTGAGTGCTCACATAAATGTGTAGTTTAGTAGATTATAGCCAACTCAGTGAGATGCAGCACTTATAGTGCCTAGGGTCCCTTTAAAAGTGACAAACGAAATGGCCAAACTGGGAGCATAGCAAATCTTTCCAATTTAGCCTTAAAGGAACACTCCACGCACCGAAGGCATTACCATCACTATGGTGGCAGCAGTGATCCCCCTACAAATAATTTCAGCCTACCCATTGTAAAGTGTCAAACTATAACAGAAGTTCCTGTTGGAGTTTCTGGTTCTCTGGCATTGGTAGTGGAGCACCAGGCGCAGTCAAGGTAAGCACTCAAGCCGTTCAAAAATTTGTATGATTCCTTGTAATGATATGCTGTAGTGGCTATGGTGCTTGTGTTTTAAATTTGTAATTCACTTTATATTTCCAACAGTTCTCACTTTGGTTAATACATTTTGTGAATGTTCCTATTTGGTGATCAAAGTATTCAATCATGCAGTCTTGAGCTATGAATTCGTAACCCTTCTGACTCCTCACAAAAACCTTTATTTTATTGAGTTGGGTGGTAAAACTGTTGCCACACTTAAAGTGGCTTATAATGTTTCTTTAACATTTTCACAAGAATTCAGGTGTGAGTGAAAAATGTAAATATTGTTCCATTACCAAATGCAATGATGAGTAGCAACCACTTAAATGGTTCTCCAACCCTTTTTCATTTAGGATAGAATAATGCCCTAGTGGCATTCTACTATCAGTCCACCCACACAGAAAAAAATGCTAAAAAGGGTTTAAAAAAAAAAAAAATTTAAAAAAATTAATTACCTCAATCCAGCGCTGGGCGTTTCCCTTTCATCGCTGAAGTTCAATTTAACTGGACCATTTTACCTGCTCAGGCTCTGCCTGCAAGGGAGAAGCTATGATGTCTGTCGGTAGCGTGCAGTGCGGGTGGATGACAGATGTATTTTATGTACAGAATTGACATTAGGCAGCCCGGAACAGAGCAACTTGCCTGCGGCACACAATTGCCAATTATTGTGGAAGTGCCGTGTTTGAAGACTCCTGCCACCATTACCACTTCAAAAAGCAGAAGTGGTCATCAAGCTCGCACTGGCAATCAGACAAATGCCCGGTGGCCAAAGTATCTCTATCGGTCCATGCAGTGCCAGACTCGCTGTCTGTCTTCTCTCTCACCGGCCCACTAGCACTAAAATGAAGAGAGGAGTAAAAAAGAGGCTAAATAAACCCTTAACAAGTGTGGGCTGTGGAATATTGCCACAGCAATGCTCTAACAGCGACTACCAGCGCTGTTAGGTACCCACTTCCCTGGGCAAAGGTAAGAAAAATGGTGGGGAGGGGGGATAGAATTTTTTTTTTTTGTCATACGTGTAAAGCCACGACAGCAATGACACGTTACATAAGAGCATAACATAGGTAATACATGGCATCATGGTGTTACAATTCACACTTTTTCTATTATAATGGGCTGATCGGTTGTAACGAGAGGTGTGGGTTGAGAAAAGGAGTGTGGTCCACTCATCTATGTGGGATTAACAGCACCACTATCTGTGTATTGCATGGCCAGTGTGACAGATAAGCCTAGTTGAAGTGTCCTAGTGTTGCAGGTATCCCTTGACCTTCGGAAGTAGGGGCGAGTATGTTCCAAGTTGAGTTTTGTGAGTCTAGGCTGTACATGAACATAGTATCGTGTGTCGTTGGCAACTACTCAGTAACTCCTAGTGTCCAGGGACGTGGAGGTTCATGAGTGTGGCTTAGTGGGTGGTACTGTGGGTTATGGAGGTCTGTTAGCCACAGAGTGATGCGTACATTAAACTGGGCTAGGGTAGGTTGTGAAGTGTAGTCTATTTGTGGAATACTAGAAGTGGAATTCTAGTCAAGTGGGTTGCATGGCCTATGTGAGCCATCTTAGGGATGGTATCACTATTTGTTAGTGTGTTAGGTGGGGAGGCTCCTGTGTAAGTAGTACCCCGTAACCATGGGGCACAGGGGGGTAGGTTGGTGGTATGTCACCGGAGCATTAGAACTTATTATTCAACAAGTAAAAATCAACTGAAGTAAAGTAAATTAAATATATAACAGAAACAAGGTAGATATTTTTATTGGAGAGGTGGCAAAGGCTTGGGGCTCCTAGCCACGAAGGATTAAATTGTCCAAATTTTTTTGGGGTAGACAAGAGTTTGTCCACACCTCTTTCCATATTATATTTGAACCAAGTCAGTGGATAAAGCGTCCCAACATATTGTGTTAAACTCGTAGGATAGCTGTGGCCACCGAATGTTGGTTCAGGTCGTGGCCCCTCTCCTCTCTGGTTCTGGAGCTCGCTGTAGTGCCTGTGGTCTGAGGTTAAGGATTAGGTGGTAGCATAGAGTCCTCGTGATGTTGGGGGGGTCTCAGTGCTGGGCCTTCTATTGGGCGGTAGCCTTGTAGTGTTGACCCTCTTTCGTCACCCACCATGTCCCAGGTGTTGCCCATCGGCAAGCGATACCAGCTGCTTGTAGTGATTTGCTTAGTGGTTGCATATGTTTGCGACACAGTAGCGTAGCCCTGCTTAAGTTCTGAAAACATTAGAGCTGGTACGTTTCAAATTCCAAGGTAGTTTTTCCCTTTAATGCAGCCAGCAGTCCCAGTTTGTCATCATTCGGCACCGCAATATAAGGTCCCGTGGAGCTGTGTTATGGGCTTGTGGGGATTTAGCGATCCTGTAGACTCCGTCGAATGAGAAGGTTTAGATATTTTGCTTTTAATACCAATACATACATTCTCTCTCTCTCTCTCTCTCTACAGAATATATATATTATATTTTTATTTTTTATTTTTTTCTCTCCCTCTCCTCCCCTCCCCACACACACTCCCACAAGTAGCCTGCAAACCTATGCACAATATGCTTTCCTGGCACTTTTGTCCTCTGGTATCCCACTTAGAAATATGGACGGTCAATGATAGAGGAATTCTTCAATAATTACCTTGAAATAGACTTAGCAGGTCTAAAAACGAAATTCTTCTTGGCCAAAATGTGATTATGGAAGGTACATTTACATAGCCTGTATTTAATTTCTGGAGAATTATGGGAATTTTATCTAATGGCAGTAATACATAAGCCAGAGAAAAATCAAAAGTAACTGCGAAATCATTTCTGTACAGTGAAACAGAACTCTTGACCTTTCTGTTTTTTCATCTGGGTATTTAGGCTTATTTTTACCAAATCAAACAGAACCAAAAATGTGCATGATTTTCTTAAACCCCAGATCACACAATTCCCAAATTTTCTTGATTACATTTTGTCCAAAAAATGTTTGTCTAATCGTCAAATATAAACTGATGAAATTGACCGTACTTGTTCTTCTGCCCAAGGCATAATCTTCTTGCAAAGACTTGCCAGTTTTTAGTGTTCCATCTTGTTGCGGAGTCAAAGATATTATGAACCACTCATGGCTAACTATTGGAAAACTGTAAATTGTTGTTATACAGACATTGAAAAGGGCCTCTAAACACTCCCTTGTTCAGCCAGAGTATCTCTGTTATTCTCCCTCCCTTGTATAGCTCAGATGTCCAGAGTGATCATATCGCACCTAGCAGTTTCCCCAAACATCAGAGGAGGTTTGATGAACGGTGGAAACAAAGTACTCTTTATTGAACAGAACCACACATATTTATACAGCATACAATATTGACTCTCCCTCAAGGGGATGATCCACATAACAATAGGTAAGACCAGCACTGCAATGGAGAGAAGGCAAGTTACATATCTTGTAACTCCATTCTGAGGGCAGGAGGTAGTCCAGCACTATAACACTAGAAATCAATGTTTGTATATAGTTATATATGTTGCAAGTCTTGCAGACATGTGGACATGAGCAAGGGCATAATGTGTACTGTGTGTGCCCTAACGCACCCGCCAGGGGAAATCAAAGTATCTCCTTTGCCAACCACTTGTGGGCTAGGTGCTACTTAAGCACTGGCCCCTGAGAGGTGGCTCCATGGCCAGTGGGGAAATTAAATATCTCCCTTGCCATCCTGGCCACCCTAGTGCCAATGGGTACAGACCAAGTTCACTACCACTTCTACTGTATAAGAGCATGGCAACAATATGATATATTCCCCAGCATTGGGGGGAAAGTAAAATTGGTGGTGCAAGCAAGCATTCCCCCTTCCCTGGCCCACAGTAAGTCACAGTGATGGGGGGAAATATACCTTGGTTTAGTTTTGTTTGTAGTATCTCACCGATACAGTATAGAAGTGGTCATCAGGCCTGCCCAATGGGCAGTGGCCAATGGGAAATTAAAGTATCTCCTCTGCCGGCCCATGCAGAGCCAGCCTCGCTGTCTGTCTGATCTCTCACCAGTCCACTAGCACTAAGATGAGGAGAAGAGTAATAAAGAGGCTAATTAGACCACTTACGAGGGATGGCAGCGGTTACCATGGCAACGCTCCGACACAGCACATAGCCAGAGCTCATGAGAGGAGAGTACTCAGTCTGCAGCACATCCCCTCCACACAGACAGAACCTATGTGCAACCACAGCATACAACCTCCCCCTGACATTATAGGGACACCAGAGACAAGTCTCGGAAAAACATAGAACAAGTACTGGCACTAGCACTGTAAGTTTTAGAATGATTTGACAATTTCTATCAGTCCCCAAGATCTGCATCCGGTCCTCTCCTGCAGAAAACCCCAAATATTGGTGTTATTGATCTAAATCATGCTCTATAGAGGACTGTCCTCATTGATTGAGAACACTCAGCTGATACTCTCAGCCCTGCTGTAGGGAGAATCCGAAAGCAGACACCTGGTAAGACCCAATTAATGTGTTAAACTGTTCTAAAACAGAATGACAAATTACAGTGGGAGGACGCCAGGGTAGTTCTAGCACCTTAATTACTACAGTGGGCCATAGTTGTTATAGTGTTTGTATGGTTCCTTAATAAAAACCATGGGGACCATAATAAAAGGTGCTGCGCATGTCAATGTATATGAAACGAATTCTTGATTTTAAAATGTTTTTCTTCTGCTTGTTTACTAAAAAATGAATTGTGGTGAAGTTAAAACCTAAATAGCAAAGTTGTAAAATGAATAAAGAGAAAAGTGATCTATTCTTACAGTCATTTTCTTGGATGTATTTTATTCAGTGTTGCAATTTTTCTGGGGTGTTTTATTTTTTTTTCTAGGGTGATCTTATTTTATTAGTTTCATGGGATAGGGTAAAGGAGGATAAGGTAGATATTATTTTTATTGGAGAGGTGGCAAAGGCTTGGGACTCCTAGCCACGAAGGATTAAATTGTCCAAATTTTTTGGGGGTAGACAAGAGTTTGTCCACACCTCTTTCCATATTATATTATTAGCCCTCACTTGCCGCCTACTGGTTTGGCTAGGTTCTCCTCCAGTTCATATTTATATAATAGCCCCCACCTGCAACCAATGTGTGAAGACTGAGCAGGATGTTAGCCCTCCCCCTCCCCCCCCCATTTTAATATTTATTAACTTGCCCCCCCATACTCTTTTTTTATTTATTTATAGCCACACTGTGGAGGCAAAAATTTTATTTGTTACTTAGTTCAGGCTATCTCTCCTAAACTCAATGTATAGAATTAATTTAAATCCTCAAGGGTATTGGCGGTAGAAACAATATTTGCAGGCAATGGGTGAGAGATTAAAAATTAAATTGGTCTGCCTGAAGTATTTTTTTTTTTCTTTTGAAGAAGGGAGTTCTAGTGAAGGTTTCAAGTAAATCGGGAATTCCAAGGAGTCTATTCTTGCCTTTTTTTTGGTCCAAAAGCCAGACAAGTCATATTGACCAGTGCTGGATCTCAGAGACAACAGATGTATTCCTTATCGAAGATGTCGGATTGATAGCAGTCTATCTGTGACTCAATTCTTTAGAAAGATTACATGACAAAATTAGCATACCTAAATGTACCAATAGCAGTAAATACATGAAAGTTCATCAGATGTGTGATAAGATAAGGAAAAAGAAGATCCTTCAGTTTCAATTCAAGGCCTTACCTTTTGGCCTTGCTTCAGCACCAACTGTGTTCACAAGCAGTTACTCTAAGGTTAAAAGGTATAGTGATTGTACCTGGACGATTGGTTTCTGAAGATAGAATCAAAACAGTGTCTGAAAAATAAACATTCAGGAGACCATTCAGATTTTACAGGACCACGGCAGGATCGTCAATCTAAAAAAAATCTCGGAATTCCTAGGTCTTTTAGTGGATTCCAGATCCTTGTCACTTTGTCTTCTAGTAAAGAAACTAAAAAGAATAAAAAAAATGTCATATCTTAAGAAAGATGTACTGTAAGAAAGGCTACAGGTTTAACCTTCCAGCAGAGAAATTGGCTTACAATTACCACAGTCGTTTCTCCGACAGGATCGGGTGCTCACTTAGATACGCAATTTCAACAAGGAATAAAAAAATAATTCTGATCCAAAGGCTGCTCAGTCCTTAAACTTCAGAGAAATGAAGGCAGTATTAAATGATCTATTGGCTTTCAAACTAAGATGAAGTTAATATAAATACAGTCTGACAATATCACTAGAGTAACTTACCTATACACATGTTTTGTTCTCAGATAATGTTATGGGCAAGAATTGTAATCCCTTACTGCTACTCACATCAAAGGCACGCAAAACATAATTTTAGATTATTTAAGATGACGCCGATGGTCACACAAGCAGAACGGTCCTTTCACCCACCCAAGTTTTCAAAATTAGTAGAACAATTTGGCATCCCACACATCGATCTTATGGCTACAAGAAAGAACAGGAAAATTTCAGATTTGCATGTCTTCTAAGACGAGATCATCCACACTTCTTGGAGGGTCTGTCAATTCCTTAGAAATTCAGGAAGGTTTAGGGGGGGCGGAGCGAACAGCCATACTAGCAAGACGCACATTACTGCAGCTCCGAGCAAAACGGCACCAAAAAGGCAAAAACGAACAAAAATAACAACTAACAAACAGAACCCTCCGCAGCCGGAGACTTCCCACATACCATGGGACGCAAAAATAAGAAATGCAAGCCAGATCGACCTCCATCCACGGCCGATATCGGCGATCTGCTGTGGAGGCCGCACTCCTCACAGAGGCCTGTCATGGCGCCGCTATCGGATGCCCCATCACGCACTACTAGCGAAGAATCCCTGTACGACGGGACGCCCTTTGAGGCCCAGCTCCCCAACAAGGTGCAGACCTCTCCGCAGACACTACCGGTCAAGCCCCCGGTTACAGAGGAGTCCCTACGGGGCATGCTGGCTGAACTTCGCCGCAACATCGCGGCCGACATAGGACAGTTCAGGGAGGAGGTGAACGGGTTTGCGGCCCGTCTCCACAACTCAGAGCGCATAACAGAAGCACGCGAGACCCGCATTGCGACCCTGGAGCAGTCGTTGATCAAACTGCATCACTCCCAAACACGCTCCGAGGAACACATGGCAGCTCTCGAGGACAAGCGGAGATGGAAGAATGTCAAGGTCCGCGGCCTACCTGATACCATGGAGATGGCAGAGTTCCCACACTTCATCCGCAGACTGCTCACTAAGCTTTTCTCCGCCAAACAAGCCAAGGCGATGACACTAGCCGGATGGCACCATATAACGGGACCCGCTACAGGAATACAACGGCCAACCAGAGACATAATCCTCCGGTTCCAACAGGGGCAAGACCACACAGCCTTTATGGCGGCAGTCCGCCACATAACACCATTACGATTTGAGGATCACGATCTCACCTTCTACCCGGACTTTTCTAAGGCCACCATGGAATGGCGAAGATCCCTGCGTCCACTCACTCAGGCGCTAGCGGCAAGCAAAACACCATACAAATGGGGTTCACCTTGCTGCCTACTCATTACCCGGGAAACGGGAATAGTGAAAGTCCGGAAGGCCTCTGAAATACCGAGCATCCTGCTCCAAATGGGAGTGACCGCGACAGCCGCTGAGACCGCGACCCAAGCGGCACTGACACTCTGGGACCCAGAGAGGGTCACACCATTCATACCAGCGGCCCACAGAGGGAATCCTGCATCTAAGCCGGTGCGCTGAAGACCTCCCAGCGGGCTACAAACCGCACAGGACTTAACAGTTCTTGCTTTATGTTCATGGTTATTATGACCTATAGCTTCGGGCGGGTAAATGGGCTTTAACTATGCCTGACAGGCACCCTTCCCAGTTACGATGGCGAACCTCCCCAAACGCCCTTATCTCCCCCGCCCCCCCACTGACCCTTAACAAGATACCACATAAAGCACTACCTTTTCAGTGGGATCGTTAGCCCCCTACACACACTCCAGACTAGAATACACCCCCCTGGGGGACAAACTACAGGCTACACCCCTTCCAGGCAACCTTCTCTGACATGCATCCTCAATTTCAAAGGGTATAAGAAGCAACACTTTACTTTTACTACACGCATGACAGTCCTAACTACACTAATATAAAAAATTTATAAAATGTGCTATCCTACAGTCGCAATGTTATCTGTTATGTTCATTAACATGTCTTTTATCACTGTTGTGGCGAGATCTGCTGTACTGTTATAACTGCATGTACAAAATAAAGAATTAAAAAAAAAAAAAAAAAGAAATTCAGGAAGGTTTGCGTTTTCCCATCTGTGGCTTTAGTCACTAGGATTGTGCATATAATCAGGTTAGACAAAGCAAGAGTCTTGGCGATTATTTCATATTGGCTGAACAGGAGCTGGTTCTCAGTGATGTCACTGACGCATTGGAAACTTATGTATTCAAGAAAACAAGGACCTTCCTGTAGAAACATTAAAAATGTTCGGATTGATGGCTTGGCTGCTGCTATTTATGACAACATAAGTGATATTATTATGCCCTCCACTCGAAAACCCACAGCTAAAATCTATCTAAGCATATGGAAAAAGTTCCTTCATTGGTGTGATAAAAGATATTGCCTTTCTTCTAAACCTTCAAATCCATGCATTCTTTTTTTTGCAAGATGGGTTCCAGACTGGGCTTAGTATATCTACACTTAAGATACAAGTGTCAGCACCTAGCCATTTCCAAGAATTGGCTTCTAATATTTTAATTGGCAGATTTTTTAAGGCCATTTTTATCAAGCGTCCTCCACGACTTTTCCTTTCCTACTTGGGAGTTGTCAGCGGTCCTAAAGGCTATGTGGAAGGCTTAATTTGACTCCTTGGAAGAAGTTTCATTAAAGATTCTATCACTTCTGCTAGGAGGGTTGGAGAAATAGCACTTTAATCTTTAGATGCCTTGGAATCTACTTTCAACGTTGAGCATAATACAGAGCCTATCTTTTGTTAATTTTCTAGGCTCTCTCAGAGATAAAGAGGCTTCTAGACCAACTATCGCTAGATGGCTGACTGGAACCAGTAAATTAGCGTAAAAAGTCAATAAAAGGTCTTCTGCTTCTCCGGAAGATATCTGTAAGTCGACAATAATCCTTTAATACCCTTATAATGCATTACAGGCTGGACATCTCCTCTGAAGCTGCTTTTGGGCCGAAGGTGTTTCAAGCGGTAGTTTATTGAGCTTCCCACCTTCTTGTTCAGTTCTTTTTCATGGGATATTGCTATTTACCACTTGTCAGTACTGCCACTATATGACAGGAAAAACAGAAATTTTTACTTACTGTAAATTATTTTTTCTTAATATGGTGGCAGTACTGGCTCCCTCCCTATCTTGATTAATAAATTAATATTGGCAGTGATTGGTCTCCGTGTTATTTTACTTGATATACTGGTAGATCTTGGGGGAGACTGTATTCAAATAGGCTGGAATTAATTAGGTAATTATATTAAGCATTTTAATTGCAGAGCTTATTGTCCATAGATGGACACTTGTCAGTACCGCCACTATATTGAGAAAAAAGTTTATGGTAAGTAAAGATTTATGTTTGTGCTGCAGATGAGGTGAAGCATTTTAAGGCTGCACAATTCTCTGGATCTAAAGGAAAATGTGTTCAATAAAATCTTTTTGGAGGAGGATTGTGAAGAAATTCTAGGAAGTAACAATAATTCATAATTCTTAAATGATTAATTGCGTCCAGACATCAACATATGGACTGCAGACCCACCAAAGACTGTCTTCCTGTATGAAAGGAGCCAGATGTTTTGGGATGACCACATTTTGTAGAAGACTGCCAAGATTTCCATGGTTGAGATCTGGAAAACTCGCTTCCTGGACATTATTGCTGCTTATCCAAAAATAAATCTGGATCTCTGAAGGAACATCTATCTGAAGTAGGAGCTGTTCAATTATGTTTTCTCTTGAGGCAGGAAAGCTGTCCAATTCCCAAGATTTAAGCACACAGCCCTTCTAGTGACAACTGACAAAGCTTTATTGTGGGATATAGATCTCACCAGGTCAACAGAGACTTCTGTACAAAAGTCAATGGTCAGCTTGAGGATGCAGGAAGTTCAGAGCTCTAATGTTGCATCCTTCACGTGAACTCGACTTCACTCTCCCTTTCCTTGAACAGGTGGTTTTACAGTCTGCACTGTACAGACACTAGACAAATGGATTCATTTTGGTCCGAACTGCAATTCGTCTGAATTTGGGACAATCGGGTGATCGGTTTAATCCCCGAAATCCAAGCTGAAATATACTAAAATCATGAACCAAACAAGCCATGCAATGTCAAGCATGCTTATTTTGATTCCTGATTCCTGATTCTGAATTCCTCCTGTGACGCCAACATTAGAGATGCATGATGTGGCGGGAATTTTGTTTGCGGTGCACAAGTCTGTGCACATGTCTACCAAACACTCTCACCTACATTCTGATGCTACTGCAGAGGGTTGTGTAATGCACACATGATGCTATGCTATACTGTCACTGACCAGGAGTATTTGTGGCCAGATGGAATCAGAACACCAACTGCATAGTCCTTTTTTTCCTGCAAAAGGGTCACTCGTTCTTGTTAAAGCCTAAATATTCAGACTGAAGCACTGTAGTACCAAGTTCCCCTTTTTATTTCTCTGTTGTGAAATTATAAACCATTTTATCAGAAATTTCTTGTCTTTTCACATTGAACTTCCTGGGTCTGTGTTTATTTCCTCTGAGTTCACTGGTGACCATAGCTTTACAGATTGATGCCCACGTAACAGTGGTTGCTCTTGTATGGCTTAGTTATACCTGCTATTCGGTTGTAGTTCTTTGTTTTCCAAACAGTTTGGTGTGTTTATCTGCCCTATGTTTGATGTGAGGCTATGTGTTTGGCATGTGAGTTAATCGCATTATTTGCAGGATTAAGACTTAAATCCTCACAGATAATGAAGCTTCAGGGGATAAGCAGACACACAATTAGCAAAACTAGTGTTGGGCTTTTATTACCGAGGGCGAAGAAGAACTTAAATAAAAAAGAAACTCTGGGAAAGAAACTATATGTGAAGAATAGGAAAGGAAGTACAGCCAGAAAAGCAATATAGTAAATATTTGCAAAGCATCTCTGTAAACCACTGATTCTGGGTAACATCTCTGCATGGTCTGAATCCATAGGATGCCATCTGCTGCCCGTGTTCTGGGAGCCTCCTTCCTGATTGACTCATTGATAAGAAGGACTCCTGGGCACCAGCACAATACTTTTCAAGACCTGAAGAGTTTAACAAGGAGCAGTCAATCAGATGAAGTGGTCGAAGTCCCTCAAAGTACTCCAACTCCAGAGTTAACGGCCAGGACAGCTGAAAATAGCCAACCAGGTAAAAAGTTGTGGATCCAAGAAGACAATCCATCAAAGGTAAAGGCTGAATGTACCAATGCTAGCCAATTTAAGAATGAACTAGATATCCCTAAAAGACAAAAGTCAGATGGAAGAGAGTGGGCTCCTGGGAACATTCATTCAGAAGAGAAACCGGAATTATTTGACACTAATCATTTGAAGGATAACACCGGAACCAGCAAATCCAACAATTCTGAAATTCTCTCTATGAAGGTCCCTGAAAAACCCAACCATTCATATATTGCACTGATCTCAAGAGCCATTTTATCGTCCCCTGAAAAGAGACTGCAATTAAGTGACATCTACCAGTGGATCATGGAATCCTACCCATATTACCACAACCAGGTACATAATTACACTACTGCCAATAACAGATCATAACCATAGCTTCATATTATTACTATCACAGACACCTATTATATTTTCACCACTAAATGGCTTTACACAATTATGTTGATAACCGTTCGAAACAGACAATCACTGCACTTTAGAGAGCACTTAACAAAAAGTTGATTAACAGCACTTAAAAAGTACATTGCACATCAAAAAAATAAACCAGGAATGGTATGCAATATGATCAAGATGTTCCTTCTCTGTAAAAAGGGTTAATATTCAATAGATGGTTATTGAAAGAAGATATTTAGGGCTGTACAGGGAAGTTTAACAGCCACTTTGAAATCCGGGATTGTGTGGAAAAGTCTTTTATCAAACTGTATGCAACAATAAAAAATAGTGGTTGTATTTAAATGGGTTCTGCTTGTACACTGGACCTTAAACACCATAACTACTACAGCTCACTGTAACAATTAGATTCTGTTGGTATCGTCCCTCCATTCTTTCAGTTGTAGAATTTAGAACAACGTGGATAAAGATTGCATGGAGAAGAAATATATTTATTCACATATTTTTCTTCAACGGATTGCCATATCATTTCTATATTTTAATTAGTACTCGTTGGTATAATATTTCAATGTTAATAATTAAATGGGTAACATGTTCCCCACAATACCGAGAAAGTATTCTAAAGAAAACATATTTTTCATACTTTAATGGTTGCATATACCTCGTTGTTTGATTCATCTACCAGTCAGACTATTTATTCTGTACTTTTATTTGCTTATTATCTATTATAAATATTGCATTTTAGTCTGCCTATTCTATGCTCTTTTAATTTATGTGGTTTGTAGTGGTGCTGCCTTCCTTTCTTTTTTCTGTACCATTTCTGTTGTAAGGCCTGTGAGGGAGCCCTACTTTTTAGGTGTGCTGCCACTTTTTACTTATTTATTATTGTTTCTGTTATATCTTGTATAGATAGAGAGCGCTGATCCCTTTCTTCCGTTCTATGCTCTTTTGCCTTCTATATATTGTGTTGTTGTGGGGTGTCCTTACGTATGCTGGATAATTCACTACAACTGCACAAAATTACTTCTATTATTAGGAAAAGAGCTGGAGAAACAGCGTGCGCCACAATTTGTCTCTCAATGAGTGTTTCATCAAAGCTGGCCGCAGTGATAACGGGAAAGGACATTACTGGGCTGTTCACCCTGCTAACTTGGAGGCTTTCTCAAGGGGAGACTATCAGAGACGCAGGGCAAGAAGACGTGTACGAAGGTAAATACATTTATGAAGCTCACTAGTATTAAAAGGGCAATCTAAGCACCATAACCACAACAGCTCACTGCATCTACATTCCATCACCCTTTTCAACCTCACTGATAATGCAGAAGGTGCACTTATGCATTATCAGAGGAGACTTTATCTGCCCTGCACAGCAATAATAAGCTGAGACCACTGGCTGTGGGACAGACCAGCACTATCATTGCCATCCAGGTTAGATAGAATTTCCCTCCCTTGTTATTAAAGCAGAAATGAAATTTCCGCGTTATCCGTTTTACCGAAATGTAATGAGATGTAGGTGCTGGGGAGAGAACTTGGTCAAACTGCTCCAAAAAAGTTTGACAAAAACTATAGTGGGGCTCTTGATTATAACGCTTAGAACACTCTTGTAACTCTCAGTATTACCATTCAAGAAAAGGTTACACGGATTGAGTACTTATAGATAGATAGATATTGGCATTTTAGTAACGTAAAGGGAAAACCAATTTTTAGTTTGAAGGAGCAAATTTATTTCCTTTTTCTTTCACTGCATACATTGTAGTTATTAGTGCAATCGCCTTATAAACGAACTGCATATTCCTGCATTGATATATTTATGTCCTTTAATTGCTTTTTGTGCATGTGGACTGTATTTGCTTACCCAGCTCCCACCATGTCTTGTACTTTATCACAAATGTTCTCATTTCATATTTTTGATTCGTTTTTATTATCCTTTTGAATATCAACTCTCTCCCTACTCTGCTTGTCGACACAGGGTTTCTTCAATTCTTGGACATCAACCTCACTTTCCGTCTTGTACCTTGTGCTGTTTTCATCAACAACTTTGCATCTGCTGCCCACCGCTGAATCCCCACTCCAGTCTACCCCAAATATACCCTCTTACAGAACAACCTTCCCAGCAAACACGTTGGCCTTTCCCCATGCCAGTGCTCTGGCCTTTTCACCAGATGCCTCCTTATGTTTAACGCAGAAATGAATCACCCAGGAATAAAGTCAAAGACTAAAAAACAGATTACTGAAATTAATCAACTGTAAACTAACTGTATGTATATCTTCACTAAATAAAGGTCTTCCATTATATCTTGTTCGTATGTTAGCATGACAATGTTTTATATAAACTAGGATGGCAATTTGTTTCTTTACTGAATAATACACTAAGTGTATTTTCTCGCAAATCTGACGCCCACCTTGCTATACCCGCACCCTTTCACAAATCAGTAATGCGTCAAAGTCTCACATCTTTTCCTAATTGCTCGTGAGGTTCTTAACAAGATCTTCAGCTTGTAGCCTATACTTATTGAAAGGAATTAGAGCTTGTGGTTTTAGTGTTAATCTCACCATCTAATCGTCCGGAATCTGCTGAATCTCAAGAAAGAGACAGCTTAAAATGGACATTACATCCACAAGACGGACTGATGCATAAAAGAGAGAACCTTTCTTATTTGGATTGAAAAATGTGAACTTCAGACAAACAACAGGATCACCATACTATTGACAGATTTGTTTTCATACTAAGGTTGACAATTCTTCTTTAAAAACATACATATTATAATGGTATGCTTAAGCTCACAAAAGAGTAAGAGTTCAATGTGGCATGCGTGTTTTTTTCATAAATGGCATTTATTAAATAACCTACGTGACAATCAAATTGTAGAGAATATGAGCATTAGGAGTGTTCCAAAACCATAGTAGGCATTGATAAAATCATAACAATATCACATCATCTAAAATAGCTTACCTTGGAATTATAACAAATAAAGGAAACCTGAAACAAAAACATTTTGGGGTTTTAAATTTACATACTAATTTTCTCAGTGTTAAGTAAAAAGATCAGACATGAAATTCTCAAATAACTTTTTATTTACAGGAAAACATGATTTTGCATATGCAGTAACATAACAGTGCTAAGAGACCGCTGCTTCTACTGCCAACGGTCCTCTTGCAGTCCTATGGAATGAAGATGGATGGAGATACTAAATTTTTGACCAATTAACCACAAAGTTGGTTTTTATTGTGTGGTATCTAGCATCATTTGCTGCTAATAAACTGGTTAAGTTGACAGAAACACAGGATATTGCCCATAAACCGCCTTCTGCTTTGATCAATTTAGTGGAATGTGCTGTATCGAAGGGCAGAACTGACAACATTGGTAATCCTCAAAACATTCTGCAGTCAAGAGGTCATCTTATACGAGGTCTTATGCGGTGCTGTCTCATTAAGTCATTGTAGCATATATGTTGTGTCCTAATAATAGGTAAGGCCATTCTCAAATGTAGTCAGGAGGTCATTTATGTCAGAACGAAAACCAGCACTGTCTGCACTTACATCTAAACACCTAGTACCCCAGTATTGTCAAATTCAGTCGCTCTACATTACCCAGCATTGACTGAACATGTCGTGTAGTATGAAGGAAGATATTTTGGGTATCCTGTGTCCCTGTCAAAGTTATCATCGTGAAATTGTAAAAGAAATACAAACATAAATTTCTGTCTAAAATTCAAGCTTCTTATACAAGTGCAATCAGCTGTGAGGGCTCAGGGTAAGTTAAACCACCTAATTAGCACCGTCCTTGTTAACTCCCAGATCAGAGACCACAATGTGCAAAATGTGCCAATCACGTTCCCTAAAACATGTAAACACTGCTTGGCTTTTATTAACTAATAAGGTGCTTCATTGCCTCTCCTATAAGACAAATGGTAGTATCAAGTATATTTCAGATATGATCCTCTCCACATCACTTCCTTGACCTGTGGCACATTGCTGAGGCTTTTACTAATTAATGTAACATTTGCTAATTGTCCTAAGTGGTCATATTATAAACACTTGCAACATTTAAAAAACAAAAGCCTCCCTGTTTACGTAGAAAATATTAGCTTCTGCAGAACGTTTTGGACCTAATATGTGCTTTTCAACGACTCCATAGCCTCCAAAGCTATTCTTATGAAACCAATATTTATTTAGTTTTATGCTGGACAAAACCCAGTCATCTACCGTAAATTAAGGATGCAACAGATAAAACGTGTTTTCCCCAGGATTCAATGGTGGTCAATTGGCCACTTATGATGTCTGAAATCATTAAATATTGCATTGTTGCTAATTCAGTAAAAACCTTGTCTGTTATACTCTACACACTCTCATAACTAGTGGGCAATGTCTTAGCTTAATGCAATGTCAATGCAATGTCTTAGCTTAATCTGTGTCTAAAAGTGCTATATGAAACACCAATATCCCATATTGTGGCCTGCAACACCCAGCAGCAACGAGATAGTGAACAAGTCACACACTTGTTATCTTAGGTGCTATACAAAATATTTATTACAATATAGAAATTTCTCAACCTTAGTCCCTACAATCACCAATATTCTGGATTTTGTTTATATACTTCCATATAATCCAAAATGAATTCGCTAATGGCTTGCTCCTTTTGACAGATCCACTTGCAAGGTTATACGCTAAACTGGAAATTGTGGAGGCCAAAAAAAATGTAGATTCATGTTTCCAGTTCGGATGTCAATGTGTCGATGTATTAAAAAAATAAATAAATAAAATTTATATTATATATATATATATATATATATATATATATTAAAAAAAATAGGTTACTGCTTGGCCCCAGCAGCTCCCTTGTAAGTATGCATGTTCAGGTACGTTTCATATATATATTTAGGAGTCCAGGCCAACTCCCCGGTCTTGCACTCCTCTCTGTCACCGTTGCCTCATTCCAGGGCCCTATTTGGCCTTGCTTTGCAAAGAGTCCCAAGAGTAGATGGTTTAACTCATATTAGTCGGACCTGCCCCAAAACATTTTTTTGCCCAGGTGAGGTGTTTGTAAATAAAACTATTGTGTTACATTCTGTGAGCCTTGTAATTGCTGTTTAGTGAATGAGTGAGTGTGCTGGATCTTGTATGTTTTATATGTATGTATGTGCATGCGTGCGTGTGTGTATATATATATATATATATACACACACACACACACACTATATATATATATATATATATATATATATATATATTTATTAAAAAAATCTTTTCTTCTATTTATTAAAAAAATAACAAAATGTGGACCTTATACTAGGCAGCATGAAGGTTTGTAATTCTTAAAATGCAGATTTATTTAATGAAAAATAATAAAGCACATGTGCAAGTGCTGGAGAACCACTGTTTTTGTCAAACAGCTCAAAAAACAGTGTGACATAAATTTGGGGTATATTGATAGCAGAATTTCCATTTTTAATATGTTTATTCATTGACTACAAAAATATAGGATGTATAGGGGAAAAAAGAAAGTATAGAAATAACACAGTATCCCATGCAGAAAACTTATCGTAAAAGCACAAATACTATTTTCTGTAGTATGACCTGCACATCTGCTGGCCTTTTTGGGAGTGCACATTCTAAAAATGGCATCAGAATACAACATTATGACTACAGGTGACCATGTGCCTTACTGAGTGCCAATGACCTTCTGTACATAAACTACTCTCTAGATAGATACTGTTGAGGAGTAGGAGCAGAAAGGACAATTATGTAACTTACACCCTCATAAAAGGACCTGTGTTGTAGAGGAGGTGAGTGTTAAAATGGATCTACTGTAATATTTTTTGGTTTATGTTGCTATGTAGTGCATTGTGATATAGATTGCATGCATACTATAAAGATATTGTTGGTAATAAAGGATTTAATCAAAGCACAAAAGAGTTCTGATATTTTGAAACACGTGTGGTAAAGGAAGGATGTGGCCTATTAATGCAAGCAAAAATACTGAGTCTTGATACTATCATACTAGATTGGACTGCACGAGAACTGAAACTTCGACTATTGGATTTTTTTTGATGAGATAAAGTAGAAATTATTTTTAATGTAATATCCCAGAAAGCTGTTACATTACATATATACACTGGTGATAAAAGAAGATGCTTTGCTGTTTATATCTGTGTATAAAAATAATTTATTATATGATCCCTTTATTAGGTTCACCTTTCTAATACAGGGTTAAACCCCATCTGACCCAAGAACAGATTTAACAAAGTGCTGGAAACACATCTTTGAAATTCTGGTCCATGGTGGCATGATAGCATTGTGTAGTTGCTGCATATTTGATAGCTGTACATTCATGTTGCGTGTCTTCTGTTTCACCACATTCCAGTATCCTGGGTGTCACTGAAGTACATTAAATTATAATTTTTGTGAAACTAACTTGAGATGATGTGTGCTTTGTGACATGGTATATTAACTTGCTGGAAGTAGTCATTATAAGGTGGGTAGACTGTGGTTACAATGGGATGCCCTTGGTCAACAACAATACTCTGGTAGGCTGTGGCAATTAAAGAAATGTTAGACCAGGCAAAGTTTTTTTCAATCTTCTACTATCCATGTTGGTGTGCCTTTGACAACTGCAGCCTCAGTTTCAGAATGACTGGTGTGGTCTTCTGATGGTCTTTTAAATCCTAGCCAGGGCTAAACCTTAAAAGCCAGGAGAATCCATAACACCAAACTGAGACAAATTTCTACATGCCAATGGCAGTGGCAAGTGGAAATTTTGAATCCTGCCATCAGGATATCATTATGTTGGATGGCACGCAGTACAGTTCATCCAAAAGTAATTCAGTGGGATTGAGGTCATGGCTCTGTGCATGCCCACCAAATTCATCAAACCACATCTTCATGGACCATACTTTGTGCACAGGAGCACTGGCAGGGTGGAACAGGTGAAGGTCTTCCTCAAACTGCTGACACAAACTTGGAAGCACCCAGGTGTCTAAAATGTTTATGTAACCTGTAGCATTTAGATAACCCTTCACTAAAATGGAGGGGCCTAGTCCAAACTCTGAAAAACATCTCCAGACCATTATCCTACCTCCACCCAACTTGACAGCAAGCATTACATATTCTGGTAGGTAGAGAACACCTAGTATCCCTCCTGAACAAATTCTTCCAACTGAGTTCCAGATAGTGAAATGGCACTCATCACTGCAGAGACCACATTTCTACTGCAATGGAAACTAATTTCATGAAGCTCCCCACTCAGCGTTCTTGAGCTGACAAACTTTGCAGTTTGTAACTCTTTAGTGAGTGATGCAACAGACGACGGGTGATTTTTACGCACTCTCTGCTTCAAGCGATCAATGTTCCTGCTCTGTAAGTATACATTGTCTGCTACTTTGTAGCTAGGCTGATGTTAATTCTAGATGCTTTAGAATCACAATAATAGCACTTACAGTTGACCAGGTCAGATCTAAAAGGGCATACAATTCACAAACTTGACTTGTGGCAAAGGTGGCATCTTCTGAATTAGTTACATTTAAAGTCACTGAGCTCTTCAGCATGACTGCCAACATTTGTCTATAGGTGAGGCTTAAACACCTGAACTCAGTAAATAGTAGGGTTGTCTGTGTACTTTTGGTCCTATTGGATTTTTTAATGCACACACACACACACACACACACACACACAAAACAAAAACTTATAGTTTTAAGAGAGCCTGTCATAACCAACAGTACCTTTGCTCTTTTTAATTAGGGTCAAATTCCATCTATATACATTGTGCTAACAGTTTTGTTAGCAAATGTATAGATTGGGAAAAACCAAATAGGTATTCTTCCCACCAGTCAATCAATTCCTCGGCACCACCCACAAGCGTTCTTTCTGTTCTCCATGTATAGCAACCACAGCGAATATGTTGAAGTTGCTATGGTAACTCCCAAGCCGATGCTGCTAGCTTTGGCTAGGGTATATAAGAATGCTGAAGTCCCCAAGGAGGGAAAATCAGCAATGACTACAGGAGGTGTGAGGGAGTACTGGAGGTGGGAAAGTATGGCACGGAAGTGTAAGGTAAGGCAAGTCTCCTGAACCTCGAGAAGGCATTATTTTCCCCTATTATGTTCTTCAATATTGTGCATTTCCTTTATTTAATATTACATTTACTTGTTTTTTAATTGAAGTTTTGTTCAGGGAGCTGCTGTTGTACCAGATATCGTCTGGTCGCTGCCAAAACAGCCGTTCTGAAGTGCAACACACACACACATACACAAAGTTGCATTTACATACATATGCTCACACAAGTGCAAGGGATTTTTTAATAAATGCTGCTGTTAACTCTGTCCCTTAACCCTTGCTGCTTTGCCAGCGAAGCAAAGGGGAGAGATGTCTCTCTAGACATAATAGAAGAATGTGACAAGAGCAAAAAGGCACACAGGAGTGTGACTACCATAAATCTCACAGTCTGGGGCATACATATCACGGTGCTGCACTAAGTTTTAGGAACCCTGCGACTCAAAGTAACATATTACACTGTGATTTGTTTTTCTATTGGGTTTGAAAAAAAGCAAACAAAAAAATAAAATAAAAAAAAGATCTGCTCATTTAATATATACTGTATATATCTGTATATTACCAATTTAAGATTCTTCAGTGTTTTATAAAAATTACACCATATCTTTATAGATTATTAAGTGCATGGTGAATCTGTTATAATTAGTTATACTGTACAGAGCTCACTAAGTGAACTACCTATATTTTAAGCAACATTAACAGTGCAACTGTAGCAGAGCTAGTAATAGTGCAAGCTACCTATACATATTAGTGCAGCGTATCTACAGATCAATATATGTCTATAAATATATATAAACATATACACTATGAAAAGCATATATGATTAACAATAAGTTGTGTACAAACAATTCCCACTTACCAAAGATTTCATAAAGAGGCACACAACCCCTTTTTGTGGTCCCCTGTGCTAAAGCATTCATCCCTTCCCTCCCCCCCCAAACAAACAGGACGGTGCTAATTAGGCCACTCCACTACCCTGATATACTTTGATATCGTCTTTAACTTTATTTGTGTACATGTACATACACATATATATGTGTGTGTATGTATTCTGCATACATACACATATACATACATTCTTATTTTAGAGTAATTTATTCATATTCAAAAGTAATAGAGCAATTTATTATACCGTCTTTCGTCATAACGTTCACCGAATCGCACATAACTTCACATGAGATTCTAGAAGCACCAACATGAAACAGTAACCTTTTCAGTAACAATGCTCAGGAAACTCATTGGGTTAGACAAGGCAAGAAAACCGCTTTGTAGTTTAGAAAAATAAAAGTAAATGGGTTACCTCTATAGTTTGTGGGACACCACTTGTTAGTATCAAAACAGCAGTACAACATTCTATAAATGTGAATGCGTGTGTGACACTTGGGATAAAATACTGGGCATTTCAGCAATGCTCAATATATGGGCAATCTCTAACGCACACCTGCCAGACTTAGCAGGTCTTAGAAATCTGTATTTATTTTTGCATGACAACTTGCATTATCATCTTAAAGTTACAATGTATTAGACAATATTTTAGTAAAAGTGTCTATACGCCCATTTTGCCTCCTGCCTATTCCTCCGCTGTTCCTTTAACATGCACAAATGTAAGAAGGACAGGGGTAAAATGGGACAGAGTCTAATCAATGAATCAAAGTCAATGAATAATTCTGGCATATATGAATGAATTAGTGTGACAATGTGACAACCTCTAAAGAGGTGTTTTAGGAAAATGAATTAAAAACCTAGAGCACACGAGTGACTCCATTAAGTTGACTGAATTTGATAAATCGAAAGTACTATTTGACCTCCATGTTTTTTTCACACGTCATAAATCAATTGATTTGCAGGTAAATTATATTTCATTGGTAGACAAAGTCTTTAGAATAAATTACTCTAAAATACAAGTATAAAATTTTGTAGTGAATAAATTACTCCAAAATATTAAATCTCTCTCTCTCTCTCTATATATATATATATATATATATTTATGTTATAATTTTCTTTAGGAAGTGCCATCTGCTTCTACCACCTGACCTTCTTCTTGATGTCCCCCGGGTCCATTGCCATTTCCTGTTGGTACAGGAAAGGGGACAACACCCTCTCTGACCCTGGGTTTGCGTCCTCGACGGGATGGGATTCCATTGCATCCATCCTTTTTTAGATGCCTGTGCAAGTGATCAGACCTTACAAAAGTTTTATGGCAGGCTTGGCACTGGTATGGACGTAGCCCTGTGTGTACCCGTGTGTGGTTCTTCAGGTCATAATTGTGTGCAAAAGCAGCTCCGCATTGCTGGCACAGGTATGGTTTTTCTCCCGTGTGCTTCCGCATATGAACCTTTAGTTTGTCTTGCCTGTAGGGGAAAAACATGCACATTATTATAATTGGGGGGAAAATAAATCAATGAATACGTAAACTCAATGTAAAACTGTAAAAGCTTCCTTATACTAGCTCAGTTCATCAGCCCTAGACATTAGCCGCACATTATTAAATGAATACACCAAACAACATATCCACTTGCCCATTCTAAGTAGTCACATCATTTTTGAACAGTTTGATTTGTTATCTCAGGTTCACCAGGTGCTGCTCCCCATTTCAATGGAAAATGCCATCGAACCAGCACTTAAGCAGAAGTTTACATTAGCTCTACTGAGCAAAGCCCTACAGTGCAGGGTTAAGCTAATTGACGGAGAGAGGTAAACTGGGGCGTCAGGTGTAGTGGCTATGTTGCTCTGAGTGTTCCTTTAAATGACCAAATCACAATGACAGATTCACAGTATATACTGTATAATAATAATAATAATAACAGGTTGTGAACAATAGTGAACTGGGATTTATATTATAACTATCCATTTCCCAATCACAGTAAGTGTTTGTTTACTGCTCTTTTGTGCAATGCAAAGTTATAAAGATAAATTACAAGATGCACCATTCCTTTTATTCAAACTGCTTTATTTAAAAACAAAACATAAAAACAAGGACCATCGACTAACTAAAGGAACACTAAATGCACTCAGACTACTTCAGCTCATTGAAGTGGTCTGGGTGCATAGTCCCAGGTCCTGTAACCATGCAAAGATAATTACTGCAGTTTTTAATAAACTGCAGAATTACCTTTGAGGGTTAAAGGACCATTATAGTGCCAGGAAAACATACTTGTTTTCCTGGCACTATGGTGCCCCCACCCTCAGGGTCCCACTCCCGTGGCGCTGAAGGAGGAGGAAGGGGTTAATCCCTTACCTTGTTTCCAGCGCCGGGCTCCCTCGGCGCTGGGACTCTCCTCCCTCTTCTTCCGTCATCGGCTGAATGCGCATGCGTGGCAAGAGCCGTGCGCGCATTCAGCCAGTCTCATAGGAAAGCATTCTCAATGCTTTCCTATGGACTCTGGCATCTTCTCAATGTGAAAATCACAGTGAGAAGCGCAGAAGTGCCTCTAGCGGCGGTCAATGAGACAGCCAATAGAGGCTGGATTAACCCTAAAGTAAACATAGCAGTTTCTCTGAAACTGCTATGTTTACTGCAAAAAGGGTTAAACTTAGCTGGACCTGGCACCCAGACCACTTCATTAAGCTGGTGGCCCTTTAACGTCACACTCCAGTGGCTGCCCAGACAGCCAGTAGAAGGACTTCCGGGTCATTAGGTGACTTTTGGTCACCTGACGCTTTGCATGGGTGGGCATTATAGGGTAGCTATAGTGCCAGGAAAACTATAGTTTCCCTTTATCTCTACATAAGCATGACCACAATAGAAACAGCAAGTGGTGCTAAAAAGCAGAATATGCACAGAGAATGCGATAATGTTGCTAATGCAAATAGGCAATATGACACTGAAAGTATCCATTTGGACTTTTCTATTAATAATAAGAAGAGTTATTAGAAGCACTATCTCCAGAAACACATAAAACAAGATAAAAGCAACATAAAAAGCCATAGACAGAGTACAAATAAAAACCATGAATAAAACATAAATAAAAATCATTTACTGGAAGAACATCCTCTCCAAAGTCCAATACATTTTGTGTGCCATAGGTCAGAACAGCAAAGGTATGATCCAGCTCATTAATCCCAACATTCTTTCAATCATTATGCATCTTTGTCCTACAAATGACAACAACTGAAACTGCGTTATGTTAAATAACTAAATTACCAGACGGACCCTTAAAGGGACACTATAGTCACCTGAACAACTACAGCTTAATGTAGTTGTTCAGGAGAGATCTATAGCTCCCTGCAGGCAATCTAATGCAAACTGTGAAAATACAGTGTTTACATTGATTGATAGGAATACCTCCAGTGGCCGTCACTCAGACGGCCACCAGAGGGACTTCCTATCATGTAGGGCCCTAAAAAGGCTTTGTACACGTCAGACTATTAAAATACGTCTGACATGTGCAGGAGAGAGAAGGCACTGTGTGCGCGCCTTCTCTCTTCTGCCTGGCAGCAGAGGAGAGGGGGCGGGCAAAGACCACAAGCTGAGCTGTCAGTCAGCTCATTTTGTGGCCGTGCACATCGCGCGCATGCACGGTAGTGCGCTCAGGACTTCAGAGGGCGGCATGAATGCCGCCCTCTGAAGTATGTGCGCATGTGCGGCAAAGCCACGCATGCGCACAAGGGAGCAATGATGCTTCCAAATGGAAGCGTCTGATTACTCCCTGCTCGTGCCCGCCTATTTCGTCATTTTGAGGCTCCCTGCGCTGGAACCAGCTGAGTAAAATCCTCTGCCTGGAGAGTCCCTTTAACCTATAAACAATTTCTAGTAGCTCCCACACTACGTGAGTAGCATTCAGCCCTCAATAGTTTATAAAGAAGGCACAATTTCAGTACTTTAGTAGTTATGTTTCGTTACCACATTTTTTTTTACAAAAATCTGCAGCCAACCAATATTGTTCTGCAACTGTAAAATAACCTTTTAAAAAACATTACATCTTTCATATTAGAGATTTTAAATTAGTGAGTTTGCCTCTAGGTTATCTCAGGTTAATCTCTACCACTGCAAATGGTTACGTGTTATTATTATCATCAATTTATAACACGCCAACATGCTCCTCAGCGCTTTACAGTTATAGAAAGGGGATATTAGATTTAAAGATGGCCCTGTTCAAATGAGCTTACATGGTGTGAATGTTTACATGGTGTGTTCAATAAAAACATGGCAACATTTCATTCTTTGTGTGTTATTAGTTTAAGCAGACTGTGATTGTCTATTGTTGTGACTTAGATGATGATCAGATCACATTTTATGACCAATTTGTGCAGAAATCCATATCATTCCAAAGGGTTCACATACTTTTTCTTGCAACTGTATATAAGGTGAGGTAGAGGCAAAACATGCTTACAAAATTCAAATTATAAACAAAGAAAAATTAGACCTGTGCTGCAGATACTCCACACTGAAGTCCCAACAGTGTATATACAACCATAAAACAAACAAGATTCCTGCGCATCCAGTATAGGTGTGCACACCCAGGTACTACCACAATTTATTTGTACAGAGTTAAAGCAGCAAACGTTTTGAGTAGCGGCCATTTCTCAATGCTAATGTCCTATGTGCACACTATACAACCTGGGCACAGGCAAAAATGGAACTGGATTGATATGTCAAAAGACTTGAAGTTTATTCAAGTATTTACAACTTTATTATACTTAAAGAAGCCACTTGTGGCACCTTCTGATGTCGCTCTGTGTGGTTTGGGATTAGTACTCTCCCCAGTGATGTCCGATAGGCCTGAATGACCAATTCCTGTACTTTTAGGCTTCTCACACCAGGTGACTATAATAATTACGGTGTACAGTAGGGTGGCTATTTTAATCAAGACTACTGCTTGAGATGTTTATTCACGGAAATTATACAAATATAGAAGAGTCTCAAGGAATAGTGTGACACAAATTATACTTTAGAGATATAAATCATACTTTCAGTAGAACTCACATATTTCCAACTATCACACAACTTTATTTACTATACATAAAACTGTCGCGAATTGCAAAATTCAGGCTAATATCTTTCTATTCTAGCAGAGCTTGGGATTTTTTTCAAATCAGCTAAATTTACCTACGTTGATTTTCAATTCGCAATAATTTATAGTTTAGTGGCTAAACCCATATGGTTATTTTGTCACTCAAACAGCCTGTCCTGGTTATTTACTGATGTCCACACGTAGTTCAGATCAACAACAAAAACAAAAAGACAAAATAATTTTAACTGAATTTGTAATTATTTTCTTGACAAATGCAGTTGAAATTCAAACAATATCTTATTTAGTAACATGTCTGTTTTTAAATCATGTAAAATTCTCACAATAATATATAGTATCTGAATATTTATCAAACACAAACTACATAAGGTGGCTATATAGAAACAAATGTGTGAGATATAGGCGCTAATATTGTGATTTATTTAGTTCTATTTCAGTATAGCAGCTAGAACACTATGTGGGTGTTCCAAAATCACCCACTAGTTGAATTATACAAAATACACACAGTACCAGGTGTAGACTACATAAGGTCTAAACAAATTCAGTTTCATGCAAATACTCAAAATAAATTCACCAGCTTTTTACAGGTGCCCTTACAAAAATATGCAACATTTGCCCAATGGCAAGGAAGTCAACAGATAAATGGTTGAAATAACCAATAAATGGTGGCAGAGCCAGTACACCAAGGACAGCAGATATGTTTTAGAACTGCTCTGTATTAATCGAGGCTCAAAGTCGAAAAACATTACTTTTACCAGCACCCAACCAATACTGGAAGCAGAGACAAAGGAGGAGTGAATGTCCCCACCCTGTTCTGGTGTGAAAAAGACACACACAAAAAGGTACATTTCTTACTCAAGTCAAACCAAACTTCCGTTTGCGGAGTACAAGACCAAAATGGAGGAGAACATGGAATCTGACGAATGATGGAATTTCTTGTGCCCATCTACACCAGGCCGTGCATCACAACGTCATTCAGGGGAGCCAGGTGGATAGGTGATTCCTGCTACAAAAATTTCAGAAGGACATAAAAAGCAACTTGGGAGCACTCACAGATAAATTTAAGAAAGGGTTAATAGAGTAGGTATGACGCTTTAGAAGGCAGAGTCAACAAGATCATCATTTACCATAACAATGTAGCAGGCCAACATAAAACCCTTCACAGAGCAACAATTTCTGAATTTGCAGAATATTAGAAGATATTAAGACAGCAGATCTGGAGGCATATGTACAGGAATGTCTAACCACACTGCTTCCTGCTGACACCAGGGACCTAGACCACCCTACCTACACCTCATTTGCTTAAGTCCTCTAAACAGTCAAAGATTCTACCGCCAGAGACGTCATTACCAGTTTCATTCATATAGCATCAGAGAAACAACTGTGAGGAGAGCCACTCCACTAGAAAATGACCCAGAGCAATTCTTTAATTTCTCTCTTTACTATACAATTAAGAAGACAATTCTCTGTTGTCACCTCAGTCTTCAGGGCACAACAGACACCCAATAAATGTGGCTTCCTTGTGAAGTTAATTAAATGAAATGTGGTTACTTCCATCGGTACTAGGGGCTCATGGTTCTGCAGCACTGGAACATAGCTTGCAGGGAAGGGAAACTTTCTGTTTCTCCATCTGCCTCCTTTCCCAGTTTGCGCCTAGACTGGACCAAAGAAGGCAGTACCTCATCGAGCTCACTGCCACATTCCCTACAGCATCTAGGTTGAATGCTGTGACTTTAGGTGCCACTATGCCTAGAGTGTATCAGCTTTAGCCACGGACTCTCTGTGCTACCAACGATCCCTGATGGACGGATAGAGAAGGGGACCTCCTCGTAAGTTAGCCATTCTAATGTTATTCTAAGATCTCTTATTTTTTTTTTTTTTTGGTGTTTAACAGTACAAGCCATCATTGCTTTCGGTTTTACTATGTTGCTTATGAGACTGCTTATTAGTTTAAAACAAACAAAAAAAAACACTAGATGGCGACGTCTCAAATTTTATGAGTTTATAACTTACTTTTAAATCAATAGTATGACTCGATGCTTTATGACATACTCTATTAAATGTTATTTTCCACTATCAGGGGACTTAGTCCCCCCTAATTGCCACTGCTATGTGAAATGATCACTGGCACTATTTACCTTTGCTGATCCTTTCTATACTGTTAATTATAGTTGTAACATTGCACATAGATTTGTTCACTTTTGTTCTTTCTGCTTATATGCAGTACAACTTGGTCAATGATGTTTCTACTGAGTCTGCAGGAAAACGTTCTGGGCATAATGGTAATCTCCCCTACTGGGACCGTGTCATCTTTGAAGCTATTCAGAAACACACCGTACAAACAACACCAACTACTTCAAGAAGTACATAAAGCAAAAAATCATGTTATATGTGTACTAGAAACACATTTAACGAAGCTTAAACATGCCATGCTTCAACACCTGGCTCATCGCATTGGCTATCATTAAATTGCTCTTACAAAAAAAAGAGGAGAGTGTCAATCTTTGTCCACAGGAATATCGCATTTCAGTTCATCGCTATATAACCAGATGAGAAGGAGCGTTTTCTTATTTGTATTTGCTTGCTGAAAAATGCACAGTTGTAAATGTTTATTCTCCTAATACGAGCCAAATGCCATTACATGAGAGGCTTTTCAAAAAAAAAAAAAAAATCAAAATCCAAGATTGAAACAATGACAAATTGATTATTTGTGGGGATTTAAACTACCTGTGGACCCCTCGGTGGACACACTGGCCCAACATAACCAGGCCTAGCAAACACTTTTTGCTCTCAGGGGCACAACTACAGACTCTATAGCACTCCTTTCAGCCAAAGACAACATATTGTATTTATTCAAACATTTAAGTTACTCAAAAACTGATTACTCTGTAGTAGATAAGGTTGCTCTACAAAAGTTGTTAAGATGCTCTATAGGCCACAGCTCATGGTCTTACCATGCCCCGATATTTTTAACAATTTCTGAAGAGTATCAGGCTAGAGGTAAAGGAGTAGGGAGGATGAAGAACTCTCTTCTTGCAGACAGTGATGTTCACACTGCAACAGGAAAACACGTTAACAGCTATTTCCAAGACAAAGCCTCACCAGACATATCTCCTATGGTTTGGTGGCTTGTCCACAAGGCTATAATGAATGGCAAAGTTATTCAACTTGCATCCATATACAAAAGAAAAGAAGCTAGCATTAGAAAAAGAATTGGCCAAATTTGACACCTTTTATGAGATATCTCCATCCAAGACTTCTGTTTGCTGGTAAGCACAGCTTAAACTATCTATAACTTAACTCCAGCTTTAAAAACTGAGCTGCGTTTCCATTTGCTCAAAATTTTTTATTATACCAAATCTAATATAGCTGGAGCAGAGCATGGTGGTCAAGTAAACCTCAAGCTCGCGGAACAGCCTCTACTATTTCACACTTCATTTTCCCTGGTGGTCGCTAGGTTCTACACTCGGTCAGGATAGCAGGGGAATTTAATTATTTTTATCCAATCACAACCAAACCCTCTCTCACCTCTGTTACTACATTCTGATATAAACTTCAACAACCTTCACTTACTAAAAAAAAAAGCTAACACCCTTCAAGGTGAGATCACAGGAGGAGGATGTTCCCAGGGAGATTTCCTGCCTCCCCAATGACAAACGTCCAGGCCCAAATTGATTTTCCGGTACATACTATTCTTCTTTTTGACACAATTCAGGCAATCATCTAACTAAATGTTGTGCTCACCTTGATAATTCCTAAGCTATTACCAAAGTATTTACACATGCACATATTGTTACTCTACCAAACCCTGAGGGAAAAAACAGCATTTCAGAATTTTCAGCCAATCTCATTATTAAATGTAAATACAAAACTCTACGCTCTCAAGTTTTTAGCAAATAGATTGGCTACATTACTGACACACCTTTAAAATAGGCTTTGTTTCCGCATATCAAGCTTCTGAAAGTTCATTAATATTGTGCACCATTCCCACATTATGAACACCTAATTCTGCTCGTCTCTATAAATGCGAAGGAAGCATTGAGTTCATTGAACAAACATGTTTGTTAATTTATAGCCTCTATTCAAATTCTGTATGCCAATTCATCCGCTTCAGTACTGACTCTCTGAGTTTTCCGTTTTCTAAATTGCAAAACACCAACGGATTGAGGTGAGGATGTCCCTTGCCCCATTTGCTTTATGACCTGGCTTTAGAACCCTTAGCTACTGCTATACCAACCAATCCAGATATATAAAAAACGTTCATTTTCCACCAAATCTAGATTATAGACCGTAAACTGGGCATGTTTACTGATGACATCATGATTTAACCAAGCCCCCCGAATTCTCTTCCCAATATGCATACAAGGCTATCCATGTTTAGTGCCATATCGTGTAAAAAAAAAAAAAGTTTCCTATTGACCAAATGAGCAGACAGACGGCTGCCAATTCTGTCCAACAATGTATTTGATCAACTGGTTAAGTATTTCCTTTATTCAGTTCCAGATTTTAGCCATTCTGATGTATCTGGACAGAATGAAATGTTAACTGCATTCACTGTCATTTAGAGGTTATGCTTGAAAAGGTGGATATTATGTCCAAAACTAGCTGTCTGTCTAGTGTATAACCCTGTGTCTCTCCTGTCAATCTACTTCTGCATTCAAACAGACCTGTCTATTGGATTTACATTATCCATCAAATTCATCTCACTGAAATGTAGCTTCCCCTCAAAAAAGACATCCCCCTTTTATCAGTGCAAAGAAAAATAGACTATGAAAACTGTTTCCAAATACAGACTAGTACAAAATAATCTGTCTGAATACATTTTTGCTCCATCTCTTCTGTATTCCAATTGACGCAAAAGGGGGTGGGGTGGGCTCTCACAGACTAACTCCACTCCTCACTACATTTCCTCTTTCCGTTCCCTTCGCTCTGCAAATGATCTTCTCCTGAAATCTGCATGTACCCGAATTGTCAACTCTCATCTGCAAGATTTTGCAAGGATTGCCCCGTTCCTTTGGAATTCGCTAAAGTGTCATCACACTCTCTCAAAGCTTCTAGTCCTTTAAGAAGTCACCGATAAAAACACCTCTTTAGGAAAGCTTACCATCTTCCTAGGTGATGTTTTTCTCGTTTAACTTCGCTCATCTCCATAGCCCAGCTCTCTCTCTCCCCTGCCACTGTTCGGTTCTTCCACACACTACTTTTACCAGCTTATTTCAAAACTGGTATTTGGTCCATCAATCCCTCCCAACCTCTGGCATGCGGTTATTTCTCTTGTGCCTCTTTACCCTTCCTCTTAGACTGTAAGCTCATTTAAGCAGGGCGTTCTTCACCTCGTCTCTGTTATATCCCAAATGTAAATTACTTGTTGTCAAATATCCCCATTTTATAATTGTAAGCGCTGCGGAATATGTTGGCGCTATATAAATGATGATAATAAAATGGTTATAACGCTTCTCTATCTGAAGAACTGCAGGAACACTGTGTCTATTGCTGCTGGTGTGCCTTGCCACCAAATGCTCCTCTGTGAGAAGCATTGTATTAGCCAGCAGATCATCATGAGCTAAAGGAGGCAGAGTAAAGCTATGATAATGAGACCCTCTTGAAGATGGATTTGAGGAAGATAAAAGGTATTTATTCATAATGCTGTCGGATTCATTCTACTCTAAGGCCTTACCTGGGCCTCAAGTCTTACTTTCCTTTTACCCCTACTTCTAAATTTGTAATAGGGTGATAACCTTGTAGTTTTAGTATTATTCATACCTATAAATCATATATGCATACAGTCGCATTGGATATAATACCTAATACATTTATGAGCTACTATTCCTATGAATATTCACAATATTATCGGTTCTTAACAAGATTGTTAAAAAAAGAACAAAGAAAAAAATATATATGTGGCTTTTGTAATAGTAACAACTTATTTTATATAAGATGTATTCTAATTCTAAATATTGAATACATTGAAAATTTCCAAAACAAGAACAATTGTGAATTTATTAGCAGAGGTGACACCATGAAACACTTCACCCACGGAGAGTTTTGCCTGTAAAAAGTCCTTGCTGTGAGGTTTTGGGTGAGGCAGTTTTTCTACTTTCTGTGCCAAAGCTCTAAAGAGAAAAACACTCTCAATCCAAGTAAAACGTGAATCTATATTAATGGAATGTTCCACATTGGAAGTAATCATTTAATGTATCAAACAGATAATGCATTCATAAACACACCAACAATTCGAATAAACAAAAATCATTCAGATATCTGTATTAGGTGTACAGCTTTTGCCAAGAACTATTTGGAGATCTGAAAGTGTCTCGGACAATCAGGAGGCTCTCATTCTGTTTAACTAAATGTGAACTTAAACCACAAAGCCTTGGCCTAGTCAAGGTATGAGATAAGCAGTTCAAGACTTGGCTGCAATTCCATGCATCAAATAGGTGCACAGCAGCTGCTATAAGCTTATTGACAGCTACATGCATAGTTTTGTGAATGGAACTGTACATTATAATCCCCAATCTTGCACCCACCACGCATGTGTACGGTCATAGCTCAGGGTCTTTCAGAGAACCTATAATTAAAGGCAGAGACTTGAATGGCCTGTGTCCATTTAATAGATACACTCTATACATATTTTTGGAAGGGCAGAGGAAAAAGCGTTGCTTCCTCCTCTAATATCTGGCACCAATTCTGACTTTAGTAGCACTGATTTTTGCAAACTGAATAGGTATAAGCACCCGAGTGCAAAGATACAGGGACAGGTATCCATCCTGCACCATAACTATTACAAGGTTCATAAGCACTTATGGTACTTGAACGTTCCTTTAAAGGGGTACTCTAAGCACTATGATCACTTCATTGATTAGGCAGTGTTCTAGATGAGGGCATCAAACCTTAAACACGGGAAAGTAATGTACACAAACGACAGTGTGCACAGTGTCACGGTTGGTATCTTTTAGAATGTAGACAAACGGCAAGAACATCTACAGATTTAGCAAAATTGTGTACTTTGGTTACAACTCGGTTTCAAATAAAAAGATAGAATATTCAGAATGTATACCCCTGCCATTTTTGTGATGTGAGGCTTGCTTTAACAAATTATCCAAATCTAGAGAGAAACTATTAACAAATGAATACAAGTTCATGGTAGGAGTTTACACTGTGCCCGTCACAACAGGTTATATCATTTTCCTAGTTACCTGGTAAATCGAACCTTGCAGATCACACACTCATATGGTTTCTCCCCAGTGTGGGTGCGGATGTGTCGTGGTAGTTTCCCTGCCCCCTGAATGACCTTCTCACATATTGGACATTTCTGGAAAGCTTTTGCCCTCATCTTTTTCTCCACCTTCTGACTCCAATTTGGGTACTCTTCCCCTCCATTTTCCATATCCTCCTCCTCTTCATCATCATCATCGTCATCAGGACGACCAGCGCGAAAATATTTCAAGTAATAGTCCATGAGACCGTCTTCACTGCCATCTCCTTGTCCTTGACCTTCCTGCTGAGCTGCACTCATCATGTGCTGCAAAAGAGTGCTAGCTGTTAGACTGTCCATTTCACCCACATATGGGCGCCCAACCACACCCTTTATTAAAGGAGATTGTCCAGAATCCAAGAGATCAGACCCTTTGTCAAGGTCTTCCTGTTCCTTCTCCACTGGAACACTGTGGTGTCCATTCAATGAAGAGACACAAGTCCGGTCCTCAATCCTTTTTTGCCATCCATCCAAAACCTGTTCATCTGCACATTTCATTTGCAAATCATTATGGTATTCAGTACCTCCATCAACTGATGGCTCAGTTTCATCATCTAATGGGCACTGGCGGCTCCAAGGACTCCCTCCTTGTTCCTCCTGACCTTTGCTTTGAAAATATTCCAGGTACTCTTTTGCGCGCATCAAGTTTTCTGGATCCCCCAGATATTCACTCTCTCTGTGGCCTAAGAATGGCCCATCCAGAAGGTCAGCACACACATCTCGGACTGAGTTAATTTCAAGCAAGCGAGACGCATCCAAAATCTCACCCACATTTTCAGCACAAAGTGTTAATGTGGCTGTGTAAGCAAAGTCCAGGAGAGCAGACAACGATTCGGCTGTCACAAAGTCCAGTTGATAGACAGTCAGACGGTAAGCTGCTGGACCTGAGGTGAAAAGCTGACGGAAATAACAACTACAGGCAGCAAGGACAGAGCGGTGTGCAGGAAAATCACGGCCTTGGCACAGGAGGAGGACATCACAGAGCTCCCCTCGCTGTCGCTGACCATTCAAGGCACAAAGAACATCACTACTATGGTCTGGGAATGGGATTCCAATGGGGCCATCATCAGTAGAGCCCATCGCCATATTGCTAAACCCTACAAAGAAATTAGAAAAAACAATAAGCAAGACAATTACAAAATGTTCAAAGTTATAGGAACAATATGTTGATGAGGACCCTGCTCAAACGAGCTTACAGTCATGTATTTTAAAATATGTGAAATAGAGAAATGTGTTCAGACTGAATGATGAACACAGGTAGACAAACATCTGAAAAATTATTTGGATTAAAAATCTGTATCAAAAGTTAGAGCTAACATAGCTTAGAATATCAAAATAACACATACAATTATTTGAGATATACAGAAATCTCATAAATACACCAGGAGTCTCTTAAAAGAAAAACAAACATAAAGAAAGAAAAACGCACAAACAACTATACTACAAAATGGAGCTATTCACAATTACTTTGTACTTTATTGCGAAGTTTGCATACAAATAATAAAAACGATTATCTTAGTTATGCATGCAAACAACAGAAATAGATGTCTATGTTTATAATAAATACACATTTCTTGATCCGTAATTATGACTTCATACCTGAGACCATGACATGTTCTATTTTTGAACAAAGTATAAACTTTATCTATGCAGGAAACAATACATAAAAATTTAAAACCCAATATAAATTGGGCATGTCACTACTAACAGTTTGCTTTTTAAAAACATGAGCACCTGTACAGATGGATTACCCAAAAGGCAAACTAGGTTACTGCTCAGCTGATGGGTACATACCAATTGCCCACCCCTAGCCCAGGGCCTCTGCCAACTTGAGTGTCCAGCCCCCCACCCCAGATACAGTATAATGTTTTCTATCCTGTAAACAGATCTCTTAAATCTTAATGAGGCTCTGATGAATCTGGCATTACTTCCTACATGTGTCCTGCAGGTGATATCAGCTACATGCTCAAGCTGTCAGTACTTTATCACTATGGCATTATTCTGCATTTCTGACATTATACCCACATATAGCTCTATCCCTGAGCTACAATGGCCTGACTGACACGCAGCTATCAACACAGAGCTGTTGCACAATGCACTGCAGGACCAGGGAGCCCACCCCATCTCCCCCAGCCTGGGCCCACCACAGTCCTCCTCCACAGCCCCCAATGTCACACCTGCCTGTGGCGGGGTACAGCTGGCTCCTGGCTGCTCCCCCACAGCAGGGAGGCTCTGAGCTCACGGAAACACACACGGAAGTCATTGGCAGGCTGGCACCATGCCACCCCACACCCACCCACCCATCCTCCCTGAGGTGGGGCCTGGTGCTTCCCGCGCAGGAGAGGGGGCTCAGGAGTGTGCAGCAGTAACCCTAGGTAATGTATACAGACACCATGCCAAAGGGGGGGTCCTCTGCACCCCTTCACAGTGATCTAGGGTGTGTCCAAGACTGGCCCCCAGGAGAGAGGGGGCTCAGGAATGTGCAGCAGTAACCCTAGGTAATGTATACAGACACCATGCCAAGGGGGTGGGGGTGGGGGGATTCCTCTGCACCCCATCACAGTGATCTAGGGTGTGTCCAAGACTGGCCCCCAGGAGAGAGGGGGCTCAGGAGTGTGCAGCAATAACCCTAGGTAATGTATACAGACACCATGCCAAGGAGGGGTCCTCTGCACCCCATCATAGTGATCTAGGGTGTGTCCCAGACTGGCCCCCTGGAGAGAGGGGGCTCAGGAATGTGCAGCAGTAACCCTAGGTAATGTAAACAGAAACAATGGGGGCCCAGTGCCCTCTCATCACAGTGATCTGGTGCAGGCATAGGCAATCTTCTGCACTGCAGATGTTTTGGACTACACCTCCCACGATGCTTTGCCAGCATTATTGGGTGTAAGAGCATTATGGGGGATGTAGTCCACAACATCTGGAGTGCCAAAGGTTGCCTACCCCTGATCTAGGGTGTGTCCAAGACAGGCTCCCAGGAGGGGTACATGGTAATGAGTTAATAAATCTTAAATCCCCAGCACCCCAAGCAGAGCCTGGCCTTGCCCTCAGCCCTGGCAGACATTACACATTCAGTAATAGGAGAATATGCTCTGACAGATAATATAATTATACCATATACTATTATTATTATTATTAACTATACTTAGGGCATTGATAGCCATTATAATCCATGCTGTACTTTCACTGGTAACTTGTATATTTTTGGGGGTTACTATGGCAACCAGGTGTGCTTTAGGCCCCCCCAATGACATTATAGCCATTATGGCGACCATGTTTATTATGAAAGCCACAGAGTGCTCACACAAGCCATGTGGGCACGGTCAGGGTTAACAGAAACCGGAAGTGAGTGTCCAGACGCCGCGCCATCCCATTGGACGCCGCACAGCCAGCGGGCCAAGCAAAGGACGACGGGAAATGCAGTCCCGCAGGCCCCTTCCCTCCACCACCTGCGATCAGCGCGGAGACTACAACTCCCGTCCGCCCGCAGGCGCCGTGTCTGTGTTGTACCTCCTCCATGTTGTGACTCCCCGGTGGGCCCTGTGTGGAGCTCTGTCACCGTGTACAGGAAGCTGGGGAGGGGGGAGAGCTCCCCCCCTCCAGCAATAACACAAACAGATTAATATAACCGTGTGCTGTGTGTAATGTGATAGGTGGGAGGTTTAACCCCCTCACTCCTGTGCTGCAGCCTGACATGCTGTGTGTGTACCCCCCCCCAGGGCCAATGGCGCATTAACCCTTCACCTGCCCTCCAGGGGGTTGTAAAGGGGCGGTGGGTACATTGCTGGTACCTACCTGCTGTAGGGGGGGATGTAAGCTGGAGAGGGTCCCCCCTCCCCCAGATCCTCTGTGTGGTGTGCAGAGCTTCTGCTTAATCCCTTCCTGGTTTCAGTGAGGACGTGAGGGGGGTACTCCCTTTCTCTTAAAGGAGAATCAACCACAGACACATTGCACACCTTATCACAAACTACTGGACCATATCATTCTGTGTGAGAAATGACACCCAGCATGGGCTGACATACACCCTCCAAGTGCACTGCTTCTGGTGCCCTCCCTTCCCAATGTCGAACAGTTTATTTTACTGTCAGCGTGTGTTTCTCTCTCTATATTCTTATTTTATTATTTGTATAGCGCCAACAAATTCCGTAGCGCTGTACACTATATGTATGTAGTGGTTCACTGTATTTAAGTACATGTCTTGGACAAAATGTGTAGCCTAACATCAATGATCTACTAGGGAGTAAGAAGCTGCTAGTCTTTGAGAAAACACTTGGTCCTCCTTTCCAACTACTTGGTTACATCTCCTGAAACATGGGTTATGGGACATGGTATATAAAGGATGGGACATGGTACCTGTGACAAGAGCAATCTCGCCACATTGCATTGGAGAAGCCTGGTTGCTTGCCTGCTGCCTTTGGACTATGGCCCCATGTTAAAAGGCTTTGTTTCGCCTGCAGAAAAGCTTTATTCGTGCTTTTCTGCCTGGTGTTCGGTAGATTCAATCTACCGAACAACCGCACAAATAACTGGACCACCTGTGAGCTGGAGTGTGCCGGCAATTAGCCTCCCTGAAGCTGCGGTTAACCTTGACGAATGCTGGGTGGCCGCCATTCGTATCACGAACACGAGGTCGCGGCCATTTTAAACATGCGAATGCACAGCGGAGTTCAACGCTTAATTCATGGAACTGAAATCGGACACAGTTTTGCGCAAACACCGCTGAAGCCGCCGACCTCCCTTCTTGGTCGGTGAAAGTGCACGAACGGCCTGGCGTTCGGTAGTTTTACTGGAATATGGTATACCCCAGATAGGAATCCCATGGAGCCCATTCGCATGAAACTGACTGTGTAAAGACTTTAGCTCCATGGCGATTAAACGGTATTCGTGTTGTCTGAGCGCCATTTGCTTAATAATGTGCGCTCAGACCTGAGCTATCTGGGGATATGTTAAATGTATGCTTTTAATGTTATGTGTCTCACATAGTGTATTTTAATAGTAATTCGTGTGTTAGTATCCCCACGTGCATAATGGTGATTTGCCTTTGTCTTGGGAGATAATTGAATTACTTCTCAATTATCTCCAAGGCAGAGGGGAGGAAGCCAGGATGCATTGTGGGAATATAATGTGACTGTGTGTCCTATTTGTCTACTTGTCTGTCCCTTGTCACAGTCTCCCATTTGGTCCCCTAGGGGAGTGTCCACCAGGTGGGAGACCTGCATAAATACTGGGCAGGTAGCCCTCATTAAACAGACCACTGCTTGACCCTCAACACGGAGCCTTGTCTTGTCTTTGGGGGGATTTACTGAATGCTGATAAGCCGCTTGGATGCTTTTCCTATTCGTCTCTTAGCAGCAATTCGTATGGTTCCTGTTCGTCTGTTTGGAGTGCTATATTGGATGCCGTTCGGGAGTTTGGAGCATTCACTTATTGGCGGTTCGTGTGTTTGGTGTTCTACAATAGCTGTGCCTGCATCTCTGGAAAGGGGGACGATTGCCTAAACGGTTTTTACCCCTTGTGTGCAAAACGGTCTGTTACAGTACCATGGTATATAAAGGAACCGTGTCTTCCAGAGAAGATTTGTTGGTGCTTTCGAACTAATAATAATAGAGCAGTAGAGGTGAATAACAAAAATGTGCCTTTTCTGACATTACAAAGCCTACATACGGCATAATAACAGGCCTCTCACCTGTCCCTATTTAGGCAAGACACCCCTAATTCTGGTTCCTGTATCACCATCCCAATTTTGCTCCCTTGTGTTTCATATCTTAAGATGCTAGGGAACTGTCACATGCAAGCACAACGTTTGTGCATCTACTCACACTATGCTGAGGGGCACTAAGAACTTCAGCAGCACTCCCTGCGGTCTGATTTGGGCTACCTGGAGGGCTTCCAGGCTTACATACCCTCCTTGTCCCCAGCAAAGCATAAACATTTACCTATAAAGAATTTTAAAATATGTAGCTATTTGTGCTAAAATTTTGAAAGTGATAGTGTAAAGAAAAGCTTCAAGTTCTTTGAGGAAATAAATTGGGGGAAGTCTGCTTTACTACATAAATGTCATAACATCTCATTAAGGTCTAATGTTGTTTAGATCTAGTGATTTGATATCTGACTTCATCATGGTGTTTGTGTAATTCACTTGTACTCCACACACCGTGACTTAACCTTCTACTTAAAGGGACACTATAGTCACCAAAACAACTTTAGCTCAGTGAAGATCATGCCTCTGAAGGCATATAGATCATGCCTCTGAAGTCTCACTGCTTGATTCTCTGCCATTTAGGAGTTAAGTCACTCCCTCATGCCCCTCTGTGGTGCAGAAGGGGTTAAAAATCCCTTCTGTCAGGGGCGGAGCCTGGCTTCCAGGCTGCATGGACATGCTGAGACTGAGCTCCAGACTAAATCGGCACAATTTGGGGGAAAACCCCCGAAAAACCTGCACGTACAGCACCTGGAGGGTGATAGCACAGCCGGGGACACCCAGGCGCATCAACCGGCACCAATCGTTAACCCGACATTAACCGGGAACCGGCACCCGTACCAAGAGGCCTACTCGAGACCCTGCCGGGGAGAGGCGGCCGCTCTCCTCGCGGACAACACCACAGTGGGAACCTCCAAACTGCTCACCTCCTACCCCCCTTCCCCCCCCCCCGGACCGGCGGGGGTTATCCCGGTCCGCACGGTGTGTGCCACGCTGATCTCTGCATGACGACAAGGCAGTGTGATCCCCACGAGGCATTCCTAAGATGGCGGCTGGTAGCAAATCGCTCACGCTGAACCTGCTCCCGCAAGCAACAATCAACCACAACACCACACAGCACCTGAAAAAAATATTCAGCCGCTTCTGGTCAAAATTAAGAGACCGCCTGAAAATAACACAGACCGCGCAGGGACCTGCACGAACAGCGGGTAAGCGAGACAACCGGCAGCGGGGCATACCCGTGGGCATAGCGATGGACGACCCACGCAACCCCAAACCACAGAGCCTACCCAGGCTGGAGGCCAAAAAGGTGAAGACCCGGATGCATCGCCCACACCCACGGAGGCTCCAACGCAGCAAGCGGCAAAAGCCCATCAGGCCCTCCACTACCCCCGAAAGGGGAGGAAACCCGGGCTCCAGAAGCTGCAGAGTTCGTGGCACAGAGACGCAGGCCCATGCAACAGCCTGGGGCTGGAGGGATGCCACCACACTGTCCACTGCTCCAGCGGCCTCCAATACCTCAACACCAAACGCTAGCTGCTTTCAAAGAGACGGCATTGCATGATAGAGACTCACTACATAAAGCCTCCAGAAGGTCAGCGCCGGGCCCACCATCCATCAGCTTAATCTGACATACTGCATGACCAGGACTGGCATCCATGGAGAGCAGAAGGCAAAAACACGTGCAGCCCCGAACCAAAGAGACTTTCAAGCATACTGTAAAGTCATCTGTTAGACAACTGTTATATTTTTACTTTGATTAATTCTAAGCATGTAATCTACATATCGTACCATAAGCTCAAACAGGAAAACCGAAGTCATATAAACATGGTCAGTATAGCTTAGCATGTTAACCATGAGCCGCTACTAGAGATGTCGCGAACCATTCGCGAACTTCCCGAAGCTGCCTTCAACATGGATGCTGTCCAGGAGGTGGGAGGGTCTGGGAGGGATGGTCTGCTTGAGATTGGCCGGGATGTGTCAGCTGACCGGAGCTCGCCGCGAACGGTTCGTGGCGAGCCGTTCGCGGGAAGTTCGCGAACGGTTTGCGACATCTCTAGCCGCTACATGTCAGTAAATATAACATACTGAAGTTCATACTGCATGATGTTAACCTTATGACATAACTTATTAAGCCTGCTCTCAACTAGATACGCAATGTTTAATTGATATTCACTGACCCCCAGGCCCACTCTCCTATTAACATTGGGAACCAGCATCTTAATTTAACTTGGCGTTCAACCATGTTCAACCCTCGGGTCTACTAAACAGCCTTAATGGCAAGGAGAGCTCCAGCTATTAGTAGACATAATACCTGTATATATAGGTAGACACATCAGCCTGCTATGAAGATGTTTGACTCAGCATGTTATTAACCTATGTCAGTCCTGTCTAGTTCTCTCTTGTAAATACATCTTTTGCTAATGCCACTCGCAATGTCTAATCTACAGATTTACCTAGCATTACTCTAACGTATATAAAAATGTGCCGTTAATCTTAATGCACCAACTGTTCAACCTGAATATAAGCTCGAGGACTGCTGTTGGGGCACCACGAGCCTGCATGTTTTTTCTCAACGCACAATAAAAATAAAGAATTTAAACATAAAAAATCCCTTCTGTCACTTACCTGATTTCAGCGCCGATGTCCCTTGGGACTGGTTTAGGGTCCGCTTGCAGCTGCTGACGCACATGCGTGGTGATTGCCGCTCTCACATTAGGACTTCCCCCATAGGAACGTATTGTATAATTCTTTCCTATGGGGTTTTGGATGACGCTGAATGTCCTCATGCGTAGTGTGAGAACATCCAGCATCAGTGAGGCAACCAAAAGTCACCTAACCACCCGGAAGTCCCTCTAGTGGTTGTCTAGTAATCAGCCACTAAAGGTGGAGTTAACCCTGCAATGTAATTGTTGCAGTTTATCAAAAACTAAGATCACTTCAATGAGCTAAAGTGATCTGGGTGCCTATAGTGTCCCTTTAAGTTTCTGTCCATGCAGCCCTAGCCACACCTACCCAGGCTGCGACTCATAACATGCATAAAAAAATGGTTTCATTTTCAATCAGATGTTAACCTACTTCATAAGGAGTACATAAACTTTGTATTTTAGATGAATAAATAACTATGGGAGGATTTCCTTCACCGATATACCAATTTGTATATTCAAAGGCTTTTTTTAATTTAGTGAACCAGCACCTGAAGTGCAATGGAGACTGTGGGCTGCACCTACAGTGAGTTCAGAGACCACAGGGACCTCTTCCTCGTGATCCGGCAATCCTCTGTGAGTTGTTTTCTCTGTTTGGCTGTACATGCGCGAGAACAGAGTCAGAGGCACATCTGTGCACCTGTGTAAAGTATAGACCACAAGAACCCCAAACTAGACCTCCAGTGATCATTAAATATTCATGCCCTCCTCCATGGCACGATACCAAAAACAGTCCACACACATGCATGCAATGCTGCAAACCCCTCCACGTATGCACAATAACATAATATGCACTTGCATAACACCACAGACATCCCGCACATATACATAAGCTGCACCCACAATACATACAGCCCACACACATACTCAGGTCATCTACACAAATAAAATCTCACAAAAAAGCCTCGCACCCATACATAACACGTAGAATTCCCCAACAATACATAAATGTTGCCTTTTTTTGAAAATAAATTTTTATTAGGAACGTCAGTGAACACGGTAATTATATACAGAAAGTATTATGCATCATGAGAAATCAAATAAGTTTAAACATTGCCTTTTAAAAATAGGGCCTGCAAACTAAGGGACTTCAATACTTTACTTCGGCACAGCACTACCAAAAAGTTGCTTATCACTGATCTAGACAATCACGGTAAGACCCAACTTTGGGAAGACCCCTTGAGAAAGGCATCTAGCCGAAACTTTGTTTGTTTTTTTGGTCTCCAGCCTCTGGTGAGTATTTCCTTGGTTTCATTTGCGGGTTTATACGTATCCATTTTTAATCTCGTGTATATAGTGGTACATGGTATCTCTATGTATGTAGATATTTATACCTGCGTTTTGCACAGTCCTTGTGTTATTCCAGGATTATAAAATGTATTAATAAATTCATTTTTTTTCATTATGTGGTGTGCTATGTTTATTTTTCTTCTTGTATATAGCTTTTTCTCAATTTGGTAATAGGATTGTTTTCATTTAGCACCCTACTGATATTTTGTACATTTATTATTGTTACACACATGGTTGAGTGAACTATATATTTGTTCATTAATAAAATGGCACGTTAACAGTCAGAACTAATAATGCAATTTTGCAGCTCTGGCCTTACAATCCATATGAAAAACTGCAAGACAGGTGCATTGTAATTGAAGAATAATAAAAAATATATACCGCACTCAAGTAAATGCAAATAATGTGTATTTAGATTTTGTTCAAAAGAACATCAAAACATCTTTATCCATTCCTATGGAAGGGGCAAAAAAAGGGCTACTATGTATATAATGCCCATAAATAACCTGATCCTATGCCTATATAGCAACATACAAATACCGATAAAAGATAATCCCATTGGATCCACCCCCTGATATATGTAAGTAGCAATGTATGCAGTGGTATATTTAGGATTTGTGCTGTCCTAGGCAGGACAGTGCTCGGGCACCCTCCCCCCCAATTTAAATTTTCCCCATCCCTTCCTGTCAAGGCTGCACTTTGACTGACTGACGCTCACTCACTGATGGATGCATACACTCATTGACAGACACACACTCTCATATACACTGACAAACAATGACACACACACTCACTGATTTGACACACTATTACTCAGACACACATTGACAGACTCACACGCACAGTCTCATAAGGCGGTGAGCGGGAAGGCCGAAGTTACGCTGCAGCGGAGACAGGGTGAGAAGGCCAAAAGCGTACAGACGGCCCGCACTTTCTGCAGCAGCTCTGATATATCTGGGTATGCACCGTGGCATCAAAAGGGCCACCCAGAACTGGCTTAATTCCCATCAAGCCAAGTTCCCGGAGGAGATCACCCAGCTCGTCATGCTAGAACACTTTTTCAATGTGACGACGCGTTCGTATGTCAATCCATATCAACTTTCGATGCCATTGACTGCGCCTACCATGGTGATCACGGGTAACGGTGAATCAGGGTTCGATAGGGGGGGACAGATGGTGCTTAAGCTAATATCGTTGAACGCTCGGGGCTTGAACGCCCCACAAAAGCGGCGTATGCTGTTTAGGGAAATGAAGCGGACGGGGGCGGACATCGCCTTTATCCAGTAGACACATCTCCCGGAAACCTGTGCAGCTGCGACTCATGGACCATGTATACACGGGCTCATATGAGTCCCGGGTGGGCAGGAAACAGTGTCGGGTAGCTATATTGATTAGGAAGAGTTGCCCCTTACGGGTTGATTCCACTGACGTGGACGCTGAGGGACCCTCTGTGAGAGTGACAGGGACCCTCTACTCCCACAATATTAACTTAATAAATGTGTACGCCCATAACTATCCGGATCCGGGGTTCTGGTACACCCTTCAAACCAAGATGCGGGCACTAGGGCACGGCATTACCATAGTGGGGGGGGACTTCAATGCCACATCGAGCCCGGCGGTAGACAGAAGCTCAGCTGGGGGAGGGCCTAGGTCACAGGGACGAGGGAGACAGGACAAATTGTTCTTTACTTTCATGAAGGACACGGGCCTGATAGATATATGGAGGGCGCATCACCCGGGGGACTCTGAATATACCTATTATTCCGCCCCACACGAGACCTATTCACGGATAGATATGTTTCTAACCAATGCCTCGGGGTTTGCGAGAGCCACGGCCACTTCGGTGGGGCCTATAACGTGGTCTGATCACACGGCAATATCCCTTACTCTGGGGAACCTGTGCGGGGCCTTCCCCTGGACGTGGAAACTCAATGCTTCGCTGCTGAGGGATCCGGACCTGGTGGCGCAGGTACATCAAGAGATCAGGGCGTACTTTGAGACCAATGCCACTCCGGATGTCTCGGCGAGCGTTGTCTGGGAAGCGCATAAAACGGTGATCAGAGGGGTTCTAATTAAGTTGGCCACGAGAAAGAAAAAACAAAAGGTGGAGGCCCTCACATAATTACTAGCGAACCTTAAGCAGTTAGAGCATATACACCAAACGCGCTCTACGCAGGATACCCGGAGAGCGGTGGAGACGGGCGGTGCGACAATTACTCTTAGATGACACAGTTAGGGCTCTGACATGGACCCGACGGACCTTCAATGAGAAGGGGAATAAAATTGACACGCTGCTAGCCAGGATCCTGAGACAACGACAGCAGCGCACTCATATAACGACAATTAGACGCCAGGACGGGTCCCTTAAGACAGCGCCCCAAGACGTTGCGGCGGTTTTCACGGAATATTATAAGACATTATACGACCACTCCCCCGGGGACAGAAGGGAGAGCACTAGTGGGGAGGAGCACTTACAACGGTTTTTGGGAGGCTTACAGTTACCGAAACTACCGCGGGAGGCGGCTGAGGGTCTCGCGGCTGAAATCACCGAAAGCGAAATAGATAAGTTGATCTCCGGATTAAAAGGAAACAAGGCCCCTGGCCCGGACGTGGCATACTATAAAACCTTTCGGGAGGCCCTGATCCCCCATCTCTGTACACTATTCAACGATTTTCGCATAGAGGGAACGCCGACCCCGGACATGTCGTTGGCCACTATCGTCTTATTGCCCAAACCAGGTAAGGATCCCCTGCTGCCGGGGAGTTATAGGCCCATTTCCTTAGTTAACCAGGATATGAAGATCGTGGCCAAAATCCAGACGGACAGACTCGCCCCCTTCCTTACACATCTCATCGATGAAGACCAGGTGGGGTTTGTGGCGGGTAGACAACTATTCGAGAACACACGCCGGAACATTAGCCTCATCTGGAAGCAGGTCACCACTAAGACTCCGACACTGATTGTATCTATCGATGCCGAAAAGGCTTTTTCGATCGAGTGAAATGGCCCTATCTGTTCTATCTGCTTTCCCACTTAGGACTCCCCGACCCGTACATTAGAGTTGTGAAGGCTATGTACAGTAACGTGAGAGCGCAGGTTCAGATCTCAGGTGCGGCCCCTGTACCCTTTTGCCTGCACAACGGCACTAGACGGGGTGCCCCCTGTCCCCATTATTGTTTGTCATGGCTTTGGTGCTGCTGATGCAGGCAATTCGTCAGGACCCCAACATACAGGGGGTTAGAGTGGGGGGGAGAGAGTTTGTGGCAGCGGCATATGCGGACGATGTCTTCTTGACGTTGACGGATCCGGAGGGGTCCATGGCGGCCTTGGGGGAGAGGTTGCGGGAGTATGGGGAACTCTCGGGCTATCGGGCCAACATGGCAAAATCCAGCGCCCTCCCGATCAGCATGACTCAATCTGACATAGAAAACATACACCGTACATACAATATACAGATGGAGAGAGAGGCCCTTAAATATTTGGGGATAAGCCTTACTGCAATTTTGCGCCCTTGTGGAGAACCGTATTCAAAGACTTAGAAACATGGCTAGATAAGCCCATATCGTGGATAGGCGAATCCACGCTATAAAAATGAATGTCCTCCCTAGGATACTGTTTATGTTCCAGGCAATACCCATACACTTGTCGAAGGCCCAATTGGCACCAATCCAACAAGCTATTGGTCGTTTTATTTGGCAAAATAAAAGACCACGGGTCTCGAGATATGTCCTGTACCACTCTAAACGGAGAGGGGGCCTGGGACTTCCGAATTAGTTTTTCTACTATTTAGCAGCCCAAATGTCCCAGGTGGCGCTCTGGCATTCACCACTAGATGAGCGGAAGTGGGTGGAAATTGAGACGCTCATGTCAGGGATAGATCTACCCCAATTTGTCATGTGGACCCCAAGGGAGAATAGACTCCTGTCTAGGGCAGCATGCCCTGCGGTGGCGAATTCCCTCAGGTTGTGGGAAAATTATGGGACGAAATATGGGTTGGCGTCCTCCCCGTCTCCCCTGGCGCCCATCTTACGTAATAAAGCTTTTTATCCAGGCGTAGAGGCGCGAAATTTTCGCAATTTGGAAAGAGTGGGCCTACAAAGGCTTCACCACTTATATCGGGGCGCCGAAATAGTTTCATCCGATGAGCTTCGACAGGGCAGGCATCTGACACCGACAGATTTTTTCCGCTATATACAGATCAGAGATTTTGCAGCCCAACCACATATAAAGGAAGCAGCGATAAAACCTCTGACCTTTTTAGAGCGCATGTGTAATTCAGAAAACATACCCAAACGACTGATTTCCACACTGTATATGCACTTTTGCACGGAGTCTGGGGAATGGGGGGGCTTAGCATATACCGAGAGATGGGATAAGGACTTGGGAGAAGAGCTAGAGGGGGTTGAACGGCAGGAGATATGGGAGGCGAATAACACCTCCTCAGTCTGCGTACGGCACCAGGAGCAAGCGTTTAAAACACTGTTTCGCTGGTACTCCACCCCGTTACCCTGTACAAAATGCATAAAACAACGTCGGATTTGTGTTGGAGGGGCTGCGGGGCTAAGGGAACGTATTACCACATGTGGTGGGAATGCCCCAGAGTAGGGCAGTTTTGGGGGGAAGTGCATAGCCTGGTGCGACAGGTTTTTTTCGGGGCACCCACGTTAGATCCATGGGTATACCTCCTAAGCAGATCAGTTGAGGGGTGGATGCGAAGGGAGCAACGGCTACTCCATAAGATCACGTTAGCAGCCAGACAGGCGGTGGCCCTTAGGTGGCTGCAACAGGAGTTACCGCAGATTATGAGTGTGATAGAGAGGATTAAAGACATGCGGGTGATGGATGATCTTATGGCTAGGGTTAGGGGCACCTCTTGGACTTTTCAGAGAGTGTGGGAGCCGTGGGATGGGTCCTAGTGGGTAGACGGGGGTGGACGGGACGGAACCTAGGAAATAGACCGAGGTGGGTGTGAGCTTGGGGGGAGTAGAGAGAAGGTGGAGTAGGTCCTGAGGTGATGGAGGGGCGGTTTTTTTTCCTGGTGTAACTGGGCCCTTGCTCCCCGGCCTCCTCTCCCCCGCCCCTCGGCCTCCCGGGCTGGGGCCCAGGGCCACCTAAGGACTCCTCTCTCTTCTCTATCCTTTTTCTTGTTTCTTCTTGTTTTTCTCTGATTCCCTCTTGGGAGATTTGGATTTTGGCCTAGTAGAGAGTGCCAGCAGCATATTCCACATGCAGCAGATGGAGGCAAGACGGGAGAGTGCAGCGAGTGCAGCGGAAGGGGGCTGAACCTAGTAGTCAGGAGGGTAGACAGGCAACAGACGACAGCAGCCTAATAGTCTTGCACTCGAGGGTGGGTACATTCATTGGCAGTGCATAGGATAAAGGAGAGGGCACACATTACAGCGACTATACAATTAGGCATATATATGGTATAACCGTGGCGGTCGGTGACACTTAGCCTTGGAGCTACCCCACCTCTGGGACCTATTCTGGGAGGGAAAAGGGATTAGCTTACGCTATTGTGTGGGAGCTTCTGCGAAAGCTAAAATGTATTTGCCATGTCACTGTTCATGTCACGCAAAAATAAAGAATTTAAAAAAAAAAACCTGGCATCTGCGCTACATGTCTGTCCAACTGTAATTCACCTCTTTCATATTAAAGGCACCTACCCTTATTATATATCCTTTTATTCAGGGGAAACAGGGCTTTTATTTAATATCAAATATTTAGCTATGAAACATAATTCAATATGAAAAAAATGGGAGAAAATAAGATTTTTTTAAAAAATGTTTTAGTTCCACATGACATTTTAACTGTCAATGTCATAATACTGTTTGCTTTTACTGCAATAAAATACACATATTTGTATTCAGCAAAGTCTCACATGTAAGACAGTACCCCCTATGTACAGGTTTTATGGCGTTTTGGGAAGTTACAGGGTTGAATATAACACGTTACATTTGAAAGTGAAATTCGCCAGATTGGTTACGTTGCCTTTGAGACTGTATATTAGCCCAGGAATGAAATTTACACCCATAATGGCATACCATTTGCAATAGTAGCCAACCCAAGGTATTTCAAATGGGGTACGTCCAGTCTTTTTTAGTAGCCATTTGGTCACAAACACTGGCCGAAGTTAGCGTTAGTATTTGTTTGTGTGTGAAAAATGCAAAAAACGCCAATTTTGGCCAGTGTTTGTGACTAAGTGGCTACTAAAAAAGACTGGACATACCCTGTTTGCAATACCTTGGGTTGTCTACTATTGCAAATGGTATGCCATCATAGGGGTAATTTTCATTCTTTGGCTACCATAGGGTCTCAAAGGCAACGTAACCAATCTGGCGAATTTTAATGTGAAAAAAATGAAACACAAGCCTTATATTTGACGCTGTAACTTTTGAAAACACCATAAAACCTGTACATGAGGGGTACTGTTGTACTCGGGAGACTTCGCGGAACACAAATATTTGTGTTTCAAAACAGTAAAAAGTATCGCAGCAATAAAATCGTCCGTGTAAGTGCTGTTTGTGCGTGAAAAATGCAAAAAACTTCACTTTTACTGGCGATATCATTGTTGTTATACATTTTACTGTTTTGAAACACTAATATTTGTGTTCAGCGAAGTCTCCCGAGTAGAACAGTACCCACCATGTACAGGTTTTATGGTGTCTTGGAAAGTTGTAGGGTTAAATATAGTGCTAGCAAACTAAATTCCCTTTACTTTCGGCATGGGTTGTCAGGCAGGTCCCGCTAATTGTAATTAATAAAGATACCTAATTATGTAAAAATATTACATAAATATATATGTAGAATTAATATATATACGTATGTTATATTAATATTTTTATTTATATATAGTGATATATACGTATATATTTATGTATATAGATATATATATTATTTCGTTCTACGTGTATTTTGATATAAATATATAGTAATATCACAATACAGTTAGAATGAAAAAACACATCTATATATGTTTTAATTATTTATTTTTAATTTTATTTTTTAACGTATTTACATATTTTTTTATATTAAATATAAATATATATAACAATAATTATATATATATTTAATCAGCATCAGTCTACGTGTAATTTGATATTAATATATATATATATAATTATATATATATTAATAGTAAAATACACCTAGACAGTGTATGAGTGTGTATGTATATGTGTATATATATATATATATATATATATATACTTAGATCATATATATATCATATATATATGATCTAAGTATATAATTTTTTTTTTTACACTTTATTAATTTTATTTAATTTGATTTCCAGCCAGCAGGGGGACTACCGCCGGTGACCGGGTAAGTAAAGAAAGACCGGAGGGCGTGCTATTACGCCCGGCGGCGTTTAGAGCCGCCTATAATAGGGCGTAATAGTACGTCCTCCAGTCTTAAGGGGTTAAGATGTAGACTTATTGTATCACACTAGCCATGCACAGGTAGATTGTCTGGCACGTTGTTTTGGTGTTTGGTTTTTAACTTTGTAGTTGTGTCTTTACACAATATAGAAATGTATATTAATGCTTCTGTATATGAAGCGATCACAATAACACTTATTTTTCACTTTAAAAAATAAAATAAAAAATCAGGCTAAACAAAAATCGGTAATTAACAATATGACATCTGAAAAGCACATGAAAGGATGCTGTATGATTTAAAAAAAAAAAAGAACACTACATGAAGGTCCTGTTCACTAGAGTGTGTAGTCATGAATGTAACCGGTAAAACTTTGTTTTTGTTTTTACAGACACTGGTTGGCCCATACATATGAAGAGCAGGCCCCAAAATGTACTATTTAGCAGATTAGCAGCAAAACAATTAGAATGTTTACCACTGCACTGTAAGCACACTATTAGATGCTTCTATTTGACTCTCAGATATGAAGTGCACACCCCAAATTTACTATTTAGCACCAAAAAAAAAAAAATTTTTACTTTTTAAAACTCCAATGTAAGCAGCAGATTAGCAGCAACACAATTAGAATGTTTACCACTGCGCTGTAAGCGCACTATTAGACGCTTCGATTTGACTCTCAGATATGAAGAGCAGGCCCCAAAGTGTACTATTCAGCAGATTAGCAGCAAAACAATTAGAATGTTTACCACTGCGCTGTAAGCACACTATTAGTCGCTTCTGTTTGACTCTCAGATATGAAGTGCACCCCCACTAAAATACTATTTAGCAGTTTAGCACCCAAAACATTTTAAGTTTTAAAACTGCAATGTGACAGCAGTATTTGACACTTCTATTTGACTCTCAGATATGAGGTGCACCCCACTAATGTACTATTTAGCACCCCAAAAAATTGACTTTTTAGAACTCTGATGTAACCGCAGTATTTGACTCTCAGATATGAAGTGCACCCCACTAATGTCCTAGTTTGCAGAATTCTTTCCTAAGCTGTCCCTCACAGCTGCAGCATCCTCTCCCTACACTAATAAGAGCTCCGCGACTCCAGCTTATATAGAGGCTGGGTCACATGCTGCACTGGCCAATCACAGCCATGCCATTAGAGGGCATGGCTGTGATGGCTTCTAAGGGCACACAAGTCAAACGCTTGTTGATTGGCTGCCCTGCAGACTTTGCAAATGCACCATTAAATCGCCGAACACCGAACTCCGACCCGAACATACATTGAAATGTCCGTGTTCGGGTCTGGGGTCCAAAAAACATAATGTTCAGTATGAACCCGAACTTTACAGTCCGGGTTTGCTCAACTATAGACATCGGCATAGAAATTATATTGAAAGCCAAAGGAGCCGTTGAGTTTACCAAAGGAGGTAGTATAGATTGAGAACAGTAGGGGACCAAGGACAAAACCTTGGGGAACACAGACAGAGATGGGCTGCGGAGGAGAGGAAGAGACAGAAAAAGAAACCCCGAAAGAGCACTGGGAGACAGGCCCGGACTGGCCATCGAGCACACCGGGCAAATGCCCGGTGGGCCGCGATGTCCATGGGCCGAGGCCAGCAGGGGAGGTCCCAGGATCTCCCTTGCCGGTCAATGCAGGGCTGGCACTATCCGAGCGCCGGTCCTGCAGCAGTCCATGGCGGGCCGGTGGGGAGATCAAATATCTCCCTCACCAGCCCACATGCAGGATACTGCTGCCGCTGGCGGGGAGAGAGGGAGGGAGACAGCCAGGAGAGAGGACCCGGCGGAGCTCTAACTTAGAGCTCCGCCGGGTTACTCTCGCGAGATCCGGCGCATTGCCATGGCAACGACCGGATCTCACGAGAGTGAACTCTAGCCCCACAGGCTATGCGGGCTAGAGTTCCCTCACCACGAGGACCACCAGGGAACACTACCACCCCACCTCCCAGTCACCAGTGTGCCGGTCCCCCCCTCCTCCCAGGCTAAAGGTAAGAAGGGGGGGGACATAATGCCTGCTTAGTTTATTTACCCCCCCCCTACAAACACACACAATTCATTCTAACATTTATACAGCACTCTCTCACCCATCACACACAGCACTCTCACCCATTACACACAGCACACTCTCACACCCAACACTCTCTCACACCACACACCGCACCCTCACACACACACTGCACCCCTCACAGACACACAGAACCCCCCCCAACACACTGCACCACACACATACACAATACTTCCATATATATATATATATATATATAAAAATATACACATACTAGATTCCTTGTAAGCAAACACATACTACACCCCTATATACACACACACACAAACACTATAGCCTGTATGCACACACTTGCTATATCCCCTATACACACATTCTCTACAGCCCCTAGCCACATATGCATCACATTACACCACAAACACAACATGACTAACCTTATTACACAATACCACAAGCAGGCTCCAAACACATGCACAATACTCTTTCCTGGCATTTTTGTCTCCTGGTATCCATTTATAGAGACACCAGAGACAAGTTGCAAGGAAACACAGTGCTAGCATGTTATTAAATTTGCTTGCACTGTGCAGAACAAATACAGGGCTTTTTTCTCATGCTGGAGCTCTTCAGCAGAGCTCTGCGCATGGTCTGCCCTGGAAGAGCATTGAACCAACATGCTCACTTTGAGAGGGGGCATGTTTGTCATTGGTGATGACAAAACACACCTCCTATGCACCGCCCCCTTCTTAGTGTGCCGCTGTGGTGAAAAAATGCCCGTGCCGAATTTTTCTCCCAGTCCGGCCCTGCTGGGAGAGGTAACAGGAGAACCAGGAACGTGCAGAGTCTCGTAGACAGAGGTTACGGAGGATAGGCACCAGTTGTTTTATATGTTAAACTCGATCATATTGATCAGTATTGCTTCACAACTGAGCTAGAGAGGAAAACGCTCAAAAGCTTGTCTTTTAAGCACTGTTATTCTAATGAGAAAGGTATCTATGCACACTGCAATACTCACGTTATTCATGTCACCTGTCAGTGCTTTTAGTGTTGTGTCTGTAGTGGATAACCTATGTCTCTTTGTCTCTGACAAAGTTTACACGGCCATTTCTGCCCATGTTTTGACTACTACTCATAATTTGCCTGCTGTAGGCACTGCCTCTGTCACACTCCCCAGACCCCTTTTTGAGGGTTCACACAGAAGCTGTGGAAGGAGCTCCTCATATGATGGCTAAATTATTTTCATGAATTAGACACATACTCTGATGCTTCTTGTGAGGATCATAAGTGGCTGAGCGAGTCTTTGCTTTAATTCTGCTTAGAGCACATACCCTGCCACCTTATGAATACCTCAATGTCACACTCTCAAGAGGCATGTAGTGGATAAGGTGATCAGTGAAAACTTGCCTAGCTCACACAAATGTCATATCTGCAATGCCATGTCCATTGTTGCTAAAGTCTGGGAGTAAATACTGCCTCCCTTCTCTTGCTTGCTTAACTATTTAAACACTTGTATTATATATACACCCCACAAGGGAATATGTGGAAGATGGTGCCATCTCCTATCTCTAAGACAAGTCCCAATCCTTCTCAGGACAAGGCCACCTTTTAAGGATATGTTGTAATGTTGTACCTATTACTTGTTCGGTGAAGTGTCACCGACTTTCTTCTACTTTGTGTAGGATTAGGGGTAGTCAACCTTTTAATATCTACCGCCCACTTTTGTATCTTTGTTGATGGCAAAATTTGCTTACCGCCCACCAATGCCACAGTAACTAATTTTATAGCGCCCCAAAAAATATGTACTTAAATGTATCTATTTTTTCCCTATTACTTTTTTCTCTGTGTGAAGAGTACTGTGTGTGTTTGTGCGTGAAGGGTGTAGTGTGTGTGAGAGGTGCTGTAGTGTGTGTGAAGAGTGCATAGGGTCTACGCTGTGTGTAGGTGGGTGAGATGTGAAAATCCATCTTAATGTCTCCCTCCCTTCTTCTTACCTTTTACGAGGGAGGTGGGATATAAGACTAACGCGTGGCAACACTCCAACCAATAAGCTTGCGGGAAGAATACAGAGCTTTCGAGGCCCTTCCCTTCCTCTGCTGGAACCAAGTGCCAGGTGGCCAGTGAGGAAGATGAGGGTTTACAGCAAGGCTGGCTAGCATGGGCCAGAAGGGGAGATAAAAGGATCTCCCCTGCCAGCCTTGGTCCATGGCCATCGAGGCCCAATGGGCATTTTCTGCAGTACCCACCACCATTCTAGTGGGCAGTAGGGACCAGGTTGACTACCCATGGTGTAGATGCTTCCCTTAATATTCTGAGAGTGCACCTGGTATTATATTTTGCAGATTTATTTGTATAGGATCCTGACCAAAGCTCAACGACTATCATATTTCAGGGCCTAAATTTATTTTGCTCTGGTTAAGATGTCATTACCATAGTTGTACCTGCGGGCAAAAGCATTTTCCCTTCTTAGGAGAGAGAGTTGGTGCTCAGATTGGACATTTCAATCGTGCTATAAAAGCACAGAGAAGATCAGAAGTTCATCCCTTCCTCTAGTGCTCTCTCTGCTAATACACATGAAACTTCTTCCTATCTAGCCCCTATTGCTGTGGGAGGTAGAGGTGGTTGTTTCACAATGCCTGGTCCCAGTTCTGCAATGAGTCTTGAATGCTGAATGTCTTTGCCTCAGGGTAGCACCAAGATCTTTAATTCTATCCCGCCTTGAAATCCTTACCATGTGTCTCTGGGACTGAGCATGGTTCGGGCCTTTCTGCAACTTGTAGTAGACACACAATGGTCCATAGTCCCTCCTCCAAACAAAACAGCCAAACGCTTTATACATTAATGTTTTGTGGTGCTTAATTCCTTTAGACCAATTTTGGATCAAAGCCCTGCATTAGGTTTCTGCATTTCCCCTTTTAAAATTAAATTTGTCAAGTGTTTTTCTCTTCCCTCGAGCAGGTTCCTTAAAAAGACAATATAGGCAACCAGACCACTTCATCACCTTGATGTTATCTGGATGCCATGTCCCTCTCATTTTTACCCCACAATCTAAAGCATGCAGGTTTTAATGCTTCTATAGTTGCTGTCATATTGACAGCCACAAGAGGTGCTTCTGCATAGAGAGGGACAGCTTGGAGTAGCGCCATTGCAGCAGATTCACACTCACCTACCCATGCCTTGCTATGGATAGGCTGATATCATCAAGATGGATGACCTCAGCCAAGGGTGGGGGGGCCAGCTGATTCACCCAATCACAAGAGTTTCCTAAATTTCACATTTTTTTGGCCACCATTACGAGCTTGTGACATTGTCTCAGACAGAACCTATTCAATTGGAATGCCTTTTATCAGTATGAATGGTAATCTTTTATACTGGATTACTATGCAGAAACAAATGTCAAAAGAGAGTGCTATCCATAAAGTGTGCTGATAAAACAAAGAACTGGGATGGGAGTCGATCACGGATTATTTTTAAATTTTTGGAACTCAAGTCTTAAAAGGAACACTCCAGGCACTATGAACATTCCACCTCATTGAATTTGTTATAGTTTGAGGTCACTGGTACTGTTCTTCCATTCAACGTTAAAACATGTTCAAGACGTTTAACACTGAATAATGGTCAATGGCTAACCACAGCCCAACACCTAGTGGAGGTATGGCTAGGGCAAAGATCACACTCTCACCAATTCATACCAGCAATGGCTAACTGTGACACCAATCAAGCTAATGCTTTTTCATTAGCCCGAGCAGCACAGAGAGTATGGGCTACTGGGAACACACCAGGACACTCCAGATACTGTAACCACTTCAAGAAGATGAAGCAGTTACAGTGTATATAGTGTCCTTTTGAGTGGCGTTATTCAAATTGGTGCAGCCTTACATAACAATGTGGCAGAATATTACATCAACAGCTAAACAGTTCCATAAGTTTTTAAAAGAAGAAAAAAAATAAAATACAAAAAAAATAAAAAAATAAAACAGAGAGAGATACAAACTACAGTTTCATAAGAAGTTGCACGTGAACAAAAGTCAATTGGACATGTATTGTGGAACACCCACACTGTAGAATATATAAAACCTTACTTTTGCACAATTTTGATGTATATTCCTGTACTGTTATGTACAAAATATTAAAATTTAACACAGGAGCACACTACTCAAAAGTATAGAAACTAGTAAACACAATTTTAATATAATATTTATTTCCAAGAAACTCAGTGATTCAGAGTGATATGTACCTGCATTGAAGGGCCTTCACGGGTGGAAATTGCAACCATGGGCTCCAAAGATCTTTTGAGTATAGTGGTGTCATTAATACCCATACAGTTCAACTCAGTACTAAATAAAATATCACATTCTATCTTCCTGTGGATTTAAATCCCAAGAAGTGGCCAATTTAGTGACAAAGAGAAGCAAAGACACAAAGAATGCACCACCACCCAAAACTGGATCATCTCTACCCTTGGCTTGTTGTCAGTCTCTTGACGTTAGTGCACAGCTCAATGCAAATCCATAATGATCATTGCAAAAACACATCTGCCACAGAACTATGTGGAACCGACAAGCATACATACATACACAGATGTATCTTTGCAGATGGAGATCAGTATGTATCCACAAACAAATGTGTGTGCGTACATGTATACACACAGCAGAGTCAATAAGATTAAGAGTAATGGGCTGTACAAGGTGGTCAATGCGCTGCCCTCTTATTCACTGTATGTCTAGCAATCCCCCATAAAGAAGAGGTGAGAAAGCTTAGGGGCCAGTCAGGCTGATATGGTTTGGATATGTAATCAGACTGCAGAACGAGTTGGGGTGCTAGGCTGTCGCAGACCCAGGGTTTTACACAACCAGCCAGCAAAATCAACTTCTTGGATTTCAGCTCGTTTTATGAACGTATGTATCTGTAAGCAGAAAAAAAACAAAGCCTTAAATTGACAGTTTCTAAATGATTTCTCCTAATCTGGTCAACTAGGAACTACGTTTTATGCCCACACGTATGCAATTTAACGATTTTGTGAATAAAATACAATCATCGAGCATAGTGTAAAAGGCTACTTACGATACAGAAAAAATAGATTTTTCCACAAACTATTAAATACCAGTTCATCCAATCAAGATGGAATAGTGTACAAATAGACTATTGGTGCATTCTCCTGCTTGTACGTCAAACCATTCTGGAGAAGTTTGACAAAAAAAAATAAAAATGTAAAAAAATATATAGCTCTCCTTGTACTCATGGCCTTCCACATCCAGATACAGAACACTTGATTTTGTCCCACCTTTAAAAGCAGTGATAGCAAACAGAGTATTTGGTTTCTCTCTTCCGCCACATTTTAAAAACACTTTAGAGCAGGAACAGAGATTCTATTTTTCTTAAAGAAGATGTTATCCATCTAAAGTGAAGCTATATGGAAAATTAATGTTAAACACCATCAGCAATGGCTTTGAACAATCATCTTATGGGAGGATGATTCCCCTGTGGGTGTGTTATTTTTTTAATCTTTACATTTCAAATATGTACAAAAAAGCAGAAAAGAGTAAACATAAAATGGACAATCAGGGCATCAATAAATGTGCTGCAGAATGCTGAACCATAAGCCTGCCTTTTAAGCCATGCCCCCTCACTCCAGAAAAATACTTCCTTATCTAAGGTATGCACACAGTAAAGCCACGAACAGTACTTAACAACATGCATTAGAAGGAGAGGACCACCTGCAATAGAGGTTTATAGTAAGGATAGCACTACCAGTTTGTAGTTTCTCTCTAACTATGTGCAGATAGGTTGTGAATTAAAGCCACTCACTCACTACTGTTGGGGCTGAGACTGTGCTCATACATTTGATAAGGAAGTATTTTTGGCATGAGGTGACGTGGCTAAGGAGGCAGCTTATGGTGTAGCATTCTGCAAAACATTTATTGGTGCCCAGAGTGTTCTGTTAAAATATGGTGTCAAAGCATTGAGGCGACTTGTCCTGGATAATGATCAATAGTTTACATTACACGGTGAAGGAGAAAAGAAAGTCCAGAAAACGATGTCAAGTTAGAAGAGAAAAATAGCAGATGAGAGATAAATGGAGGATGGGGCATAATCAGTGAGCTTCAGCTGAAGAAGAGAAATGTCAAAGAATGAGGTGTGTATGTGTGTGTCTGTCTGTACCTTTGGGAGTGATGGCAGTTTACTATGCTTTTAAGTGAATTGGCAGAACCTCACAAATCCTACTGTGCATGTGCACGATGACCTTGTCCTTTGGGTGTCTACATCTGCAGTGTTGTGTGGAAGAAGCAAACTTTAGTTAAGCAAGTCTTTTAATCTCTAGATCTCCTGGCCAGTTCACCACTGCCATCTGAAAATTTCATCTATACTTACCTGAATGTGACCTTGTCATCTACAAGATTTTTGGATGACAGGTTCACTTTGTAATAATTAAAGGGACACTCCAGGCACCCAGACCACTTCTGCCCATTGGAGTGGTCTGGGTGCCATCTACCACTACTCTTAACCCTGCAAGTGTAATTATTGCATTTTCTTTTTTTTTTCTTTTTTTTTTATAAACTGCAATAATTACCTTGCAGGGATAACTCCACCTCTAGTGGCTGTCTACTAGACAGCCACTAGAGAGCTCTTCCTGCATCATAGCACAGAAAACCTGTGCTAGAGCGTAGCTGGACGTCATCACGCTGTGTGAGGACCTCCAGCGTCGCTCATTTCCCCACAGGAAAGCATTGAAAAGCATTTTCAATGCTTTCCTATGGGGAGCTCTAATGTGCATGAGCGGCATTGCCGCGCATGTGCATTAGGTCTCCCTGGCCGGTATCAGTCTCACCCACCGGCCGACGTAATCACCGGGAGAAAGAGCGACGTGGGACATGTCGCTGTCTCTGGTAAGTAACTGAAGGGGTTTTCACCCCTTCAGCAACCGGGGATTGGGGGGGGTGGGAGGGAGAAGGGACCTGCAGTGCCAGGAAAACGGATTGTTTTCCTGGCACTGGAATTTCCCTTTAATTAAAATAGAAAAAAATATGGGTATATAATCGGTTTACAATTACAACAAGCATTACTCACCATCAACATCTTCAAATCTGCCCTTTCAGCTGGATTCTTTATTAGACTGAAATGTATATATAAAAAAAAAAAAATCATTGTAGAAGTTAACCCAAGCAAAAAATAAAAGAAATACCAACAATTCATTCATATATAATTCCTCCTATCTTACCATTTATGTACAAAGTCTTGAAAATCTGGGGAGAATACTCCAGATGGGAGTTTCGGAGGAGGCTGTGGAGAGTAAAATGGCGTTTCAAAAAGTGGGAAGATTTCAAAGAGACAGTAGCGCAGGAAAGACCATTAACTAATAATTACACATGGTATTCTACTGTACAGAGATACAATCTCTTGAAAATATGTAACACAAACAAAAATAGAGATAAATGCTGACACACCAGGATGAAAGATATTCGCTTTTAAAAGATCTGATGACACTTAATAACTTACAATACAGGCAAATCAGATTCCTCCCCCCACCCCCACCCCCGCAAACATTAATAGGATGGGGGTGTCTTAAATATTTTTGTTGATACTACCCACTTTGTTCACATTTAGTTGTTTTTTTACATTTTTGTACAGTAGAAACTTTACTGACTATCAAAGATATTTACCCTTAAAGCTCTAATGCAACCTTAACTTAATGAAGTGGTTTTGATGTATAGCTCATGGACACTGCTGAATTACCTGCCATCTAGGGAGTTAAATAACTTTCTGCAGTTCTAGCCACACCTTTCCTGCATGTGACTCACACAGCCTCCCAGCACACTCCCTCAATAAGCTTACCTTACTGCATAATGTGTTTAATTTAGAATTTATCTCCTGCAACAGCATCCTGTGTGTGGTCAAAGTTCAGGAGATATAAACTTCTAAAGTTTGCATTTTTTTCACTGGTGACTGTTTCTTTGCAGTCAGGAAAGGTGGGTCTAGGGCTACATAAACAAAGTTATATAACTTGTAAATGGCAGAGAATTGAGCAGTGAGATTGTGGGGGCCTGATCCATACACCAAAACTTCTTTGTGGTGCTTAGAGTGACCCTTTAATGTAAATGCAACTACACTGAACAAAATTATAAACGCAACACTTTTGTTTTTGCCCCCATTTTTCACGAGCTGAACTTAAACATCTAAGACTTTTTCTATAAAACACAAAAAGGCTATTTCTCCTTTGCTGAGATAATCCATTCACCTCACAGGTGTGGCATACGACTTAAAGGATCACTAAAGTCATTTCGGTGCTTAGAGAGTGTTCCTTTAAAGATTCCAGCTTTTGCAGTGATCTCTGTCTAGTTTAGGAAGTAGCAATGAATTTGGTATTCTGTTACTCTTATCTGATGATCCTGTGGCTGGTAGGGGTTAATTTAAAACAAGCACAAAGCAACAATTAAAATTATAACATGCAATAGATCAACCGAGAAATGTGGATTAAAAACAATTTCATATAACTTAATTGTCTATTCTATAGGGTCATAGGTTCTATCAAAAAATGTTTTAATTATTTATGAGCATCAAAACCTAGCAGACAAAATATAGATATAACACACCTCATTTACAATGTAATCCAAGAGCTCAAATATAGCCATAGCTGGTCGACTATCCATTCCGTGACCTATGAAAACAGAAAATAAATAAAAAAGAAGGCATTAAGTAAAAGATAAAGAGTGGGACAATACATAAGGCTAAAAAAGCAGTACAACAATTGTGTAAAAGATATTTTACCACTGATTGGCCTTCCAGGAGGTCTTGGTCGGGGGGAGATAGTGTGAGATTCGCCTTCAGCTCCATCGAGCATTGGCCGACCAAACGTGGCCTCCAACTCCTTTATATCTGGAGGAGGAATAGGATATCTTCCAATTGAAAGCTCCACCAGTGACAGACCCATGCTCCAAACGTCCGACTGCACAGAGTAATGTGTACCCTGTAATCGTTCCGGCTTTATAAGAGAAAGATGTAGAAAAGAATATAAGAAAGGGGACTGTGGTGAGGTCACAGTAAATATATGTATTTATCTGCAATAGTATTTACACCTAATTTCCATCTTCTCACATATTCAAATACTCACAGACATATAGGATCTGGTCCCAACAAAAGAGTTTGCCATGGAGTCTATAAGCTGACCACTGACTCCAAAGTCACACAGTTTGATCTCACCACGAGAGTTGACCAGGATATTGGAAGGTTTCACATCTGTTGAAGGAAAGAAACAAGGCAATTAGGAAGAGCTATTTTCCCAAGTAATAGTATTTAGTTCTAAGGCAATTCAGGGGTTTTCACCTCTGTGCATAATCTGATGTTTCTCTCTGAGGTACGCAAGTCCACGTAGTACTGCAATGCTGACCTTTCCCAGAATCTCCTCTGGAATACGTCGAGCTTCTTTTAGTACTTGATCTAATGACCCACCGTCCTATTAATACAAAAAAGCGGCTTTTTACCATCTAAACCAAAAGGCAGACGAATAAAAGACATGGATTGTGCATAGAATGAGTGAATGAGATGGTTTAAATTTCTCACCATATGCTCCATGCAGATACTGATCTCTCCATCACTGTAAAAAGCACCATAGAACCCCACAATATATGGGGAATTACATTCATGCAAAACCTGCAGTTCTCTTATAATCTGGTTCCGGATCGCAGGTTTGATCTCAAGGTGAATCAACTGCAAGACGTAGAAATAGTGTAAGAATATTTTAACAGTTTCACAATAAGACAATATGGAAATAGGGAAGCAACCAAATTACAGATAAATGTACACTTCAGAAGGAAGAGCAGAGCACGGTGAAGAGGAAACGTTAGAGGCTGAGCATTAACATTATATGCAAACTATTGAACAAATGTAAAAGGGACAGATAAATCATGTAAAAACAGAATGTAAAACTACGCAGTCAGAGATTAGGTGCTGCCAAGAGAGTAAATGGTACGATTGGTTAGTGTGCTTGGTCATAAAGGGGCTCCTGGCATCATAACCAATAAAATGCGCCGTGGTGGTTACAATGTTTGGATTGTCCCTTTAAATGCACAGTCATGATGCAGAGATGAGTAATACTTTCAGGATTATTCACTAAAACACCTGATTTTGCCTTTATGTCCCCCACCTGAAGCCCCACTACTCCCTGTTAATTAGCAGGCCCCATCCCCAGAGTTTTAAATATTTAGCATATTTACCCCCAACTAGTATGACAGGAGGGTGTATAAGGTGGTTTAAAAACCTTTGTTATAATATAGGTGTCTTTTTGACCCATGTACATTATTAATAAAGTTTTCTTTTTACTTTTTTTAACTCACTTGCCAGCCTCCACATTTTACCCGACGCAGCCCCGTAGGATTTTAACTATGTACCCTCAGCCAACGGGCAAATAATATGGATTTTCTAAATTCATGGTCTGAGTGTGAGTGAATCTAATTCAAAGATTGTTAAATAGAGTAAACAATGACTGGATTCTGCAAGGTCGAATGGCCCCATACGCAGCCGGATGTTTTTTCCCCGGTTCAGCAAGTGGCCTTTTGGACTGGAAGACTGTTGAAATAGCTGATGAAACCAAATGTGGATTGCAATCCTAGGGTTTACAATAACTTTTACATGTGTTTGTGTAGTTTATAAAATACAAACAGGAGGAGTCAGAAAAATGTTTGATCCCTGCAGTACATACTATAACACTTAAAGAGTAGCCACTGATCGCTTGCAAGCATCAGCTGACACTCTCAACCTATCACTGCAAACCTTCCTGTTAACTGTAGTGGCCGAGAAAAAGAAAGAGCAGGTAGAAAGTTGGGAGCTGGGGGACCAACTTTGGGATTAAACCACTGAAAAACAGTTTAACCCCGATGATAGACAGTGTCCTGACATGCTTGCTCCATAACAATTTAATTAAGCTGAAGTTGTTATGGGGGTGGGAGTGTTCCTTTAATGGCATCAACATAAGCAGATTCACAATCTCAATGGTGGGTGATTAGTTAAAGGGACACTGTAGGCACTGTAACTTGTTCATCTCATAAGATAATGTGTCTTTAGTGTTTTTAATATTTTAATGCTAAACCATAGAAGAACCAGTAGCCTGAGCAGCAAAACGTAGCTGTGATAGTTTGAAAGTGGTCAGCTGACACTTTCAGCCAATCACAGCATCCAGTGCTAGCATGACTGGTATGGTTAGAAAGAAATGTGTAATATCTGAGCCATACCTGCAGTATAGGCCAGGCTGTTGGTGGCCAGGTTCACTTATTTATGCGTGAAAATGGTTGAACGGAGGGACGGTGCCAAGGAACTCCAAGCACTGTAACCAGTTCAATGAGATAATATTGCTATAGTGCCTACAGTGCCACTTTAACAAGCACATCAGTGAGCTTTTAGATAAAAAAGGTTCTTAAATATATTCACAATACATGTATGCACACATCATTGTTAAGTTAATAAATTCAAAGAGTGGTCATTACCTTACGGGCCATAATCAGGCCAGAGGGACGATGTTGTACTTTTGTAACCACCCCGCCATTTCCAGCGCCTAGTTCACAAATACGCTCAAAGTCATCATCCTTCAGTTCTCCCACCTTGGCCTTCTGGGTAAGAAAGGCCTCCAGCCGCTTCTTCTGTTGATCATCTAGGTCCAATTCCTCCAACTTTTTTTGAAGATCTACAAGATTGGCCCTGATATAGGCAACAAAATGGACAGTAAAGATTTGAAAAAGAAAACAATGAGGCAGCTTAAAGTGAATTTGTCACTTTTCAGAACTTCATAAAGACATTCTATATGAAATACTGATTAAGATGTCATTGGAATTTCACTGAAATTAGTTTGTTTTATGGTAAAGCCTGTTAACAAGAATTGACAAAAGTCAAAGCTCCGCAATCAACTTTTGTCCAATCCAGCATTCATCACAAATGATGGCTGTGGGATTCAGGCTCTGTCTATGGACCTCCATAGACCTCAGTTCTGTACTCTCGAGTACAACACTGGCATGACTCCTGGCAACTGAAGAATCAGGAGCCAGAGTATAGCAGTGTGAACATGGCTGCAGCTGCAAGGGACAGCCGAAGGCAAGTAAACCTCACCTTTCCTGCAGTCCGCAGCCACTGAACCCACATTGGATCTGCACCTTTTGGGGGGGGGGTCTTTGCAAAATATGCAAATACCCTTGAAAATGGTAGATCAGCTTTAAGAAGATGGCTACCAAGCAAACAGGCATGTGTTTGGGGGGGGTGGGCGAGGTGGGTATAGAAGAGGGAATAGAAAAAAAAAAAACAGTTGAAACTTTTCTGAAATAAGTAATGAAAAAGGCATGTGTTTTTGAGTAATTAGAAAGCAAAATATCTCACTTGCAAGGGTAACCAATATAACTCAAAAGTTGATTTCAGGTAGATTGGTGATCAGGAATAAACCAAAGTAAGTCATGTCACACAACAGTTAGGACCGAGAAAAGGATAACATATTCCAGTGTGTGATTTATAGATTTTCTGCTAACTCTGTACAAGCCTCTACATCTCCATATAAGCATTCCAGAATTGTACTCCGGCTGTGCAGGAATCTGCTCAACAACACAACGACTCAAATGGTTAAATACTGGCTTCTACAGCCGTCAGACTGTATGTTTTTGCATGTGCTCATTTATTTGCAAAGTTGTACCACTGCCAAAATATTTTTTTTTTTTTTACTTTGGAAGCCTGTGTCTATACTTCGTTCAAGGACATTGGAAGATAGAGAAAAAGGAGGCACTGGTTAACATCAGATGGATTCATATTTGCTTATCACACATTTAACTCAGTAGAGTCACATTGAATGTTTACTGTGTTTTTGAAGGATGAACAGCCTGCAACACCATTTCTACCCTGCGGCTTTATCATGCCACGAGGTACTGGCCACACACAAAAAAATAAATAAATTCTAAACCTATTTTTGGAGCTAATAAAATGTCTTGCATACTCTGGAATGTTTGAGCTATTTATAAATGAAATCCCTGCATATATGTGTAACAGTGAATAGCTTCATTTTATTTTTAGCTATAAAAACAGCTCACAGGTTATTCCACGAACAGATTATGGTGAATTCAACCCAAAATGGCTCATTTCAAGCTAAAACATCTTATCTGAAAAAAAGTCTCCAAATGACCTGAAGTCCAAGCTTGCCTATTTTAGGCTTAAAACTTGGCATTTGAATTGAATTTTCTAAAATGTGGTGTTTACTGAATAATTGTCACTGTCTAGGGGGTAAAATCAGAATCTCTCTCTTTCAATACTCTCATCCAATCCAAAAATCAAAATACGTATTTCTTTTTCCATTGTAAAGTTGTAAAAAACACAGAAAACACTTCTACTGCCACTAGTGTTTTGGGAATATTTTACTGTGCTACCAGATTCTTACATCTATATTCCTCAAGAATAACATCCACACACAACAAAAATCACCGGAATATTTTCCACTTTAGACAAACATACCTTTCAAAGTTTTCATTCTTACCTTCAAGGATCTCAGACCTGTACTCGGTCATATACCTAAATGTTCCAGACTTGCTTTCTGGAACATATGATGCTTTTGTAACCACCACTGCTATATTTAGAGTAAGTGAGCTTTCTTTCTTTCTACACATTATCTTTGGATCATCCCAACAGTCTGCAGCTGTCAAATTGCAACCATATAAATCTCTAAGGCAACACTAAAACCACTTTTTAAATTACTTCCCTCAGTACCATACTACACCAATGAAACTCATGGGGCAGGGTCCTAGCTCAGCAGATGCAATTCAGTAGCACTCTGTTCACTGATGCCAAAAACGATCAGGGTTATTTACAAAAGAAAGAATTATAGGGAATTCCAAGAGACTTTTAAACGATTATAAGGAGCACGATAAGGTCAGGAGCACGATAAGGTCAGGAGCACGATAAGGTCAGGAACACGATAAGGTCAGGAACACGATAAGGTCAGGAACACGATAAGGTCAGGAACACGATAAGGTCAGGAACACGATAAGGTCAGGAACACGATAAGGTCAGGAACACGATAAGGTCAGGAACACGATAAGGTCAGGAACACGATATGAAAACTCACCTTATTTCCAGCTCTGCGCGGGTCCGCTGGCGCTGGTCACGCCCCCGATCTGCCTCCTTGATGACATCATAATTGCCGATTTTCAGCCAATCCAATGCTTTCCCATAGGGAAAGCATTGGATTGGCTAAAATCAACAAGGACACGGGGTCAAACACAGTTTTGGCTAATCAGCACTTCTTCAAAGAGATGCATTGAATCAATTCATCTCTATGAGGAAAACTCAGCGTCCCCATGCTGAACGGCACTGCTGCCTACTGTGCAGCACTGACCCAGGAAGCACCTCCAGTGGCCACTTCACTGAAAAGGCAGTGTTTGCATGAAAATGCCTGAAGGCAATGATTATACTCACCAGAACAAATACATTAAGCTGTAGTTGTTGCGGTGACTATATTGTCCCTTTAAGGTCAAAATAGTAGAACTGGAAAATAATTCTCCAAGTCCACTATGCTTCCCTATCAGCAACTTTGGATTCAAACTTGAAATTCACTTTGAATTCCCAACAAATTCTCACTTTAGTAAATCACCCTGTGAGTAAAACCCGGAAATGTAATCATAATAATGACTATATCCAATAGGGAAGCCCGACTAGTAATCTAGTTTCAAAATTCAGGTGAATTTATTTTATTTAAGCTTGTTTACATTGTTGCCTTCTGTGGAGAATAGTAGGAGAGGCAGCTGCTTTCTTGGCCAGAAGAGGACTCTACCCACATGCATACCATTCTTAACTGCCACGTTTCCAATGGCAGGGATTACTCCAGTTCTGGGAGACTGCAGGTACACTCCAGGGTTAACAAATTATTACTGTGGTACGTTGCACATTTCTACCCGTCTAACATTTCCAAAATGGAACCAACCAAATCAGTACTGATTCTCCTCAATGATTATCTGTTTGATGAAAGTCTTTGGACAAGATATGTGAAAGAGACTTGAAACCTGAGAACCCCCTTCATCACTTTGGCAGATGACTATACCCTTAAAGCCAATGAAACAGATCAGCACCACACAATGGCAGACAAGGAGGCTAGGATCAGCACTGTAGCTTTCCACTCAGCAAGATTAAATACCAGAAGTTACCCCCTGGTAGGATTAACAAGTATCTGTTTAAATTGCAAATCTGGTCCTGCATTAGATTTGCACCTGGCTTCTCTTTGCCCTAGAAGGCTTTTGTGGCAGGAATCAGAAGTCTTGTGGTTGACCTCCACTTAATCTAGCTACGGAATCCAGGAACTGCCCCGGGGTCTTGGTTGCTATATACCAAGGAGTAATGGTTGATTCTAGCTCTGGAACTAATCACTTGCGCATAATTAACTGATCTTGATTTTTGGTGACTTCTTTTAAGGTTTTTAGTGGCACTAGTTTTCATTTTTCAGAGCTCTGTTTCGCTTTTAGTGGTCTCTTGTCGAATTCCTCATTACTTCCTCTTTCTGAAGCTATGTCCCCCCCAACATAAACATAAGCAGATATTCATTTCTAGTAATGATATGGAAATAATCTTACTTTCCAGCTTGCAAGTCTTATATTTTTATATATAAAATGCAACTTGTACCACGATTGTGAAATGCAAAAAAAAAAAAAAAAAAAAGGGAGAGTCAAATGTATATTCTCCAGAAGAGCTGCGAACCCACACTTCCTCTTCCTGGTTCTATGTGTACTCCTCCTATTACTAGTTAATTATAAGTGAGAAAGAAATGAGAGCTTCTAGGCCAGGGGTAGGCAACCTACGGCACTAGTGCCATGCACGGCACTCAAGGTGTCTTTGCACGGCACTCAAGGCTGCTAGAGCCAAACAGGCTCTGGTCCCAGTGAAACTTCAGATATCTGCTAATACGAAGAGGTGGTGTAGGACAATCCTCAATTTATGCATTGCAGCACATAGAGGATAACTTCCTCCCGGCTCTTGTGAATAGGAATCCACACTGTAGTAGAACAACCAGCAGCTGCTGTTGCAGCTCCTGTCCTTGACCTGTACCTGGCCAGCCTGGTCCCCACTGGAACCTAGGGAAGCCACCCACACTGCTAGATATACACAGAAATGCATGATAACCCTCCCCTCATACAAATAATAACAGCCCCCACATAAACATACACACAATCCCCACAAACAACACCACTAACAATCCACATACATGCACACAACCACACACGCAGCCTCTCACGTGCAATACCCCAAACAGCCTCTCACATACACACACTACCAAACACACAATGTGACATATCCATCCACACACAATTCCACAAGCAGCCCTCATACACAGCCCACATTCATATATATCATACACAATACCATAAACTACTAATACAATATAATAGCTCATATACGCACAAATACAACAATACAAAGGAATTACAGTACAAATAACACAAGCAGAATACGGCGACATGCACACCTCAATTTAAAAAAAAATAGGATCGGCACGCTACGGGACATCACAATCCTATATCGCCACAGTGCTGCTAAAAGGTTGCCTACCCCTGTTCTAGGCTAATAATTGCTTGTGTACTGCCTTTTCTATTAGGCCCCCTTCTAGTGTAATATAAACTATACAGTACCAAGTACAACTGTTGGCACTTATGGTAGATTCAATTTTAACATACTGAATCATGATCAAAGAAACATGAAAAGAAAGGGAATAAAGTAATAAATATATTTCAGGGTGAGGAGCTAAAGGGAGACACATGCATACCTGGTACCTATGCACCAAGACTATGGGTCTATCACAGTGCATTCAGATGATGCACTTACTCTGAAGAGCCATCGGTGGTTGGAGACTGGCCCTCTGTAATAGTGGGTGCTATGTTCAGAGCAGGAAGTACTGGCTTTCTCTTCGCGGGCATCTTTTCACCTGCTGAAAAGAAATGTGTGCTGAGAACAAATATACAAAACAAATCTAACATCACACTGCCAATTAAAATAGCAGATCATGGTACCATGCATGTTTTCTTTTACTTTGATTATATTGAAATAACAGACAAAACCGAACTGAAAAATGCCCTCACACCTATCTTTAAAATCAAAATTACGTTTACATGCTGAAGTGTTTTAGAGGTTAAATGAAGGTCCCTTCTGTTTTATTTTTCAAGGGAAATCAGCTCATTTATACAAGTCTGTAGTTATACCTTCCCAGCTGTCACACAGCCAAGAGGGCTTTCAGTCGCACTCACTATGATTTCATTATGAAAGGCAATGCTTACTTTACAGATAGAGTAGTGGACACATGGAAGAGCCTTCCAGCTGAAGTGGTAGAGGTTAACACAGTGAGGAGGTTTAAGCATGCGTTGGATAGGCACAATGCTATCCTAGACTTAAGATAAGGCCAGGGACTAATGAAAGTGTTTAGAAAATTGGGCAGACTAGATGGGCCAAACGGTTCTTGTCTGCCGTCACATTCTATGTTTGCTTTTCAAAGATAAGCAATGAAATTAATGGTTCTCTATGAGATGCATTTGACTGGCAGAAAGTGGTGATTAATGTGCACTTGCTACAAGTCCACAATTCTTCTCTATGAGAAGCAGTGAATTGGACATCAATAATCATGAGCACGTCAACAAGGGCAGATTGACATGCATCAAGCACACTGTCTTGGCGCCTTTTATTAATTAAAAGAGATGGGGGGGTTAAATCGAAACAAAAAAAAAAATACCTTTGCATTAAAGAGATTTAGTTCTAACATAGGAGTGTTCCTTTAATATAAAATTTACAAGAAAACGGAGATCACAAAAAAAAAAAATGGTCAGCAAGAGTTAGTTGATTTTCGATGTGTGGTGTGATTTCCAGAGAAGTGACAGCTACCCTTTAAAATTAATTTAGTGGTATTATGTAGCAATAGAATATTAAAAGGGGTTATACATATTAGAACTAAATATGTGGGTATTCCCAATAGCTATGGCTAAGAGGCAATCAGAAGCATTAAGATATGTGTTACATATAGTTTCTAACGATTGGTATTCGCCATACAGGGGATGATCACATACTCCTAAAAATTCTAACAGATATAAATGGAACACCTAGCCATGACAAGTCAATTTTAAAATTGTAACTTATATATAAGGGTGGTGGTCTGTAATATCATTATCGTATACACAGCGCCAACAGATTCTGTATCGCTTTACAATATTATAAGAGGGGGGATTTAACTATAAGTAGGAGAATTGCAAGAAAACTTACAGGAACGATAAGTTGAAGAGGACCCTGCTCAAACATTATTATTATCACCATTTATATAGCGCCAACAGATTCTGTATCGCTTTACAATATTATAAGAGGGGGGATCCAAATATAAATAGGACACTTAAAAGAAAACTTCCAGGAACGATAGGTGGAAGAGGACCCTGCTCAAACGAGCTTACATTCTATTGGACATAAATATAAATTATACAATATAAAATATATATTATACACACACACACACCACAAAATAATGCATCCTGTTCGTATGAAATGAAGTGCATGATACAGTATTGTACTAAAATGCCCAAAAATTCGTTTTTTTTTTGTTTTTTTTTTATTGGAGGTGAGAATGGAAGCTATGACTGCATTAATATAAATTATTGCCCCCAGTAGCAATGCAGCATGTTATGTGTATTTTATGACAGGGATCCCTAATAATGCCCATTTAAAATATATAAAAATAAATAAATAATATATAATAATGATAATAATAATATAAAAAAAATAATAAATAAAAAAATATATAATAAAAAAATATATATATAATAAAAAAAATATATAATAAATAATATAAATAATAATAATTTATTAGTGTATTTTGCAGTAATTGTGTCTGTATAGTCCCCATACACAGTGTGTATACGCAGTGACTATCCAGGATTGACACAGACAGGGCACAGCACGTACACTGACAGGTGCTGGCTGTACACAGAGAGCATACTGATAGCAGAGCACCCCCTCCCCATATAATATAATACAATACAGACACACACTCTGTATATACCCTATATACTCACACTGTAAGGGCTGGGATTTAATAATAATAATAATAGATTAATTAATAATGAGTCAGGTAATCGGTAAATCTTCTCTCTCGCCCGGCCAGGTTCCACCGCCGTGTCCAGCCGGGTCCATAACCCGGAGCGCGGGGTTATGTAACTTTACACCGAGGCTCCAGGGCCTGGTCTGTCCGGACAGGGAGAGGAAAGGGAGAAAACCACACAGCGGCCGAGCACGATCTCGCGAGAAATGGAGGCGCGCGTTCACGGGAGAGGGAGGGGAGGGGAGAATCCAGTGACGGGGCGCGCGCACGAGGAAAACCAGCTCTGCAGGAAATACAACAATCAGACAAGGAAGCTCTCTCCAGGGATAATATATTGCTAGAAACGTTTTTTTTATTTTATTTTTTTAAATGTTGTGTGTGTGGTTTTTTTTTTGTGTGTGTGTATGTGTTTTTTTTTGTGTGTGTGTGTGTGTGTGTGTGTGTGTTTTTTTTGTGTGTGTGTGTTTTTTTAAAAATTTTTTATTCAAGGGCAGAGAGGCATGTCTGCGTGTTTGCAACAAAAGGCATATTTGCTAATATAAGATATTAACACTTTTTTGTTGAGTTTACATTTTTTTATTTTATTATTCAGAGCTCACAAACATGTATTTTTTTTTTTTTTAGGGGGAAGTGGATGGGGACGGACCACGTTTTTGACCCTAATAACAGCGAACTCTTTTTCTTAATTTTTTTTTTTTTTTTTTACTTCTTGCCCATCTTTGACGTAGTCCGCAAAGAGCTCTCTACTAAATGCTTTACATTTCCATTCAGACACTTCGGCAAAGCTTCTGAAAATTACTCAGGCAATGCATGTGAAAAACATACAGACACGTGTATATAGCAGAATAAATATTAATATAGATTTAATCATTAAAGGGACACTTAATCACATGTGCAGTGTCCCTGTCCAACGCAGGGTTAAGACTACATCTAGTGCTGGCCTCACCAACCTGCGGGGGCCCTCCCAAGATGTTTTTCACTACAACTCCCCTGATTCCCTGGCTATCTGTTTAAAAAAAAAACCACAGGTGTTAGCTATCTATTACATTAAATTAATCATGGGCGTTAGCTGTTTTATTGAACAAATCAGACAGCCAAGACAGGCCCTTCATGGATTCTAATGGAGTTTTTTTTAATTCTGTGAAATGATGTTGGGTGACCTCGTGTCTTTAACATCCCCGTAGGAAAGTATTGATTCAATGCATTTTCTGTGGGGAAACTCTAATGTGTGAGCAGCGCTCCCCGCAGATGTGCATTAGGTTCCCTTATTGTTGTGATGTAGCTGGAGGATGAGACCGAGGCTTGAAGGAGGTGAGTGTAAAAAGGGTTTTTTAAAGGACCACTATAGGCACCCAGACCACTTCAGCTTAATGAGGTGGTCTGGGTGCCTGGTCCAGCTAGGGTTAACCCTTTTTTCTATAAACATGTTTATATTAGGGTTAATCCAGCCTCTAGTGGCTGTCTCATTGACAGCCGCTAGACGGCTTCCGCGTTTCTCACTGTGATTTTCACAGTGAAAAGACGCCAGCGTTTATAGGAAAGCATTGTGAATGCTTTCCTATGGACTGGCTGAATGCGCGCGCGGCTCCTGCGAAGAGGAGGAGGCAGAGAGGAGGAGGAGAGTTCCCAGCCCGGCGCTGGAGAAAGAGGTGAGTTTAACCCCTTCCTCACCCTAGAGCCCGGCAGGAGGGGGACCCTGAGGGTGGGGGCACCCACAGGGCACCATAGTGCCAGGAAAACAATTATGTTTTCCTGGCACTATAGTGGTCCTTTAACATTTTACTCATCAGACATCGGAGAGGAGACCTACTGAAAATGGCGCACTACAGCTATAGAAATAGGCACTGTGGCTTTAGGAATATTGTTTTCTATTTCTAATGCTATCGTGTTCCTTTTAGACTGCTAATTGATATCCAAAGATCAAGAAGTGCTTTTATACTAAAATGAAAGAAACACAAAATAAAGAAATACTAAAAAAAATAAAGAGCTCATCTAACTGTGTTCTAGGAAATATTTGTGGGGGATAACCCCTAAACATTTAAATTAGAAAAGTAAAGAACACAGATTGATTCCTAGAAAATTATATTAAAACAGTACGAAAGGAAGGATAAATTCAAGAAAATAATATATTCTAAATTAAAAACATGACTTGCAATGAATTGTGCAAAAGGTACTAATAAACTGATCAAATTAAATGTCCTTATTACTAGTGCAAATATTCACTGCCAGCGTGAAAATAATTTTACAGCTTCAAAGAAATACAGAGGTTAATCTCTTTGAAACAATGTATTAAAAAATTAAAGATTCCTACACGCACACAGGCAAAAATGTTTTGTCACGAAAATAATATATGACGGACTCACTCACTCTACTCCAAAGACCATCACTGGATTCTGATGGTACTACGCCTCGCTCTACAACTTACCATCCTCTACACTGAAAGATCCCGACGACACTGCAGCCAAATGGCTCCGCCAAGAAGCATACATTCATCGCAACCTTGTTCATAAATTAGACCGGTAAACAGCACACAGCCTGGAGGAACCTATTACACTGGAGGATTTGGTGCTGGCTCTCAAACTCACTAAAACTGGTAAAAGCCCGGATCCTTATTGGCAGACCATCAAATATTATAAAATGTTTCAGGACATCCTCTCACCCCACCTGTTTGCCGTGTTCAGTTCTCTCAGGGAAAGGGGAATGCTGGATCCACACATGTGCTGCCCAAGGAACATAAAAATCCTCGATGTGCCCTAGCTACAGGTCAATCTCCCTGTTATGTGCAGACTTAAAGTTACTCGCAACAATTCTGTCTTTCCGAATCCAACCGTCCTTACTGGGGCTGATACACCCAGATCAGGTGGGGTTTGTCCGAGGCAGAGAGGTGTCACGCAGAGTTTAGGATAGCAAGGAACGGACTAATGAAATATGAACTTCAAAAGGAATAAACGCAGGCAGCACTCCAATAGTAAGGATGGTATATTTATTGATAGGTGAACCACCCCATAGAAAGTGCAACGTTTCGGCTCAGCTGAGCCTTAATCATGCATATGGATAACAAAGTGCATATATAACCCCCACAACCAGTTAATTCAGCAACTATGTATATGGTGGACAAAAAATTGGGATCAGATTTTTAAGTCAAACATGCTAAAACCTAAATAGGAAAAGTAATCAATCTAGTTCTAGAAGCAGTGCATATGGGTCACATGCAATTATATAATATAAGCAGATAAAAACTGTATTATCTGAGGAATCAAATTCTCCCCATAAGAGAATGCCATGAATCAGGTGGACACAAAATTGGGATCAGACTTATAAGTCAAACATGCTAAAGCGTAAACAGGAAAAGTAATCATTCTCATTACAGAAGCAGAAGCAGATTGCAGAAAAGAGGTGATGGAAAATTCTCAATTGAGTCCCTTAGGCCATAAAGTGTCTAACTTGTGAATCCAAAAGGCCTCCCTCTTTTTGAGTAAGCTTTGTCGATACCTCCTCTTAAGTGGTGGTATATGGTCTATTATTTGAAAATGTAATTGAGATTACATTCTAAAAAAATGAGCAGGAATAAGTAAATCTTTTAGTTTGGTTCTGATTGTGGATTTATATTTATTAAGTCTCTCCCGGACTTTCATTGTGGTCTGCCCAACATAGAGAAGACCACAAGGACACTTGAGAATATAGACTGCATAGGTCGATACACATGTAAAAAAACCTTTTATGTTAAAAGTACGACCATTATAGAGATGAAAAAATCTACCACCCTTAATAATGGAGCTGCAAGAACTACAGTTGTGGCATAGAAAAGTGCCACAAACTGGTGTGGATAAAAATCGTTGTGTTTTTGATTTTAAAGGGTAAATGTTGGCTTTAACCAACATATCCCTGATGTTTCGTGGTCTCTGGAATATTCGGGAAGGGTCTTTTTAGGATCCCCCAGTGTTTGCGAACAATATGTACAGCTCAATTACTATGTACATTAAATGTAGATACAAAAAGTATCCTAGAGTGCTCATTTGACGTGCGCTGTTTAGGCAATAACAGGGAATCTCTCTCTAATTCAAGTATTCTTTCCTTCTCTGTATCGAGTGTAGTAGGATAACCTCGACTTGACAATGTATCACTCATCTTATTGAGACGCTGTGATCGCGTAGCAGAATCCGAGACATTTCTGGCCACCCGGATAAATTGACTACGGGGTAATGAATGACTAGTCCACTCGGGACTCCCAATTTTGTGTCCACCTGATTCAAGAGGCTATTTCTGTCTGTGGTGGCTTGGTGTATAAATCAGTCAAACAACCATCACCACTTAATGTAATCTTTAGATCAAGAAAATTAATCATGGTGTTACTGCATTCTATGGTGAATTGAATGTCATCACAGATGGCGTTCATGTCCTTAAAAAAGGAATCTAGTTCTTCCCTAGTACCACACCGTATGCCAAACACGTCATCGATAACTCTCCACCAGAAACGCGCATGCAAAATGAACAAGTCATGCGCATACACGTACCCAGTTTCGATGCCATCCATGAACAGGTTGACATATGATGGAGCCATATTCA